CGTTATTAAAGATGCTCTTGTAGCAAATGTGCGAATTTTATTTAGTTGTTGCAAATCCACAAATCCACCGGTTCGAACTATTCGAAAAGCTTGATAACATTTTATTACGATTAACATAGAAAAAAGCTTGTATGCAGATTTTTATTGCATGCTCGCTGTCCCTATTTATTTGATCAATTTATAGCGGAAAACCGTAAAACCGAATTGCTACAATGTTTTAAAAACAAATCCGGCCAAAATTTTAGCAAGAACTCTAACATCTCCCGCGAATTTACTACATGTTAAAGTTAATAGAGCTTTAATTTATCCTTTTTGGATCATAAAATCTTTAGATAATATCTGTGCACCTCGGGGCTCATCTTCAGTTAATGCAGTGGTGTGGATGACAATAAGTTTTCTCTTTAATGTGAAATGTTTTAACTGTGAATTAATAGCTTTAATATTTTATCTAAAATTTACACACTTTTTCATGCATAGTTCAATAAATAGAACTAAGAAGTGTATTTAGATAATTTCTTTTATAATTGGAAATATGGAGTAAATAATAGATTTGATAAAATTGTATTCGTAAATGAATTGTTATATGTATAATATAGAAATTAATTTCATTTAATAACTAACAATAATTATTTGTTATACCTATACTATACGTAATTATTTTGAATAATGATATTGTAAAATTGGAATTTACATTTACAAATTATATCGAAATTTGTATTAAAAATTACAGATAGGTATTTGCACGAAAACATTTAAATTTTAGGTAAAACATTTCATTTAAGAAAACACTGGAATCCCTTAGAAAAACGTATCCCAATTCAAAAACGAATTAATAAAAGTCGTCTAGGAACTAACCGAAACGTAGGAAACGTATTTTTTCTAAAATAAGAAAATAATGGGCCAACTGACGCCTTGCGTAAGATTTATAAACGCGATTTAGGGTGATATCGACCGCCCTACAGGCAACCAGCATACACAGGCACGGGGGCACATGCAGGGCTGTATTTCCCCGGGGACTTTTTCTCAGATTATCCATCGGACTAAGTTAGTGCAGCCGCAATTTTATTTCCCACAGAAACACACCGAACTGCATCGACGGTTTTGTATTTTTCAATAAGAGGAAATCACATTCGGATGCATAAAGGGATTACGCTCCTAAATATTTTTCCTGTTGCCTTCGCAACGTCCTGCATAAATTTCGGATACACTCAGAAGTTCGAAGTAGTGCATAAATAGATATTTATCGAGGATGTATCCTCGATACGTTCCTGTAAGGGTGGACAGGTGGAAGGCATGGTGGTTGTCGACTAGTGAAGGGTAGCAGAACCGGGATAGCACGTTGACGGGGATTTTCTCTGCGGATTAGCGCTGGAGAACGGTGCACCACACATTTGCAGATGTAGTTTAGTTAAACCGCGAAATGGAATAATTAACGCTAGTTTGTATTTACGTTTGTTTTATGCGCTCTATGTGTTTCAAATTTAGTTGTCGCGATAATGGCGGTGCACCGTCTTAAGGTATATATATTGCAGTAGAGTGTCCATTGTTACTGTGCATCATATATTACGGGTGAATATGCCTGTTGTGCAGTTAATTTCACGGCTTCGGAGAGAATTATGCAACTTTTTATATCGTAAAAAAATTTTCGAAATGAACTTCTTTTATGCATCAATTCCTCCAGTCAGTTCGTTTGCGTTAATATTCCTCAAACATTAAGTAACAGTTCGGGCCGGAACTTAATTTGAAAATATATTTATTTTCGGCGTCACCGGCTGTATTAATTTAAATTTTTTAATATTAACAAGTTGACTTTCTGCTAACTAATATTAATTTTTAACTGTAATAAAATTTCCTGTGACCCGTTTTGTTTATTAAAACAAGTCCGAAATAAATTTGGCCTCGCTTCCACGGCGGCAAATCTGCAATAAAATGCAAATGCAGTCTCGCGATTTGGCATATTTCGTCCTAAGACAAGACTTTCACGTTAATTTTCTGAAACTGCCACACGCTGGTCCTGTTTGCTTTCTCTACAGGACAAAATATTTCTTTAAATTCATACAACACCTACATTATTATTCCTGAGCAACGTTTCTTTGAGTAATTCTTGAGAAATCTCTTAATTTCTTAAATTCCTGATTTTGTCAAATTATTGGCGATTAATTTGTGTTTGGTGCAGCTGATTAGTCTCGCGAGACCACCGGCTTGGCGCAGCTGCAGCGGCGAAAGGAAAAAATATGCAGATAGTCAGCGGTTTTTTCGCCAAAAAGGAGTAAGAAAAATTCCAAAAACCAATTTGAGCGGATCCGAAAGAAGTGTGTTCTGATAAGATTGGGTGGTAATTTAATTTTTCCTTCGTTACTCCGCTGCACCTCGATTGTATCGCGGAATTAAAAATTTAAAACAAACCGAAGAAACGAGGCGGGAAATTCCGGTGAAAAGATGTCCGAACGCCGGGTAACCTTATTACTTAGCCGGAATTGACAATGATTTTAAATAAATTTAAATACACTCGGTGCTTCGGTTTTTGCATATCATTATACTAACGTCGGAATTTCTAGGTATCGATATGAATATGTTTCATGTGCAATTTTCATGCGCTAATTAATTGAAACATTTCGGGATGATACTTTTTAAGCGAGTTAATCGTTTAATGAAATTGATTCAACAACACAAACGGCAACAATAAAATTGCATTAAAAACCGCTTTCATCTCTATCGCGTATTTGTGGAGCCCATTGTGTTTTTATATCTGCGAGAACAATGAATGTACTGACAAACTACAGAAATTTTAACTTCAAATTAGACTAACCGAAAAAAAAAACACACACAAATTAAATCGATCCGTTCGTGTGTTTTGCATCGCATGCAAAAATTTCGAAATGGTAAATTTCGACTAGTTTGAAAGCTGATTACAATTTATCTACATTATGAGCCCCGATAATTCGGTGCCCTCTTCCAATTTCAATAATCCCGCTAGCAAAGCCGGTTGAAGTCGAATCGCACATACTTCATCCTTTTCGACATTATTTCGGATCGAACCAAGTCGATACCTTACAGCCCCCGATCCTGTGGGCATATCAATAATTAAAAGGGATTAAGCAAGATCTGAATTCGATAAATGTTATTGCCGAAGTTCGGCCGACAAACGGGAAATCATTTTAGAGCCGGACCAAATCAGATTAAGCCTCCCTTAGGAGATTATCATAGATGTTCATAATGCAGGAGTATTTTTTCTAGTTATTTTTTTCGGACCTCGCGAAACGCTATGAAGCTCCACGGTGCGATGCGGGGGCGCGCGGGTCGCCGGCGGAATTCAAAATTTCGCAAGCGACTATGAATTGTGGCCGTGTAATAAATAAAGAGTTCACGCACATATGGAGTTTCCCAAACAAGTAGAGTTTCCCAACTCAACTCCAGCGAGATTTACTGGCAGCCGGTGAATTTTCCTCTTAATAGATATACCCATAAACAGGAGGGGTTCGGGAGAAAAGAAAACTGCAAGGTGCGACGGCGCCCTATCGTATGTAATAAAAACTTTTTGTGCGAAATATTGGAGTTTATACGCACGCTAATTTCGCCGGATAAGCGAGGGTTTATGATGTTTAGGAACACCCTGTATCGGTGATTTTCCTTTGTTTATGATAGAGGTATAAGCACTTTTATTTACTGATATTTTTCAATTTTAACTTTAGGAAAAAGTTTACCAATAAAATCAATGAATAGGGGGGAAGTTTTATATCCTGTATATACGTTTTATTAAAAAGCGCTTAAGTGTATCTACACATGCAATGTAGATGAAGTGTTTTCTAAACACAATTCAATTTATATTCGTTTTCAGTGCCGGATTTTATGAAATATATATCGCAATAAGAGCTTCCACGCAAAACTGAATATCTGATATTAAAATGTATGTTAATTTTATCTAAATTTATTTGATATGCTGAATATACTAATGTATTACTCTCAATTGATTATTCAGCTCATTGAATATGCCATCTGTATTGATACGAACATTTTATCAATCGTCAAAGGAATTTTAAAAGTCCTTGTTGACAAACTCGATCGAATCGAGCCGGGAATTTAATAGAAATCCGTATAAATTAGAATAAATTATAACCATCCATAACTTAACAATGGCTGTTGACGTATCCACCGGCCCTGCTTATCTGGGAAAACAGCCAGATTGCCATATCGTCTCCGCCGCTATTTTCATTCTATTCCAATTCCGCGAAATACACACTATCACGAACGCGAAAAAACCGTCTCATTTCTTTCGGAATTGGAATATTTCATTCATTAAAATAAAAGAAAAAAAAAACACAGAGTCGGGACTAGACTTTTATTTTACCTTTTTTGTACCTTCGATGCAGCCGATTCCGCTCCGTTCGTTTGCGTTTATAAAACTAAACTTCCGAAAATCGGGCGGGCACGTTTCAGACTTTAGTTCAGAGCATGCCAAACGTAAATAAACTCGAAAATAAAAATTTAAATACAGTCCGAACTTCGAGATAACAATGTAGTAAGTTTTGTATCCAGATGTAATTGTATGCTTGGGTGTTTTGTTGTAAAATAAATTTTCTAGTTATTAGGCGTATTTGAAAATGGGAGAAAAAGCTTCAAAGGATTTGAGGTCGAATCGAAATTCATTTTGGTGGAAATTCGCGGACTTTGCAGCGCTTTGAAGACAGTATATAAGCTAATATTGACATTTTGTTGTTCATACGGTTCGAGTCATGCTAAGAATACACATATAAAGGGCGACAATTCCATTCGAAGGACAATAAGCCGCAATCAATGCCGCCATCTAAATATTTGAAGATATTAATTGAATTGAATATCTGCAACGATTAGTAATTGCCGTGTGCGAAAGTTTTAATCAAATTGAAATTGATTTTGCATCCCGGCAACGCTTCAAACGAGTAATTTATAATTTACATGATGCACCTGGAAGTCATGAAATTTGATTGGTTTCGTCTGAAAATTTTTATTTTATTTTTCAGCACCTGAAGGTCACGTGACAATCACAAACGCGAAAAACAGATCATCTAGTTCAGTTTACTTCAGTTGGCTGCCGCCGCCAAGAGATTCGGTATTTGGCGAATTTCTTGGTTATCGAATTTCTTACAAGCCAAGAACATCACCGCAGGACAAGAAGGAAATTTATCTCAGAGACCCGACGGTCACGGTGAGTGAAAATTTATTCCGGTGCTGTATAGTTTAGTCATTTCGGTACGTGGTAAATGGTAAATTTAAATTAGAAATTCGAAACATTGTCGGGTTATATGTAGTGTAAAAAAAACCGTCGTTTTCGCTGGAACAAGAACGATTCTTTTTTCCTGTAAAAATGTTCAAAGCTCGACGTTATTACGTTGTTTTGTATACCGGCTTTATGATCTCTTGATTCATCAAAAGCAAAAAAAAAAAAATTAGTGGTGTATCGCGTAGTGTAAAAGAGTACATGAACCGGCTCTCATGCCAACTTGGAGCCCCACCGAGCATAAAATTAATTTACCATGTTCCTGTTATCATTAAGGTAAGTTTAAAGGATGAGTGTAAAATAAAAGCTTTTATGCTCTTTCACATGCACGGCCGTATATCACTTTACTTTTATGATTCGTTGTTTATCTGGGATTCAACTATCAGGAATGAATTTTAATTACAGCTTTTCATTGTTAAGTTTGTCGCTGTTTTGATAAAAATGTTTATTAGTTCTGCCGGATGTTTTTGGAACAAACCATTTCTGGGTCGATTCAGACAAAACGCATTGAATTAAGGGTTAGCTCTCGTTTGTAGAATGTTGAGAAAAAGTTTCCGAATTAACAATGGAATAATAAACTACATCAACTTTATACCATCATATAATAAAGTGTATGTGAACTGAAAAAACACGAAGGTTAAATGGATCCGCTGTCCGTTTATTTTCAACCCCTTTAACGTCAGTTCTCATTTCATCCCTTAAGCTATTGTTCGCGTCTCATCAATATGTTTGCATATTATTAAAACCTTCGGGATGCTCGTTAGCCTTTACATTATAACTTTACAACAACACGTTAACTCCCAAAATAATCATGTTTCACGGTGTGTGTGTGTGTTAGCTTTGCATCGAGGAAATTATCGCGATGCTCGATTGTATAAATTTTTCATCGTACGTAAAAATTGTTGGCGGGGGTTTCGATGTAAATTTTATACAAACCGAACGGGCATAAGTCATAATATGTACAGCCGGTCCTAATGTAATGAAAACATTCGGCGCTAAAACACTCTTTGTTAAGAAGGAAAACCCGAGGTATTACCTAAATCGCATTTTGGGATAATATAAATGACTTTTGCAAAAACTCCACTCACGCATTTGCATATTTATTACATATACCACCGGGGCTTTATAAAAGTTTGAATTTCATTGAGATATAAGAGCCGAATCAAAATGGGATTTTTCTATAATTCGAATAAAAATTCGGCCAGGATGATATTTCAATTTCGAATGGCCATTACGAATTAAAAAGAGGCATATCTGGAATTTTGATTTAACTATTTTCCGCCAAACTACCGCCAGCTGAAATGGATCCCACAAATTCGACGAATAATTCGCAAAAAATATACCGTTGAAAAAAACCACATTTCCTTTATTTCAATATTTATTAAAAAAAACCCGTTTGTATTATGTTACTTTGTACATTTAAATCATAAAAAATAGATTTTTCTATAGCAAAGTTTAATGGTTTTATGCTTCGGAAATTCGATTAACTATTTTCCTTACAAAGTTTCATCTTCCACAGTTTATTTTCGGTCATAAAAATGCGAAAATTAACCTGTTCATACCGGAACATGTACGAGTATCTATAATAGAATTTAAATAACGCTTTTAATCCCTCATTTTAGCGGTAATTTCAGACTTGAGAATGCCTAATCCGAACAGATATCTTTTTTTTATTTACGAAACGTAAACCAATTTCCAAATCGCGGCGGCCCCGTACATTTTTCATATTTTAGTTATTCCATTAACAGCATAATAACAGTTAAAAAGTAATTTTCCTTAAAAAAAAAGGCCAATTTACCGTTTAAATTTTTGGGGTGAAACTCTTCCCGAGGTAATTTTACACCCTCATTCCATATTCTTAACTACCCTTAACTGCTGCCCCAATAAATAAGTTCATTAGTTTCGAACATGACCGTGCTAACGAGATGAAATCCTTGTTTATATCAGTGCTTTTGAGCTTTAAGACATGTCTGTTCCAATTATGCAATACCTATTTAATCAAATATAACTTTTAATAAGCTAAATCGGTCGATCAATCGGGATAGCAATATCGCGTACCGAATAGACAATTCTAATACTATAGCAGGGCTTTTAGCTAAAACAATTTAATATCAATGTCGGAGCGCGGTTACATTTTAGATTTTTCACCGTCCGGAGTTTCTCGAGGTGAAATTCGAAAGCTCGTAAAGCTTATTATTAATTTCAAAACCCGCAAGCTCGTAAAGGATGTACTTAGCTGTTCTATTCGGTTTTAATAACATAAGGGCTGCAGTACATTATTTTGAGCACATTTTACGTAATCGTAAGGCCATTAGACCGGATTTCCTTATGCAAATAATCAATAATTCCTTAAGGACTAGTTTAAACTTCACGATAGTTACAAGTTACATACGTGGTTAAGGTTACGAGCCTCGCCTGGGGAGCAATTACAATAAAATGTATAATGTTGCCGGGGAGTCGATTTTGGACTCGGATTGGCACAAAAAAAAAACGATAATTTTGTTATTATGTTTGTTTTCATCCTGGTTCATTTTAAAATTGTATACTTTTGTGATTAGTTGAAAATTTTAAAAAATGAAACGGATTTGCGGTGATGAAAATAAGCTGGTCATAAATCAGAATTATTTAGTAATAAGTAGATAATAGATTATTCAAAACAGCGCTGTTAATTACTCATCTTCCGTAAGTATTTGTAAAATTCGCTTTTAAATGAGTAGGTGAATTTGTATCGCGAATTTAATTATTAGGGATATTATCGAGCAATCAATCAAACGCTGTCGATATCATGTAAAAATTTGTCAAACATTCCGACTCTAATTAAATTTCAAAATGAAAAATGCCGTTTTAGAAATAAATAAACCCGGCGCTCTTCGAGCGATTGAGACGTTAATTCGAGGCTATAAAAAATCGAGAGGATCGAGCTAGGAATTTTATAAATAACATTAGAAAGCCATCGGCCTCGGAGTTTCCCCCCTATTTTCCGATCGGTGTTCCTGTTGTTAAACTCGAGTTCTATTTCCTCCCGCTCGCCGAGTCCATTAATCAAGGAATTAATCGAAAAGCAAACTTTAACCGATTTCAGATACTCACTATAGACGAGAACCGTCGAGATGAAAAGATGTCATCGCATTCGTCTTGTTTCTCGTTAGCGCGCATCAATAATTCATTTCCCCCATTGTTCGGCCCGAATATTTTATCGCGCGAAACATTTTACATACCTTCGCGATATAAAAAAATATATATATAACGGGATATCGAAATGCGACTCGCCCCGTCGGTTCTCATCGATATTGACAAGGGTTCGAGGCGATGACTAATTCAAAGCGAATTATAATATCGTATACATCCTTGCGCCGAGTTGTTTAAAGGTGTATTTTGTTGCAGAATCATCTTCTGACCCATCTCGAACCGTGGACGCAATATTACGTCTCCGTCCAGGCGTTCAATCCCGAGGGCCTGGGACCGAACACAACGGTACTAATAATGACTGATGAAGGCAGTAAGTAAATTTAATATTCAATGTCGCCTCCGATTCCAACTTAAGTTTCTCCGGTCGGTTTGCCATGCCTAATTCTAGTGTCGTCTGAGTAATCTGTCGAAACAGCTCCGGGCGTCGGCGAGAAACCTGGGCGTTGTTAGAGGAAAGGTGGAGGGAACCGAAACGACGGATTGATAGGGAAACTCTGTTTGCGAATTGTCCGCTATCACAAACGCCGGAATTTCGCTACTTATTTGCAGAACAAAAATCATCGGGATCGTCAATCGAGGTTCCTGTTATATCATACAGAATTCGCTGGAGGTGTTTTTCCCCTATTTCTGAGCCGCGTATTAGTAATCCACCCTAAATAGCAACTAATTTGATCAACACCATTAGCAAAATATCGCGAGCTTCAATGGCATTAGCCAGTATTAATGCGGTACTGAGCGATGTGAGGCTCAGTGCGAATAATGCAGCGAATAAGCCGAATAAATGGTAATGGGGGTTGATATTTTAATCCAAATAATAACGCATTAACGACGTATTTCGTCTGTAGGTAAATTCAATCGGACCGGTAACGTGTCTTGTGTATATTTCGAACGTTTGTTTTGGATATTTTAGAGTAATTATCCGAACATTCCAGCGAGATGTTTTCAGCTTTTTATCGCGTCGATGATGTTGCTGAAATATTTTCCGAGCGGAAAACCTCTTTGGTTCCGTTTTTTTTTCCTTCTTCTTCTTCGGAAAGTGTCGACAAACAAACCGCGAAATTCCGGGGAGTATTTTTAAACAAACGGAAAGGAAAAGTTCGCTCGATCGAGGCGTTTTCATTTCGAAAAGAGCGAAAATATTTCCAGACGGAGTAATTGCGACGAACGTTTTGAATTATCGCATAGATAAAATTCGCATTCGAGTTTGAATAATTCAAAATTACGAACCGGTTTCCACACACATCCGACTGTATAGTACATTTGCTCAACGCAACTTAACATTTTAGCCTAAAACTGTGTTCCTTTGATCTAAAGCTTAGCTTGGATATGATCCGACATCGGGGTTTTAACCTTAAGAGCGATTGTACATTGTAAGTGCTAATCTTCAGTACGCCGTAATTAATTCGACATCATTCATCGATGTAATATTACAACCCAGACATCGCCGTTCGTACTGGTACAAAAACGATCGGCGGCTACACCCAGCCCTAGCCCGAAGGGACCTATTGGAATTACGCAAGTAGTAATGTTATAATCAAACTTGGAGAAATTCCCGATGTGTTCAGCCTCGGAGCTGCCTCTATAACTTCGACGTGCGCTCAAACAGCGTCCCTATTAGTTTAATACGTTCGTCGAAAGTTGATGAATTCACCGCGAATTTCGAACTATCTACCGAAAGAAAAATCCACGTCGAACCGTTATCGCAACCAGTCGCGATTTTCCATGTTGTCTTATATAATTGCAACGGTTTAATAATACATTCACGTGCCCGAATATCGTTCGATTAGTTGTATTCAGTCCGTATCTCACTTTTCGAAACATCTGCGATAAAAATGTCCGCAGCAGAATGTCCACGCCAGGTCCGCATCGCGAAAAATTCGCGATTAAATCCTTTCCTCGGGCCGAATCGATGGATTTATCTATTGGTCGCAAATCGACCTCTCCGAGGTTCTTAGCGCTAGATTTGATTTAGCGAGTCGCTCATACAGCGAAGAAAAGTTCGAAGAATTTCGCATTACTCCGACCCCCGTACATCGAACTTCTCCTAATTTCGAAATGCATCCGGCTTTGTGCACTTCGGGGAATTTCTCCGGCGACGTCAATAACACACACACACACACACAGTTTTTCCGCGGACATATTTTTCCTTATTTTTCCCGGAGATGCAATCGCCGGCAAATCTGTCACAATTTGTTCGTACGTTTCATAACTTCGCCCGAACTCGACTAAAGAGGATTATGCGATTATGTATTATATCACGAACGTCTACGGAAAAATGAAAATTCGATGCGCTTTACAAGTACCACAATTATATTGACAGTTACTTCACCTCTACCATTTTTTTCCTCTTTTACACATTGTAGAACTCTCGTGGCATTAATAATATATTTAGATTTGGTGAGGTTTATATTAAATCGAATGAGAAGGGATGTAAAGGGGAAAAGGTCGCGGGCCGGGCGATTCGGAATCTCCGAGACAGGTCATATATCACTTTGTATCGATTGGTACATTAACCGCGTCATCGTCAATCAGCCGGGAATTCAAATTTACCTTATACCAGTCCTGCCAGTCGAGCGATTTGAGCCGATTCTATTAGTCTTTATTAAACGGATTCGGGAGAAACTGGTCCGGCGCGAGGTGAAGTCGAATTGTAATCTAATCGGCCAACGAATTGGCGTCGAGTTGGGTAATGAGGAGAGGTTTTGTTTTGGAGGATTTCTCCGGTTTTTTTCTAGCGGGGATTTTTATTACCACTCGCCGACTATAACTCGATTTTTATCATGCAACTTTACGGAATTTTAATAACAGCACGACGGGTTGATGTTCTGAAATGCACTAAAAGCTTAAACCTTCACTTCTATCTCCGAGTTTTCTTCGTCTTCTAAACTTTTGCCAGGATTAATGTTTGTACAGGGCGCTTTATAATTCCTCGCTAGGTTGTCTTGTGTATCGAATTATTTTAATAGTGGTAGGTACATTTCCAGTTTTGCGCGAGCATCTAAAATATATTTTTTTTATGTAGGAATATAAAAATGCAGGAAACTCAACGTGGGTGCAATTCCAGTTGTGTTAATTAACTTTTATGTACCCGCAAGCTAAAAAATACATTTTACATGTTCATAGAAAATTAGAATTGAAATGATATTTACTAGACCCTCTCACTGTACAGCTGTTAAAATTTGTATTTTTTTCTGGGACTGTCTATGACTAATTGTATCAAAAAATGCCTAGTTCATCCAGTAATGAATTTTAATTAAATTAAAACGCAGTCTGAAGAAATATCTCTATATAAACATTCTCTCTAGAACCAAATAAAACGGCTTTTTTTTATAAAGCTATTTAGAGAATAAGTAAATATTTTAACAGCGCTCTAATTACGCTTGTTAGTTAAATTTTCTGTTAATTAAAATAATCTAGCTGTTTTAATTCCCGCATCTGAACATCGACATCCACTACAACTATTCCACGGTATATTATGCATAGCGGGGAAAGCAAATTATTAATTTCAATTATCTCAAACACCGAAAGTGTATTATTGCCTGAGAATGTTCGAGCATTAACTCGACGCGACACAAACGTAACGTCCCATTTTGGATTCGTTACATCCATTCATTTTGACAACCGGAGAATCGCTTCATATACAGATTTCATGGTTCCCCGACTGCCGGATTAATGAAAACCGTTTTCTTTCGACAAAACTCGCCGATGGGATCTTTGCACTGTTCTAAGGGCGTCTCGATTAGTTGTCACCGACACTCATTCGGATTGTTCGAGAAAAGACTTTCTTCTCATCGCGCAATCGATACAATACATTTTAATCGAGCGTCGGGCGATGTGTATGAGAAATTTAATCGGTTTTGCAGTACCCGGAAAGCCGCGAAACCTGACCATACTGGACTTCACCGCGAACAGCATCCTGCTGAAATGGGCGAATCCGTTGAAGAAGAACGGCGTCATCGAAGGGTACAGGGTGTATTACATCCACAACAATTTCACCGAAGTGTGGCCCGAGAAGGTGCCCTACGATGAACCACACATCTTCTACAACCTCACTAAATTGAGTAAGTACCACGCAAATTCTTCTACTAGTAACTAACGTTTGGATATTCTTTCAGAACCGCTTACTGAATATACGATATTCGTGAAAGCTTTTACCCAGAAACACGAAGGCTACCCTTCGGATTCCGTACTGGCTACTACAGACATCAGCGGACCGAGTCCACCGAAGATACTGAGCTTGACTTGCCAAGCGAACGAAACCATCGAAATCAGCATCGGAAGACCCTCGAACTTCTACTACTCAATCGACTACTACTACGTCCACATAAAAATCGGCGAGACTTTATACGACAACATCACTCTACACACCAACAAAAACCAACAAGAAACCACGGTAAAGATCTCTTGTAAAATGTACACAAATCATTGCACGATTTCCGTTAGGTGTCCAAGAAGCGCGTCACTCCGGGTGCCGATTACCAAGTCCAAGTGAGGGCTTCGACGAAAAGCAATTTAACCAACAGGCTCCTGATGGGCCAACTGTCCCAACCGTCTTCCATCTACATCTCGAAGAAATGCGACAAACCGATCGACGATTACCTAGCGAACGCCACCAGCGAACTGGGAGCCGGAATTCTAGCTGGAGCCGTCTGCGCCAGCATCGCTCTTCTAATAACCGGCATCGTTTACTTGATATGGAGGTACAAGTCCACTTACGAGTCGAGAAATATCCTTTACACTCACCCGTTTGGTTTTCTAGAACGTGCATTCGCGCTCCGTACTTTTATCTGGACAACCCGCAGTGTTCAGTCGCAGCGCTGGACTGGAACGTCCAACCGGAACCGAACGCGGAGTACAGAGGACCCATTCCGGTGTCCCTCTTTCCCAGACACGTCGAGGAACTACACGCCGACGGTAACATAGGATTCTCCAAAGAATACGAATCGATCCAAACGGAAACCTGCAACGAAGTCGAGGCTCCCGCCGAGGAATCGCAGAATCCCGAGAACAAACCGAAGAACCGCTACCTCAACATCATAGCATGTAACGTCGAACTGTCGATAATACTTCGATATTTTTAACTGTTTTTTTTAATTACCAGACGATCACTCTCGCGTCCAGCTGTTGCCGATGAAAGGATTGAAGGGTACCACTTACATCAACGCCAATTACATCGACGGTTTCCAAGTGAACAGGGCTTACATCGGCACGCAGGGACCGCTGCCTTCGACTTTCGACACCTTCTGGAGGATGGTGTGGGAACAGCGCGTCACTATTATTGTTATGATTACCAACTTGATCGAACGAGGAAGGGTAAATAGATCGATGGGGGGAAATTTCGAGTGGCTACCTTCGGGCTGTAATCCGATTTGCGCCCGACCTTAGCTACTTGCTTGTTCGATGGTTTGTCTAACGAGGAGGTTTTTTTGTTGCAGAGGAAGTGCGACATGTACTGGCCTAAAGAAGGATCCGAAGTGTACGGAATCATCCAAGTGAGATTGATCAAAGAAGACGTTATGGCCACGCACACCGTCAGGACTCTTGGAATTCGACATCTCAGAGTCAACGTACGATAATAACATTACTAGTACATGCATCGCTGATTTGTGGTGATTTCAGATCCGGAACAAGAAGAAAGCAGCCGCCGCTGAGAGAGTTGTGCATCAATTCCACTACACCAATTGGCCGGACCACGGTACTCCCGATCATCCTCTGCCGGTCATCCACTTCATTCGGAAATCATCGGCTGCAAGAGACGCCGATAGCGGACCGATAGTCGTGCACTGCAGGTAAATCCAAATCCCAAAATCGATGAAAAAACCCTTAATTAATTGTTGGAAAATTTCACAGCGCCGGCGTCGGTAGAACCGGCACCTACATCGTTCTGGACGCCATGCTGAAGCAAGTGAAACATCGAGGCGAAGTGAACATCCCGGGCTTCCTGAAATACATCAGAGCCCAGAGGAATTTCTTGGTGCAGACCGAAGAGCAGTACATCTTCATCCACGACGCTCTAGTCGAGGCCATCGAAGCCGGAGAAACGACAATTTGCCGCGAAACATTCCCGCGATACGTATCCTGCCTCCAGCACAAGAACAAAACCGAGGACAAGAACGAAATGTGGAAACCCTTGGAGTACCAATTTAAAGTAAGTTATTGGATCGCATACGAAACGAGTTTATTTATTGTATTGTTTCAGTTGGTGATGAGTTTTATACCGAAAGAATACCACCTGGACTCGGCCAACAAACTGCCGAACCAGATGAAGAACCGATGCGGCGTGATCGTTCCCGTCGAAAACTTCCGCGTCCAAATAACCCCGAAACCCGACCAGGAGCACTCCGACTACATCAACGCCACCTGGCTGCCGGGCTTCCACAACCTGCGCGAGTTCATCATCACCCAGCACCCGCTCAAGCACACCATCATCGATTTCTGGCAGATGGTCTGGGACCACAGCGCCACCTTCATCCTCATGATCAGCTTCATCGACAACACCGAGTACGAAATCTTCTGGCCCGCCGGCGATAGAATCATCGAAAACGACACCTTTAAAATCAAGCAAACTCACGAGAACGGCAACGGCTCCTACTTTTTGAGGGAGTTCCTCATGAAGAGCGTGCAAGACGACTACGAAATACCGGTGAAGATGCTCTACTGCAACCACTGGCCTCGCCAGATCAGCTCCTACACCGACATTTTCCAACTACCCAACGTCGTGATGGAGATGAACAGGGTCCAGAACGGACCGCTCGTTATCGTCGATCGGTAAGTCCGGAACCACTCGCAGCAACTCCGTGTAGATTCTATTGATATTTGCGATCGCTTGCAGCTTCGGCGGCACCGAAGCGGCGACGTTCTGCGCCCTCACCACGCTCAAGAAGCACCTGATGAACGAGAACAAGGTGGACGTGTACATGTGCGCGAAGATCTACCACAGCCGGCGGCCGGGCGTTTGGATATCGAGCGACGACTTCCTGAAGCTGCACCTGTCGGTGCAGGCGCTGTGCAACCCGCCGGAGCCGATGATCCGCGAAGCTGCCGCGCCCGCGGCCGCGGCGGCGGCGGCGCCGCCGGATTTGTACGCGGTGAACGTGGGCAACTCGAACGGGAGCGTGGTGAACGCGAACAACGGACAGGGCGAGCACGTTCGAGTACCTCCTGAAGGTATGGAAGCCGAAGCTGCGGCTGTCTGAGTTTTGTTCGTGTGTTTCGGCTCGTAGATTGTTTATTGGTTGTCTGTTAAATGTACAAGTTATCACGGTGGATTCGATGCCGGTTTTTTTGACATGGTCTCGTCGATGGTTTTCTTTGCGTTTTAGCTATAAATCTTTTCTTAAACGAAGAATTGTTGTTCGCAACTAAAGCATGTACCCCTTTTTTTATGTTTTTTTTTATACACAATCATCGCTTAATTACTTGTTAATGAGAATAATTCTGTAAGCATGTGAACTTAAAGAAAACCATTCGGATCGGATTCATTTTTGAACAGCAATTTCTCTGTTATTGATTGTTCATGCTTTTATAAGAAAAAATTATAAAGGCATTTTCGATAAATTTGCTTTAATTTTAATCATTAAAATAATTAAGTTTAACAACGGTTTCTTATCATAAGACAAGATAGAGTAACTTGAACATTTAATGTGATAAAAAAAATGTTGTTGCACTTTGATGTCGACAGATTTTTGTCTAGCATGATTGTTGTTGATGGAATGTTATTCGACATTCGATGCTATAAATGATATGCAATTTGAAGCATGCCTTTTGTCTTATGAAAAAAAATCCGTTTTGCTAATGTGCTTAATTCATTCGTATGTGATCAATGAATGGAGTTTTAATTGTTTTTTTTTTTTGACACGGAGCCTCATTCTGATTTGTATGTAAATGTAGCATGATTCCGTGTTTCTCTGACTTTTCAAAATTATCTTATTTTTAGGTGATTTCCTTGATTACTAGGAAATTTACTGCATACAGAAGGATTAAATGTTTTTACACACACTTCACTAACACTTCAAGGTTTCGTTATGTTTTGCTTTTACTTAACTCTGTTAACACCTAAAACACTCTATTATACAGGATGGGGCACGCTTTTCATTTCTCAATAGTTGCATCTAAATAGCAAATCAAATCATACCACTATTATATGAACTTCATTTTATTTAAGTACAAATAGTTGTATATATAAATATATAGTACATAATATGAAATGCGAGTTGGATTAAATATTTATGGGATCGTTTCAGAATTGTTTAAAAACGTAAGCAAGATCAAGAATTGCCGGGTCGATCTGTAAAATGGTCAGCTCCTGTTCTGAAATTAATGATCAGAAGGTTCAAAGAAAAGGTACTCTGTGTTTGTATAATATCATAAATTTGGTTTGCTGCATGATTCAATCCATCCTCTATGGTAGCCGATGATTTTTTATGTACGCCGTTTCATTTGCAGAAATGCCCGTTATCGTGGATCTTTTGAATAATAGAAGGATTTAAACTTCGTTGCGAGTTATTTATTCTTTCGAAAAACCACTGTACTTTGTATACAAATAAAACGAATTAAAATTCAACGATCGGCTCTCCTACGAACTGCGTTTGAACAATGAGCCGATGCAGTAAAATTCATTTCTGTGATATCTATCAAATTAAAAACGTTAAAATTCAATTATAAATCTACTAATCGTAACATTGAATTTAGCTTATGCTAGATATGATTAAAAATAATATCTATTTGTATACGAAAAAGTCGCAAAAAAAAGGGTCATGTAAATAATCATAATCGTTAACTGCTAGTTTTAAGAAACTTTTACATGCCTTCTATTTTAAACGGATCTGTCATTATAAGTATGTTCCTATCGATTTTTGATACAAATTTTTGCTAACCAAAATAAATACACGTACTAAAACAAAAAATGTATTAAAAAAATCGAAATGAACATCAAACAACCCGAATTAGACGTCACGATTTTAGTCACAAAAATAATAAGTACGCAAGACATTGTATAAAACACACAATCAAGACAATTTATTAACGCAAATCATATACCACAGACTATTAAAAATAATAATATACTCGAAGAAATGAAACTAGATGTTCTCAGCACTGAATCACAGTCGAAGGACGACCCGATAAAGAGCCAATAAAACTTTTAGTGCCATTGAGGCGTAGAAACTGCGAGTGTTAATCGCAAATAATGGTGCTTTTAAACCATAAAAAAAATGTTTGTCAAAGAGATGCATTACATACTCGACCGTAATTTTTACCCCGGCAAAGATTCACTGGCTTAACAGAAAAGGTTTCAAATGAACTGTCACTCAATTATAGATTGATTGAAAAAATTGACGAGCCGATTTCCAGTATGAAACCGCATGATATCAACAACGATTTGTTCCTGGGGGATAAAATTATCATACATAATTTATTTGAATGTCAGTGTTTAGAAGTAATTTGAATTCCCTATAAGTGTGTTCCTATGTCTTTTTTGTAAATATACAGCTTGCTATATGTTGCAGAGGATAAAATAATTTAACTTGTCTAAAACTGCGAAGAGATCTTCAATTGGCCATCCGGGGGAAGGGAAATAATTCAGAGTTTTGAGCGTAAATGATGGATGGGTGTATAATGATTGAGCGTGATGGAACAAATCTTTTTAATCTTCGAAGAATTAGACACTATCGAATCAATGTTCGTTGTCATTAAAAATAATATTTCTTTACACAATGGTTAATACCTTACCTATATGTGCACCGGAAAGGATACAATCGCAAAGTGTTCAGTCAGAAAGAATTCCGATTTGTATGCTTCCTAAAGACATGACTGTCGAAGTTGTATGACAATGAATTAACTGCCAATTTTGCGTTACGAAGAGCGTGAAAAAAACCACCAACATATCTTTAATTAAAATCTAATAAGATCAAAATTTTTTAAATATTTAATTTAATATACTTAGGAAGGTAGTTAGTTCGAAATTTTAAATTTCTGTTTCACGATACGATTACTGTATAGCGAGTTTATTACACATTTCGTTTATTGGTAGAGTCGAATTGCATTAATCGTATTAGGATAGCGAAATATGATGAAAAAGAAGGTAACAACTACGAAGACTGAACAAGTGGTAAAATATAAAATATCTTTATCCACTTTAACTACAATTTAGCGCATTTAATGTCTAGATTAAATCGATGTAGTAAGTGTTTATTTGTAATATGTAAAACACCGCAAACGTTTATCCTAAATCCTTTGAATCCTTAAAAGCCTAGTTAAAATAAAAAAAAACTCGGTTTGCTTTTTAACTGGGAATGTTAACTAACACTGAAACAACGACGTTTTTGTGCAGGTGCAGATAAAATGTCTGCTTTGTATCAGAAACTTGTGCAGAATGCCTATTACATTTTGATGAAACATTTAAGGAAACTCTACTTTCGTGCATACTTTCACTCGATTTTCCTTTTCGCTGTGGACCAAACTAGATTTTCCAGTAATGCATAAAAATATTGTTGCCAAAGAAAGATTGTTCAATGTGCTATTATAATCCCGAATGTTTATAATCGTATAACGAATAAACAAGGTTATAGTAGCACTGATAATGTAAATAATTCTAATCGGGGCTACAAGAAGTATATTATACAATCTTTTTCAAAATAACTGATTTGTTCAGGCATCCTGTATGATATTTTTCGCGGGTGAAATCCATTTTGTATCGGTTTAGCAGTTATATAGATTGTAAAAACGAGACCCGAAGTTGTATAAAAAAATACCTTGTTTCAGGAGTAGTATTATTATTAAGTGAATTGGTAAAAGTTATTTGACATCTTTTATCGTATTTGACTGAACTTTCTAAAATTGTTTGTATATCTATTTTTATGTAAATTACTCCAAATAAGGCATTGATTTCAGTAATTGCGAGGTTTAGACTTTAGTAAAGGAGGTCGATCGCGAGTTTATTAATTATATTAATTGCATTTACTACTGAATCGTTACTACGAAACAGTTTGAAGTAACAGTAGAATACAAAATTAATGAAGTAATAACCGCGTTCGATAAAATAATTCATTACTGTCGATTGAAAAAAAAATATATTTACTAGTTATATTCACATTTTGAAAAGTAGTGTAATCCACTTTTACTGTTAATTAAGCGCACTAACTGAATCCCTTGAATTTAAAAAAAAAAACCTTTATATGTTGTTGCACAATCTTTAAATGCCATATTTGGAAATGTGCTAATTATAAATGTGCTAATGTTAGTAATTAAGAAGAATATTAAATGTAAAAACCCTGTAAGTGTAATCCATAATATCCAGTATACATTAGAACAGTAGATCATATATTATAACGTTGTCTACTATAAGAAATAGCTCTCTGTGTATAATTAGTTAAAGTTGATGGTCCAAACTAATCTATTATTATATTACCCTTAATGTTCTGATAGTTGTTTGAATGGCGGTTTCCTAAATAGGTTTATGTATGTAAGTATGTGCTTCAGATAAATTTGGATCCGTCCAGCGGTATTGAAAGAGTAAAATGGCCATTCAAATAACTATAGAACATATCCTGTATATAACCTTTTTTTATTGATTGATTTACGTTTTATTAAATCTCTTCTACCCCTATTTTAATTAAACCTAGATTATTTCAATTATAATTCGGATTTTCCTCTGGTATTTTATTTTTAGATTTTCCGTTTTATTATACTATAGCATTAATCTATCGAATATATCACGTTATGTTCTGTTTGTGTTGCAAAATAAGAAAAATATATTATATATACAACAAATAGGAATTATTTATTTCGAAACCCAAAAACTTCTAAATCCTAAACGATACAATGTTGATATTTAACACGCTGTATTAAAATGCCTTTTATTCAGTATCAAGATTACAGTAATAAAATTCGTATGTTGTAATTAAAGCTCTAACTACCAAAACCGTTCTAAGTCACACATAAATTACATAAAAACTGCGTAAATAAATAACCAATATATTGTAGATTGTTGATATGTACGTTTTAAACAACAACTCTACACGTTTTTTTTATACCCAATAACTCATTTACAAATGCATCGATACAGGGTGTTTGCGAAAACAACGTTCTTGCTCTGAATAATTCGGCCATGTTCTTTGTTATTGGTGACGGAATTGTTTTAAAACCTGTTCAAAGTTATTGCTTTGTAATACAGTCGTTTTTTGTGGCAGTTTCAACATTATTAATAGGTTTTCACATCAATCACTGTTAAGAACTCTTTTGTGGCCTCAAAGGATTCTATTATTTTCGCAAACTACCTTTGCATGTGTATGAAATGCAGCCTTACAGATTTCTAAGTCTACAGAAGTCAAATTCGTATTCATTTAGAGCTTTATATAAATATAATAGTATAGTAGAAAATAAAGATTACAATAGCCGTTAAAAAAATTGTTAGTACATGATTAAGAATCGAAAAAAATCACATTTTTATTGCTAGTGATAATATAGTATAATTTCTAATAATAGGACGGTAGAAAATAATGCTTAGGCAAAAAGTTAAATACTGTGTTCGCAGGCATCAGTCTTGGTATAAATGCAACGATCCAGAAAACCACACAAGAGCTGTGAAAAGTGTTTTGTAAATGAGTTAGTACTGCAATAAATTACAAAGTCACATAATAAATTCTTATACAACCAGGCGAAGGAAAAAAAAATAATAGTTATTACATTCATAACGAAATAGGACATTTACAGAGACCCCGCGCGAGCTTTACACGGACTCCGTGGGGCTCTGAAACTCTGATAAAGCGTGTATCGGATTCTGCACTTTCTTCTGCGAACCCTTGCGCACTTTGGCACGAACTTCCTCGGGTTTCTCGGGTCTCACGAGCGGCTTCTTTTCCGGAGCCTTCATCTTCCACACGACGATCGGAGACTACAAAAACAATTATCATCAATCTCTTTAACAGAATTCTTACACAACAACACTTACAGCTACAGTTCCTTGTCTAGGATACTTAGTAGACGCCACGTACGAAGCTTTCACCGTCAGAACGACGGCGTTCATCAAATTTTTCGCTGCTTGTATCAACGATGTAGCACTGTCGAGCTGAAATTAATTAATACAAACAATTAACGAATCGCTTAATTAAGATTTATAGTGTATAACGTACACCAGACACAATTAATTCCCCGCTGATGTTCTGGACATCCGCTTTGACTTTAGAAGTAATGTTCATCTGATGGCAGTAAAGGGCAATGCGCTGTAAATAGGCGAGTAAATCTTTCTTCGTTGAACTTTCCGGACACTGATCGGCTATCTGTCTGGTCAACTTGTCCAATTTCGTGCCCGCTTCGGAAATTTTCTTGGCGGCGTTTATGACGTCCATGGTGGTTTTCAGAGGACCCTTACCCCTAAAACGAGCGATTTAATTCGAGTAGAATGATAACCGATTTATTTACCTGGTAAAATCGGTCATTTCCATCATAATCATGCACATGTGTTTGGCCAATACGATGATATCGTTGCCGGTATCGTCCCATTTGGCCACCTCGCGATCGAACTTCAGCTTCTCGCTCTTGAAGAACTCCACTTGCTGCAATATCTTCTGCTTATCCTCTTCGGGCATCTTACCCATAGCTTCCTGCAATCACGATTTAATTCACGATAATCCAATCACAACTCCCCTGTATTCACGTACCCTAGCAGTGGTGATTCCGCTGATATCAGGATACTCATCGACGCCGTGTTCACCGGTATGAGCGCTCGCTGGCAAAAAACAAAAAGACGAAGGATTAGATGATTGTTAACAATCAGAAACGCGCCCGACTTACATTTACTTCTAGTCTCGATGAGGTAATTCTCGTCGAGTTCCACGTCTTCGGGATCCAAATCCTCATCAGCCTGTGTACACAAATCGTTCGAATATATTTCAACATTTTCGAGAACGCTCGAATACTCACCCTATTCATGAGCACCGCCCGTCTGATCTCCCTCACGCCGTCGTAGACCAATCGCGAGGCGTCGATGAAATCGTTCTCGTCGACCTCCTTGGGCGGGCTGTTGCCCAACGCCTGCACGGCCACCTGCACTCTTTGGGTGAACTTCGGCATCACCTGATCGTTGAGCACCTTCACCGCCTCCAGCACGCGCTTCGTGTAGATGCACGGCTCGTAGTTGTCCATTTCGGCCGTCACCACGTTGCACACCCTGTTCGATCGGCCTTTGATGCCGCTGGCTGTGCGGTCCAATGTATCAGCATCGCCTATCGAAACGAATTATATACAAATTTCGAAGATAAATTGATCGATTTAGTACCTTCTTGGAGTGCTAGTACGCATTTGTTGACGTCTTCCAGTATGTGGTTTTCGGATACTGCCAAAAAGTCGTCGATTGTAGTGATATCGTCGACTGCTTCGGTTAAAATGCGGACTTGGTTCTCCCACGATTGCTTGAAAGCCTCCATGTTTTCTTGGGCGACTTTGCTGCGAGATCTCGCCGCTAATATTCTAGCTGCGTTTATCACTTCAGGGCAAAGATTGTCGATTTGAGCGGCGGCGTATCGAACCATCTTCACGCCGTCTTCGTTGTTCGACATGCTGCAGACGAGATTGGCTACTTCGACCAGTTTGTTGGAATGTTCGGTGAATACGACGGCGTATTCCTCCACCTCTTTTTCGTTGCCGTTTTGAGCCGCTTTTATGAGCACCAGCAGAGGCACGTTGGTCTCCAAGAAGCTGGAAATGTCGCGAATTAAACGCCCTGCGTAATACGCGGAATTATCGCCTGTTACCTGTCTGAAACGTGATCGACGACGGCCTTTCTGAGCTGCCTTCTGAGGTCGCGGGTCTTCCTGCCCATGTTGTCGATGGCCCTGTTGAGGTTGTCGCTCTTATCCTTCTTACCCATCTGCAATTACAAATAGATGTTGTAGAAGTTTGCGGGGATATTTCGAATCGGACATAATGCAAACATTCAATTATAGTGACTGTACATTTTTTTTTTTGGAATGCATTCAAAGCCTTTAAGGCGCTCATAACATTGAAGGTATACCAAACAAATCGCTAGTAAGAAGTAGGAATGTTATAAAAGCATTTAATGAAGTATTTATTGGAAATATTGGAGAATGGAAACAGGCATAAACGTGCAGAAACATCAATCCAAAGATGTTAGCACAATAAATAGCGCAAATTCTTATGCTTCCGATGTCCCTCGCGATTAGTTAAAGCACAAACTTCATTAAGTAAACTAGCAACTAGCCAAAAAGGTCGTATATACAATGATGTAACATATAAACAAATATACATTACAAAATCACATAATTACCCTCGTCACACCTTGCAACACTTCTAATTGCTGTTAATAAAAAGTCGCGTTAAAAACTAATCGATCGTAATAATAAAAAACAAAACTACTTACATTCGTCATGTACTCGGACAACAAATCCTGCAACGCCTGCCTTACAGCGTTGCATTCAGCAACGATACGTTCCCTTCTCTCGTCCCTGGTGCAACTGGAATCAGCCATTAGAGCGGCACCGCTGATGATGCTCTCCAAACGCTCCTCGAGCGATGGTCTCGTGTGGACCTCGTTGTAAGCCAGAGGCTCCATCACCATGTGATCCTGCAATAAATCGTTAGAAACAAACATTAAATCGAGTGCTCGACTTACATCGAAATCGTCCAAAGCGGCCGCCAGTTCGCCAGGTCCGTCGTAGGGGCCCGAAGCGGGCTGGGGCGTCCGGCCCTGCGCGACATCGTTGATCGTATTAACGGCTTCGCAGACTTGCTTCAAGACGTAGTCTCTGTTGGCTTTGGCGGCGGCTAGTTCGGGGTGACGGACGTAGACTTTGGAAGCCGTTAGAAGCATCGTGGAATGTTTCTTGAGTACCGCTCGGGCGGCGGCCAAATCGTCGCGAAGCTGCGGGTCTTTTAGTTCCTAACGAATGATGCGTTAGCGAGAATGCTGTTGGGATTGATCGGTTGGTTACCTGTTGTCTTTTAGCAGCCTGATTCATAAGTTCGTTTGCGTTGTGACCGAAGTTCTTGATATTGTCGAGGAGTTCCCCGTGGCTCGAAGCGTTTTTTAGTTTTTCCAAATCGTCTTCGACTACGTGGAGCGATTGTAGTAGAAGATGAACGTCGACCATATCAGCGAGGATGAGAAGTCTCGTGACTGCTGATAGAAGATTTCTGGCTGCGCGTACCATATTGCCCCTTTTCAAAGACGAGCAAGGATCCTCTGAGAATTCCCTTGCAGCTATGCTCATTGCGTTGCCTTCGAAATGTAATGTTATAGTAATAATTCTATTATTAATATCGATGTATGACTTACCAGTTTTTCTGACTTCTTCAACAGCAGCTATCATCTCATCGGTTATATCGGGATTTTCGTAGGCGATTTGCTCGCCTTTCTCGATGAAATTCTCAGTGGCCTTTTCCACTGTGCTGACGAGAGCATTGGCACGTTTTGACTTGCCCTTTTTCTTTTTACTGGGCCCCTTCGTGTTGACGAGGGTTGTTACCTGCAGCACAAGGGGCTCGAGGGTTTTCTCCACTGACATGGTTCTAATTTCTAAATTTTTGGGGTCCCATTTTAATCCAAAACGGTCAGTCATCTTGTAATTGAGCTTATACTTCTAATACAAAATCGTAGAAATGACTCACTATGCAACACCTAAACTGTTCTACTGAAAAATAAATCATATACAAATTATTGTTTATCTAGAAAATGAATCATAACTGCAAAGGTGTGTCACTGTCAAAATTGTCAAATGTCATGTCAATCGATTCGACATATAAACGTCAAACACACCCTGCATTCCAGTACGTTCCGAAAAAAAATTACCGAACAAGGTCAAATAGCTTAGGCAGTCGAGGACATTTACTAGTAAGAAGATGTCATTTGTCAATGTCACATAAATGACAGCGACCGAATAGCCCTTGCAGTTGAGGCCAAAATCATACGAAGAAGAAGAAGAACATAAATGACATAACCTTAAATTTACTTCACTTATCACAAATCACAAATACATTTTAAAAATAAATAATAATTAGTAGCTGTTTCAAAGTCCACTAAAACTTCATGAACTTTGATAGAGATATCGTATTTGTATTTAAATTTTTTACAATCGGTTTCTTGTACTGCTAATTTTATAAACATGCTACCCAGAAATTACGTCCTAACATTTTTTAAACGAAATGATATCCTGAAGGTAAGTTCATCCTTTTGATATTAATCGTGCAGTAGTTGATTTAAATTATTCCAGACGCCACGACGATTTTTAAATTTGTTAGAATACCAAAGCAAAAACCTTCTCAGAAAGAATGCCGTCGCTATTCAAGACTTTTGTATGATAGATAAAAATGGATCGCAAGAATTAAACAATTTCAGTAAGTATTCGTTAGAGTATTTCGTGTTCTTTGCTAAACACATTCGTTGTAGATGTTAAAGAGTATGTCATCAAAGCCCAAATACTGGCCGGTGGTAGAGGAAAAGGCCATTTCAACAACGGATTCAAAGGTGGAGTACACATTACGCAAAAGTAAATATACAAACGGCAATTACAAATCGGGAAATTTCAATACACAATTCATTTCAGCCGCAATGAAATAGAAGACATCGTTAACAGAATGCTAGGTTACAAACTAATAACGAAACAAACACCGAAAGACGGTATAGAAGTAAACAAAGTAATGGTGGCCGAAAGCGTGAATATAACGAGAGAAACGTACGTTTGCATCCTAATGGACAGACAGAAAAACGGACCAGTAATAATAGCCTCCCCGGCAGGCGGTGTAGACATCGAAGCCGTAGCAGAAAAAACCCCTCACTTACTAAAAACCCTCCCGATAGACATCTTCGAAGGCGTCACCGACAAAATGGCCGACGAGCTGGCCGACTTCCTGCAATTCAAAGGCGAACTGAAACCCAAAGCCAGCGAGGAACTAAAAAAACTGTGGAAACTGTTCGTGGCCGTCGACGCCACCCAACTCGAAATCAACCCTCTAGTGGAAACCGACGACAACAAAGTCATCTCGGTCGACGCCAAATTGAACTTCGACGACAACGCGAAGTACCGGCAGAAGGAGGTGTTCGAGATGGAGGACGTCTCCGAGAGCGATCCCCGCGAACTGGAAGCCTCGAAGTACAATTTGAACTACATCGGCATGACGGGGAACATCGGGTGTTTGGTGAACGGGGCCGGCCTCGCCATGGCCACGATGGATATAATCAAACTGCACGGGGGCGACCCCGCGAACTTCCTCGACGTGGGCGGCGGCGTGAAGGAGGAGCAAGTCAAGGCGGCTTTTAAGATCATAACGTCCGATCAGAGCGTGAAATCGGTGCTGGTTAATGTATTTGGGGGCATCGTTAATTGCGTCACCATCGCGAATGGGATTGTGGGAGCTTTGAAGACGATGACGCTGAAGATACCGTTGATCGTGAGGTTGGAAGGGACTAATGCGGTTGAAGCGAGGAAGATCATCAGCGGCTCCGGATTGAATATCATCACCGCGGATAATCTCGATGATGCTGCCCGGAAGGCTGTTAAAAGTATTTAATGGACGAGGTCGGTATACACACTTTGCATTTCAATTAATTTTACTCGATTAGTTCTGTTTTAATATATATTTTTTATGAATAAATCGATTATGTTTCGTTCACATGTTCCTGTAGGAATAACACAAGAAAAACTCGTTAACATTTAAAAATGGTGAAAATATATTTGGTTACTTTTGTCATGCACAAATTAAATACAAATAAGTAATTTTTATACACAGGGTAACTATTTAGAAGTAATCATACTGACGAATTTTATGATACAAAACTTTTTGTTTAAAATGGCAGATAAAAGTGAATGTACTATTTGATTTCATTTAATAATTTATGAATAAGAGACGTCTTTACCTTTACTTACGTAATTTTTTTTGTGAGTATATATTTATAAATTACATTGAGAGTGTAAATATTGTTGTCAAAAATCGATAGCTAGATAATGCAGGTTAAAATACTGCATTTTAATTATTGCATTTATTCCTTAATATTAATACAACAGCAAAAGTACGAATCACACTTTTATACAAAACACCAAATTACTTTTCATATCAAATTATTCTACATTATCGATTGTATGTTAACTATCATAGTTTAATTACGCATTAATACCAAATAATAATAAGCAATTCTAAAAATCAATCATAAAACTTATGAAAAATTCCAATTCAATAGTGCCCCTTATAAACCAAGTTATAATCTCAATTTTTCAAGAATATTCTCAAATACGACTAGAATTACTTTAATTTAAGCTTATAATAGGCATTATTAAAAAAATGTAGGAAGAAAACGAATTTCAAAAGCGCCACAAACCAAACTCATTGCTCAAAATTTTTACAAATTGCCACTTAATTACATTATCGACTGAATTAATAGTATTTAAAATTGTTAATATTTATTATATACAATTAAGATTGCATTGACGAAACGAATTGGCAAAAAAATTGAAATGAAAAAGTACAATGGTGAAATGTAAACTTAATTTTATAAACCCAATACAATTAATTTTAACATAAATAACGAATAAAAATATTCTCAAAACCTTTTTTTCGAACAAATCTATCGACAAAATGAAATATACAAGTAAATTAGATCTCAAGACTATTACAGTGAACAATAATAAGTAAATAATTATCGTTGGAAATTTCGCGTTTTTGTCGATAACAGAAATTCAAAAGGATGGATTCAAAATGTATGATTTACTTAAATGAAACGTACAAGTTTCGAATAACGTGCTGCACAAGAAGCTTTTGCATTTACAACTTACTAACACAATCAAATCCACGAACACCACACATACAGTACACACCAAAGTAGCATTTAATACTGAAATAAATAGAGAAAATTCATAAAATAGTAGCTGACAAGTGCATGTTAATGGAGGAAAAATCTGACTATAGATACGACAAAAAAATGAAGAGGTGCATCTTAAGTACACGAGTCTAACAAAGACAGTTAAAAAAATTTGTTAAATATAGCGGCCTTTTACTATGTAAAAAATGGTTATTTCTTGCGGTGAACGCAAGGAATAATTTAAAATAAGACATTCCTCTAAAAACATTGTATAAAATCGATTCCATCTTTTTGAACCTAATAAATAAACGTAGTTTAATTGAATCCCTACACACATTTTATAAGAATTAGAATTCTTTAAAAATAAAAAAAAAACATAATATTAAGCCGATTATCGTAATATACTTCTTTTCCTCAAAGCCTCGAAACTTTTAAACGCTTGGTAACGGATTAATTCTTCCATCGCAGTACGTTCATAATTTGTATGTATTGTCCTTAATATTGTACAAAAAAAAATGTAAATTCCTTAAATATTGTCCCCGATAATCGAAAAAAGGGAAATGTGCGCGCGCGTGTGTATATACAAATTATAAAAATACTCGGCAATTCGAGAAAAGTTAATAAAACATTGTGATGTTTTCGTAGTGATAAGGCCCGAAAAACTTCACTAATCCACACAAAGCACATCTAATATCTGAATATAAATTAATAAAATATAATCATACTAAACACAATTCATATCACACATTCAAAATGTTTTGTTGTCTTTCGTTAAATACAAGCATCTCAGTCTTATATATGCGCTTATCGTTCAATAGTATCGTTACTATTAAGCTTGTTAGAATACGGACAGTGAAGGCTTTGCGGTCAAAATCTTTCGAATTCCAAATGACTAAAACAAAAAAAAGAAGCATTTTTCCTATTTAAACTTCCGTCAACTTCGGTTGCCCTCCACTAGCCTTCTTATTGAAAATGCCGCCGAGGAACCCCTGGTGATTGTGGATCCCCGCCTTACCCAACTGCTTCCCCGCTAATTTATCGGATCTCGAACAAGAGCTCGCCGATGTCGATTGAAATGAAACCGACATTCCGCTATCCAACGATCCGACGCTACCTCTCCGTTGAGCCTTCTCTCCTGCAACTGCACCAAATCCACATTAGTGCACTCCTTTTTTTTTATTTTCAATTAAAATCGCAAACAGTTCATCGATAAGCAAGTGCTCGAAACACCGTCGATAACTACAAGGCGTGCCTTGGATCAGAAGCGACAACAAAACTACGCACTTACTTGATAATGTACTGCTTATGTCAACAAAAAGATTCGTTAAAATTAGTCGTAATATCGTTATCGAATGAAACTTACACTGTTCGTGGATGTCGATCAAAGAGTTGCTCAGCGCGGACCGTTTGATTTGCTGATCGTGCTGTACATCTTCCTCGTTCATATTCGCCGATGGCATTTGCGAACAAGGGCACTGGTAAGGGAACACCTCCACGTCCGCCACGCCGCTATCGCGATTCTCCGTACCTAAATAAAGCATTTTTACTACTGTTTATAGAGGCGAATGCGCGATATAGTACCTGTTCTACCGCCACCTCTATTCGACTTCTGCCTCTCCAGCTCGGCCTCGATCCGAAGGTTCTCCATCTCGTCCATCTCGCTGACGGCCTCCTTCAAATCCTCCGCGAACTTGCACCGGTCGTGCTCGTTTCGCGCGTTGAACGTCACCAGGACCTTCTGGTCGACGCGCTGGCTCAGCCGGATGCCGTACGGGTAATCTAACGATAATGAAATAAATACAGTAGAATCGCGTCGATATATATAGCTCAGATGGTGCTTACGCGGCACGTCGAACAGCGTCACGACCATTCCGCACAACGGGTAGCTATTCCTGAACGTGTACGTCACCGACGACTTCTTCTTGCTGAGGATCTTCGTGATGACGAGCAGGTCGTTGAAGAGGAACACCTCGCGTTGGTGCACGCCGGGTCGCTCTTTTTTGTAGATGTCCGGTATTTCGTACAGCCGGCAGTAGCACACCAGCCTACGGTGAGGTAGGGCCATGTTCGGTTTCTTACCCACTAAAACATTGCAAATAAGCTTTATTACGTGTTTTAACGTACACTTTTAAATAATAACACGGAACGGATTTCATAAAAGTGACAAGTGACAAGCTGTCATGTCATCTTTCAGTGACAGACGACACGGAACCATTTCTGTAAGATCCGACAGTTGACAGGGAACGATTATTTCTAGAATACGACACAAAATGGCCGCGTTTTTAATTCAGCGAATAGAAGCATTAGAGTTAGTTAAACTCACCGATGGTACTTTGTACTTTGAGTACTTGCGTTACGTGGTCCGAACCGGGCTTGAATTCGTTGGCTTTGACTCGATCGTATATACCCGTTAACATGTTACTGTCGATGTCGCCGCAATCGTCGATGCCTCTGAGATTCTTGATGAAATCGTCGCAACGCATCCTCCTCTCCGGTTTGATGCTCGGCGTGTGCAAATCCGTGTTTAACATTATTATTGCGAACGCCAACACGAAAATCTAAACAAACGCATCGTGTATTTTTCGTAATACTAACAATTCGTGATATTTACCGTATCCGGCGATCTTAATTTCCCTACGATATCCACATTGCACTGGCAGTATCTCTGCGAGAATATCTCCATCAGCCTTTCGATCTTCTGCGCCTCGCCCGGCATCCTGAAATGCTGCTGGAACTTCCTCAAAGCCACGTCCACCTGCATTCCGGATAGATCGAGTTCGGCCGCGAAGCATTCCAACACAGCCATGCAAAATGGACTTTGCAAGTTGCCCAAATACTCGCCGATCATCTGCTTGCTCAAGCCCTTGCGCGAGATCAAAAACCTCGCAACTCCTACAACACCACAAATTAAATATCGAAACGATTAGAATTGTAAGAGCACACAAACCTTGCGGTGAACTCTCCAGGAATCCCCTTCGTATGAGATAAGCGATGCCTTTCTCGGGTTTTTTGTTAAACAGGTTCAATCCGACGCGGTACTGTCGCTTGCGGATGGTTTCCGATATCTTATAGCTATTCGGGGTTTGTTGTTCGGCCGCTCTTTCCACCAAAGTGTACGTCGAACTGACATTAGATATATTACCGAGACTAGTTTCTAAGGCCGGTTCGGCGTACTCGGAGGCGCTGCCGCCCTTGCGCTTCCATATCGGCGAGTTGGCGTACTCGCAATGCAACCTGCGCGGGAAAAAATCGCGTGAATTCGACGATTACGAGTGAGTATTCGGAAGTTACCTTTCGGTGGAAACGCTGCTGTCGCTACCCGAGCTCTGCACGCTCGACAGAGACCCGTTCTCGGTGGTTTTGATCAAACCGTTGCACTTCTGCCGATTCGGCTCCATCGATTTAGACGATATGCTCGAGGTTCTCTTCGGCACCTCCGGCGGCACTTTCCTGCTCGATAAGCTGTTCCTCGATCTCATGTACCCGTTCGAAGAAGACCCTGGGGTGTTGCAAGAACTGCTGCTCGGAGTCACTTGCGTCGAAGTATCCGATTTACTCTCCGCCGGGGAATAATAATGCTGAGGAAAAGTCAACAAAAACAAGTTACATCGTACTCGACGAGAAGCTTGCTGTAAGATTTACTTGCAAAGACGACGACGAGTAATTCTCCCAACAAACCGTCGGAGTACCCGATTGACTCCGGGGTATCTGCATGTTATCGATGTGCCTCCGCTCGCGCAACGACATCGACCTCACGGGCATCATCCTCGCCGAGTTGCAGTCGTGGTTCTCGAACGTGTACGCGTACTCGTTGCAGGACTGCTCCGTCGCGGGCGTCGGGCTGCGATCGTCGCCGCCGGCGGGCAGCCTCCTGCTGATGCGCTTCTCCGCCTTGGCCATCGCCGTGATGGCGGCGAACTTCTTGAGCAACGTGTAGCGCCTGAAGGCCCTTTGGATGGTGAGCGCGGCGCTTCGAGCTCTATCGCCGCCATATTTCCGTTCGAGCACTTCGATCTGCTTGTCCAGGATGTCCTGGGAGAGCTCGTACCTGTATCACGATCGTACAAATAGCAACTTGTCGATGCAATTGTAAATGTCTCTACATAACTTCGAAGCCAAGTACAATGTAATTTCGAGCGTATGTAGAATGTAGGGAGGTAAAAAAGAGGAACTCACGTTGTTTGTACTCTGGACCTCTTGAGGACGTCGCCGTTGCGGAGCGTGCCTTTCTTGTGGAGCGGCTGGGAGGCGGAGCCGTAAGGCGTGGAGTTCGGCGATCTGCAGTAGATGGAGCTGGATGAGTTGGTTTTGTAATCGTAGTTCTGCGATTGGACGAAGCTGGGCGCTTGGATGTAGGTCTGTTCTTGTATGTGGTCCGAGCTGCCCATGGTGTTGACTATTTGGGAGCGCTCCATTTTCGGAGGGAAACTGGAACAGATCGAGATTTGTTTCACCTTTACATTCTTACGAATCAACGAACATTAGAGGATATTTTATGAACAATTTTGCCATGTAGTTTTCGCGTAATTAGAAAATATAATACACTTATTAAATTACACCATATCGTGTTCCGAAAACGATGGTTGTGAAACATAACCCGGTAGATTAGAATATAATTCCGTAATGAGTGTAACGGGATTATTTCACCTACACGAAATTGATTTGTTTGTTTATTTTCGTCACAAGCCGACGAAAAAAAAATTGCGCTCGACGAGATTGAATAACGATTTAAGAACATTATATAATTCGCATGCAGTTTGTGTGAATGGCGGGTAATTGTTTCGCGTTTATTAATGAATTCTATTGTTTTAAAGGGATTCTTATCTCGTCGGTATATCAGCATTTACGTAAGTTAAATAGGAAAAAAAACACCGCTCAACTGAACAATTGTAACATAAAAATGGTTACCGAAATCCCATTGCGCGCAACGTGAAAGCGAAATAAATAATTTCAATCAAAAAAGGGTACATTTTCAACTCGATGCAGCGAAGGGAAAGTTCGCGAGCGAATTCGGCAAAAATTTATGCGAGTTCACTGACACTCGCAAACGCTGTATTTACTATCAATCAATTAGTTTTGGAACTTTCACTAACGACATCGCCGTTTCGGATTAGCATTAACGATGTAAAAAAAAAACGGCTCGGTCGATGCGGAATTGTCTTCGAAGCAAGTGGAACGAAAAAAAAAATTATTCGAGGATGAACTTACGCAACTTCATCTGGATCGGTGGAGAAGCACCAACTGACGCAGGAAGCAATAATTGCAATGGCAAAATCACCGAGAATCGAGATAAACGCCCGTTGAAATGCGACACGACCCACGAAACGGGGAGTCTAAAGCGGTCTATCGGTTTCAAATCGAAAATAATATTTATTACAACCAAAGAACCTGCGTCATTGAAATTGAACTTAGAGGTAGATGTACTAACAATTAACGCAAACATAATCTGTTGACATTTAATTCACGTACACATTCGTGATTTTTTTCCAGTAATATTCCAGCAAATGTGTCGATTATCGCCAGTTCAATAGTAAGCGTATTTTATTATTATTCTAATCGATTTACGCGGAAAATCAACTTCGATGAATAAAATAATCGAACATTTGCATAGTGCACAAAATGATGAAACAAGCACAAAAAAAAATCACCTTAAATTAATATTCTTGAAACTATATAACCTCGTATAAATAAAAAAATAAAACATACTAAATACTGACAAGGCTGGTTTTATTTAAATAAGATGAATGTCAACACAAATAACCCAAAATCGAGTGGATGATAAATCGCAAAAAGTTAACACACATTTGCGAAATTCAATTTAACTCGCAAAGATAAGCAAAACACCATCAACTTACCCTCCCACCAGGAACCCCGATATGCATATAATCATTTTTATCGCTAAAAATACCACAAAAAACTAATCGACTAGGCGCACCGAAACATTCTACCGTTCTATCAAAACACAAGACAGGTACACACTGGCTGCTCGAACACCAAACTCCGGACTTATCCTAAAGGAAGCAGCTGGCGAACTGAAAACCAATCAAAAAACTCCAAAAACGAGATGGTAAAACTCTTCAGTATTAAATCACAGGTAGCGATCCAGTGCCGTAGGATGGTACCTTTTTCAGCGATAAAAATAATCGTATTAGCGTACTATTTCAAAAGTATTCGACGAGCTGGTAGTTTCGTCGACTTGTACTTACGTTATTTATGAACGATTCGCAAGTACATTTGTTATAGGGATGAAAAAAAGTTTTATTTACCGTTAGGGTACGCCCTTGTGGCGGCGCTGCCGAGAGAAGAGGATAGGAAAATGGAGCAAAAACATAAATAAGGTACGCGAGGAGCAGCTGTTCGGTTTTTGACAGCAGTCGAATGGCCGATTGTCAGTTGGTTCCCTTCTGATTGCACCTCAGGTGCTTATCGCATTCCGATAAATGCGCTTTATTATTATGTATGTATTTATACATGAAAAATGCTGGAATCTCGGTTGACAACGCAAGTATAATGCGCTAACCTGTCACAGTGTGTATGCATTGTAATTGGGCGAAAGTTTGCGCTTAAACAGAAAACTTCAGCCAGTAATTAGTATTAGACTGCTTCAGTAATTTTTCTAATAACTTTAATGATACCTTTTAAACATCCACGAGTTCTATGAATATTAATAATTCGAAAATCAGGTTAACGGAAAGCGCTTTATCGGCTGTTTATTATTACTAGTTAATTGAAGCAGTTTTTTTATGTTAAAATTATATTGTAATTCAGCGTAGGTATAAACTAATAAAAAAAACGATTTTCTCTCGGTAATTACGAAAACGGCTGATGATCTTCATTGAATCAAACCTAATTCAATAGTTGTGTAATATTAATGGAGTCCGAAAGTGCAAACTCGCACGTCATATAATGTATTTTTATGGTACAACAGAAACAGTTAATGAAAACTAGGTTTAGGAGACACTGTTACATGCTCGCTCAGTGGAGAAAATGTTACGCGGATCACATGCTAATTGAAAAGTGTCCATTTAACGGGACCTCGAACGTCACAAACCAACACATAAAATCGATTTTCGCCCTCGAAAATAATCCGAAACGTCCTAAAAGTGAAAAAGGAACATCTGCCACACGTGAGGTGGTTAATGTTTCGAATTTCAAAAGATCGGGCATCTTTCGATGGATAATAATTTGGTACTCGTGTTGTAGAAGAACACCTGCCCTGGAACAGAGCCGGACTCGAGTACCTCGAGTACCTCGCATAAAAAAAAACAATTATTTCTGCTACACGACAAACAAACAACTCGCTTTTTTGTACTAATTAAAGCGCTATTTTTCAAGGCGATTCGACGTAAATTATTCAATTCTCGGTTTCACCGCATCTCGTTTGAATAAACCCAAGCTAAATATGCTCGATTATTTTCTTATATAATTCCACTAATTGATCCGGTGAAAAATGAAAAATCAGCCGGGACGTTTTCGGCGCGCGTCTCGAGACACTTTTGGACAAACGCCAAGTTCCAAGTGTCTGCATTTAACTTAATCTCCCACAATATGTACAAAAATCGGAATCGTCTATAATTAGCCGTCGCGAGCGTACAGAACGCCCTGTGTTTATCAACAGAAACCAAGCGAATTCTCCTCACGAAAATCGCGAATCGTCCGAATTGGGACATTCTGGGAGGCCGCCCTTAAAAGTAATATGCATCTCGTTTGGGGCCGGTTCCTTTTTCTTTTGATAGCCGGGTAATATTATCGATTTGTACAGCTGCAGAGGCGAGCAGAGCAGCAGGCTATAGGAAGGGATGATATTGAAACAAGCCAGAAATAATATCCTGCGCGTAATTGTGAATTAATTATTTCGAGTATGTGTAATTAATTCGGAATAGTTGTTGCTGCACTACTTCGTGTGACACAATTTAAAAGTACCGTATAAGCAAGGCGGTGAAACAGCAAACAAATCAATGCAGATATTGAAATCGCGATTTTGTTTTATTGCGGTTTCGCGAGGCATCTCCTATTCAATCAATTTAACGAAATTATTCCGCAACAACATTTTAATAAACCATTAGAAATAATATTGTCCTTGACTATCGCGGCGATCTCAAATTCATAATTATATAACTCGCGTTCTATACAAACAACGATTACATCCTATATGAATCGAGAATACGCTTTATTTAAATCGAAACTATCGCGTTGTTAAGATATCAAATAGTGTGTGCGAAAAGTGAAAGTACCTGCTTTGAGAAATACAATTCGGAGGCCGATTCTTGTACAACGAAATTTTAACCTGTTCGAAGACTATACCAAAAATGATTGTTTCGAAAAGAACCGTCGTTATTTTTATTTTTTTTTTCGCGATTGTAACCATTAACCTCACTCGACTAACGGAGCTGACCCACATTCCGGACCAATTCTAGTACTCGCGTATTCCATCTAATTGAACTTTATACTCGCTACACCTACATTCATCGAGGGTTATTAGAATGCATTAAACAGCCATTTCGAGACGAAAGGCAAGAAGGGAATTCGAAACGGCTACAAAAAAAAGGATGCGTTTGAATGCGGCGAAATTGTACAGGAACTCGAAGGAATTTAGATGAATAAATTCCGAGTATATGGATATTTACACTTACAATAATTTCGTTATCAGTTCGATATGTTTACTTTTAGTCATCACCTGAAACGGTGTGTATCGCAATCAGGAATCTATCAAACGATATAAGAATTAGGCGATGTGCTAAATAATATTTTATATAAAATAATGAGTCAATTCGCGAAAAGGTTTAACAACCTTAAACCTTATGAATCATTCGAACAATCGGCCAATAGCGATTAGCATATTTTTTTTTCCTTGTGATGGAAATAATAGAAGGAAGGACGATGTAATTGATTCCATATAGCAAAATAAAATTTCAAGTTCGCGCTTAAACAGTTCAGGGATTTCCCACGAAAACAAAAAAAAAGTACTGCACCGATCTCACCTAATGCATAATAATCAGTTTGAAATTTATTTCTTATATGTCAAGGCGTTAATTCAAGACGATTCTGAGTCATGTGAGATGTAACAATAAAAATAAATTAGCTAAATACAATTTTTCTACTGCACTCGCATGCATGCTTGAGAGCAATTTTCGTCCGATGTGTGAATTTATTTCTTGCTAAAACAGTTACATTAATTAAAAACTGTAAATTACTCGAGTGTGGTCTAATTACTCTAATAACTGAGATATTCAAATCGACTCGTTTTCTTTTAGCATTTAAAAAAAAAACGTACAGATGAGTAAACACAAACCCAGTAGAAACGATCGATGATTATTATAACACTGTTTAAAAACACAACAGATTGTTATACAGAGAAGAAGAAGAAGAAGAAGTAAATTCCAAACCTGATAACAGTGACGTGCTTTCGCAGGGAGGGCAACGTGTGACACACGTCCGATACGGCGACCATCCTGCTGACGTGCTGCCTCCTGGTCGTGCAAACGACGCGGATCCTCTCCTGCTGCACGCCCGTCCTGCGGATCCTGACCACCGTTTTGTCGCAAACATCGCTAATCGCCGTCACCGTGGGACCTCTCAGAGGGCTAAGGCTAGAATATCGACCGGGCTCGTGGCGGTAACTCACGGCCGGGTTTGTGCTCCGCATTGCTTGAATAACCCGGTGGATTATCTTACTGATGGGCAAGTTTGTTTCTATAATCGGTAGATTTTCGAACGTAAAAATATAATGGGAAAACTCCCCCATTGGAATCGACTTCTTCGTTCGTTTAAACGGAACCTACCGAGGTATAGAAACTCGATGCTTTTACGTGGTTAGTGTCAAATACACAAAATTTCCGATACCATCACCAGTTCAAACGAATTTTAGTGACATTGAGCAAATTTGCGCGAGGATAACAAAGGTTCTGTTTAAACACACTTGGCTAGAAACGAGAGAATCATTTCATTTCATTGTAATTCCAATTTAACTAATCGCCAATGTTGATGATGATTAATTGAGTTCTTCCATTCGAATCGACAATATCGGTTTAAAATCCTGCTAATGAAAATTCCTGTTGCTAATTGAAACGCCCTTACGAGAGGCCTCAAAACTAAAGATAACTTTATTAAAACTGTAATCAAAACTAATCATCGGTTAAACAGCCAAGGTCGACTCATTTTATTTTATTTACGAGACGTTTCTAGCCGGATAAAATCGTAAATAGCCGAGAGTCGAAAAATTTACATTGCGAATTTGCAAGAAAATAGTAAATTAATTCGAATGTGATGTTCGAGGATGTTTTGAGTATTTGACACGTTGAAAAAAAATTGAAACTTACTGGCTTAGTTTCTCGCCAAAATCCACATAACCCCATCCATTATTTTCGCCTATGCATTTCAATAGAAACAAATATTAGGTGGGTTCGAATAAAAAATCAACGATCTCCGTTTAGTTTAAGCGAAATAAACCGTGCGCACTGGACAAAAACAGTCGCATAACTACCGGTTATTGTAATACAATTGAATATTATTTTTGAATCACAAAGTGGACAACATGCGTGTCCATTTTATATTTTCCTCTATCACGGACTACAAAGTGAACGTCACAGTGGCAAATATAAAGAATAATAATCGTTATTCTCCTATGTAGTTAATGGTGATTGATATATAGAAACAGGAAATGAAAAAATACATTTATTTAACAGTCGCCTCTTTAGCTATCGAGGAATAGGAATGATTTAATGAACAGGTATTTTCTCCAGGAGGTTGTTTAGCTCCAATTTGTTGGTAATGTATGAAAGAGTCGTTGAAAAATATAACAAGTTTTCGAATAATTTTCCTTGATTCCCAAAAACGGAGACCGTTGCCGTTATAGTATTTAATATTTATAAACGTATACATTAAGTACCATACAACGATAATGCACCCACATGTTAACGGTTAAAAGTATACGATGATAGCCTGCTTTTTTGTATTGTTCTTTCCAGATGATTCACTCAGGTATACAACGAGTTTGCCCATGTAAGAATATATTAAAAATTACGTAATTTCGCGACGAGTTTATTCATACATTTTCCGATTTAGCGAGCTATAGACATTTCCAGATCGAAACTATTTTCAAACTTCCCATTCGAATAACTTTCACGTTAACGCAACCGGCCGACGTCTACTTTGTTTGTGTGCAGTCAGTTTGGAATAAAAATATCTACGTTTTCCATACAAAAATAAATTTCCTCTCTATGTGGGTCAACAACGCCGGAACGTTTGCATCAAATCAACAAATTCATTAATTCATATAATTATTTAGCGTAAATATATCGTTTTGTTGTTGCCGAATTCTCAGAACGGCTTTAAACCGAAACTCTTCCAAATCGTAAACATCGAATCGAACTATTGTTTTTGTAATACAAAGTCTGTCATTATCTTTATCTAACACGACTTCTACACCTACAAACACGAAAACATTCCGGCTTTTTTTTTATATCTTAATAGCTTATGAGGCGAGAGATAAAAGTTTAAAGTTTCCCGAAATGTCGCGCGGTCACGTTTTCAGCGGTTAATAAACTTCAAAAGAACGAAGGCGAACATTAAACGATTTACGATCTGAAGAACTACCGAATGGAGGATACAACTCCCGAGAGTAAATACATCTAAACCGATGTTATTCGGGAACTCGATTTTACCGAAAGAGAGAAGAAAAAAAAGTTCCCCGGCAGATGTGTTGTCAAATTCGTAACTCGAAATGAATATTTTTATACCTCCGGTAGTTTGTTAAGTTCGAAAATAAAAGAGGAAATTCGAATGTAGATCGGGCATTTTGTAACCGATGCCTTGTCAATCACGTCCATCTGTTTCTCAAACAAAATCCTCGATAGAAAGTTTCGCCGTGGCGACTCGCCCATTATCAGTTATATCACGGAATCGCATCGGCCGGTCGATCGGCGTTAAGGAAATTTTTTTTTGCTCTGAAAATTCCTAATTTGCTTTCACGATTATTAACGTCATTAAGTAAATTCGCCGCAATTAGTTTGCGCGAGACAATTAAAAATATTTGTCGGGGTTCAATTGCGCCGCAATTTCGCGTATTTTCGCCTCACACGCCCGATTTCGAACCTTATTTTTTTATTATCGTCGAAAATCAAGGTTGCGTGAAAATAGCCATTTCGGAAAAATTCGATATTTTCGATTATTACAAAAATAAAATCGTTCGTATACGCTGCATCGAATGCGTGAACCATCCCAAAGGACATAATAACACGTGGGAACATTATACAAATAAATCGAATTGTTTATTTTAATTTCTTTATGCACTGCGTGTTTACGGATATGTTACAGGAGATCTAAATGTAGAAGCTAAAATGCATATTGATAAAAACGGATTTGTGGCATACGAGTATAATAAATCAATTAAAATAAACATTTATCAAACGACTCGATTAGATACTTATAAACTATTAATATTTACTCCGTTTCAAAACAATCACTTTCTAATCACAAATTTTGCAACAACTCCAGCACTTCTATACATGCATAATACGTCACGTGACACGCGAAACGGGGTCTTATCGATATCGAAAAAAGGAGTTCCTCGATCGCACAGAAACCCCCCCGTCAGCTGATCGACCGCAGCTTCTTCAGCACATATTCGAGAAGGCGAACCGCCGGTGACGTCGTCGCGACGAAATTTACGACACTGTTCGCGTATTTTTGCTTCTTTTTTTTTTTCCTTCCCGTTCGCGAGAGAATCGAGAATCGAGCGTTGGAGGAGCTCGCCAAGCGGTAACTGAAAGTGGTCTGCACTAGGCGTAGGTGAGCGACTGTACGCGACGGTGACGGCGAGCTGGTGTGCTGCTGGACAACACGCGCGTCATTTTAATTCTCGTCGACGACGACGACGACGGGACGTGATTCTCCAGCTCGACCGTTTCCTATCCCCGTTTTGCGGAAATACGCTTTAACTTCGTACGAGAGGACGGTGTGTGAAAAATAACGGTTATTTTGTAACAGTCGTTACCGCACCTCTATGCCAAAAAAACGAGTCCCACCTCTATTAAACTTGTAACGTACGATATGTCATTAATGTCAATTTTTGACAGGTTTCGTTTATCGAACGCATCTTAACAATTGTACAAAGTAAACTCGTGTTAAACGAGTTGTGTAATTGATTTATTCGGAATTAACCCAAAATTCCAGTTTGGGAAATATATACGATCGTTTAAATCATAGCAGGCTGTATTGTTTTACGAATGTTTCGTTTTAATGCACGTGCATAAAAAATACAAATAAATCATAATTCAATACAGAGGCTGCATATTTGATTTAGTCAATGTACACTTGAGTGTGATTAATGTAAGGTCATAAGATAATTAGATTACACATTGTATACGAATAGTGCACTTCAAGTGTAATTACTTATCGAAATTATTATTTCTAATTTTATAAAGGTGTATCATCAGGTGATGTTCGAAGTACAAGATTTGTAGTTAACTAAAATTTTAATAAAACACGTATGGGAGTGTAGGTCATTATTTGTATGTCTTAGATAACATTTAGAGAGTCTATTACATATCTAATAGGGACATTTATGTAACACAATTTACCTAAGAAGATCCTCAGAAATTATTACCAAAAAAAAAACTATAACAACCAGACTATTTTATATTTACTTCGAGCAATTAAATACAACCTTATCTTCACTTTCCAATATTTATTTACAATTACCGAAATGCGATAACCACTTCTATTAGTTCGTATGAATAACATCAGGACGAGCCGAATTTCCAATAAAATAAAGTTTCCTGGGCATTAAATAGGATGGAAACCGGTCACAGGTGAGTTTTTTTCCTCTGCCTACACATCTAATTTTTTGGCGCCTACAATTTCGAATCGAAAGAAAAACATTGCTCAAGCCCGAGGTGATCGCAGTTTATTGGAACTTGATTTCTCGTGGCCACGGTCAAATAAAGAAGTCCCAGTGGGTGCGAAGAGAAATTACGATAATTAAACGGTTCGCAACGGAATATTTGCATTAGGAGGCGGATTACGAAATTCGATTTGATGCGCGAAAATAAATATATGGTAGAACAATTGACCTGGATTACATGAAAATATTGTAATTTTTATGCCTAAATTGACAAAGCGACCTTCGTCGTTAACGAATAACGCTTTAATATTGTAGGAAGTTGTAAAAGTTTGTTAATTACAACAGTGTGTAGCGAAACCACTACATCTGTTTAATTTCGCGATAATTACTGAATAAACGATGATGATTCGAGTAAATCGAGTTTACTATAGCATTGTATTTTAAGTAAAATATGATTTTTAAGGGTTTTTCATACAGAAAAATCGTTTGAAACGCGAAAATCGAAGTACCTGCATCAAGTAAATGAAACCAGGAAATTGACGTTTGTGTGTTGTCATATTGATCAAAATATGACCTAACCTACAGGCAAAACGGAAAGATTTCTATCCTCTAATTCGTTCCGCAAACAATTAAGCGTTCCGCATAATTCTATTGTTGCTTTATAAATAATTAATAATGCATATCATTCTTACCTTTCATCTTGTAGCCTCTTGAGTTCGACCATTTCCAGCTCGAATCTGAGATTGCTGTTTTCGCAAAGGAGCAAATCCCTTTCGGCGACCACCCCGTCCAATTCCCGTTTCAAACGAATTATTTGATCCCGTTGTTCCCGAATTAAGGCATCCCTTTGTGCCAAAAGAGAATTTATATCGATATCTGATCCGGCCATTTGTAGGCCTCCTACCGTTATTGGTACTTAAAAACTAAATAAAAAGGAAATTTCCGAGCTGCCCGCCGCGTTACCGACCCGACCATTTAAAACGATCAACTAACACATCTAGCTGCACTTCATTATTTCGTTTATTCCAAATAAATGCAATTTTGACATCGAACTCTACGACAGATTAATCAAAATCCAAACAGAACATCGCGACGACGAACAGTGTTGTCGTTTTCGTAGGGATTTTTTTTTATTTATTCGCTAGTGTGCTAGAATTGTGTAATCTTCGCTTCTCTTTAACGATGCCTCTTATCATTACACTATTCAGCCACTTTATATTTGACACATTTACGCCAGTTTTAGGCAACCAACATTACACATTTCCAATATGGATACTTATGAAACTCGATATATCTATAAAAAACGATCAATATCAGCTACTGCTTTTTTTATAGAGATCGTATTTGACAAAAAATAATAAATGCAACGATGTTTTTGTTATGCAAAGTGTTTGTATGAAGTACCTACATTGAGTTAAGATAAAATATAGTAGGTAATGTACAGCAAGTTAAACGCATTATTTACATTTATTTTCAGTATTTAAATATTCTATAATCGGTAATAATTAGACATATCTTTACTTAAATAATTTATTAATCTACTCTTGCACCATCTATAATTTTTTTTTGTATTATTTATAAAAGAGAGCAAACACAAAGTGAGTTTTGACTTAAAACATACAAAATATTTTTTTTTGTTCTCGCACAGCCTTTTTGTATCACGCACAAACATGTGTGTATCAGAGATTGTGGCGAGGACAGATTTTCAGACGCACAAATCTAAGTACATCAAAATTATAAATTTATTATTTTCAAACAGACCGAAAATTGTTCAATGACAACTCTTAAACACTTTTAAATACACAATAAACAAGAGCCTCTAACCATGGTATAATATTTAAGTAATTTTATTTATTTTCTAACATTTATTTAGTTTTTTTGTGCTAGTTTAATAGTTATTACAAACGAGCCAATTTCCTGGTCAAGCCAAGTTATACTAAGTTATTTTTTTTTGATCAATCAATTGTAAGAACTTCAATAATTCCGAATTAATTATTAAGAACGAATGTTTTGGTATATTGCGTGAAGCGCGATCGCGCCTCACGCAAAGTATACCTAAAATTAGATACATGTAAAATTATCACCAACTTAAAAAACATTTCAATGAAAGACAATCACAGAATCCTATTTTCTAATGAAGAGAAGTATAAGGTGATGCTTTTTTATCACGTTTATTGTTGACTAGTATAAAAAAAAAACGAAAATTCGATCCGCTTTTCGACAGACTATGAGTAAATATTAAAAAAAAAAAAACTGACAAATGACAATGACAAATGTACGATAATCCTATTTAGACAAAACAGATTTTTGTTGGTGTTGCTTGAACTAGGAACCATAAAAGCACATCACGCATTAATCTGAATATAATGAACAATATTTATAACAAACTTTCTATTGTAAACATTTTTCTAAGTTTGGCTAATTCATTCAAATTCAACGCTTACAATGATCTACATTTTAAACTAAACATTAATATTATCTATATTTTTTTTCTCGTTTCATACAATTATTTATCTAGGAAGCGTTGATTAATATTAATGTTATTCGATGTACTTAAATTTATGAGAAATCAACTTATACTAATACTTTGAAATTTACATGCATTTTTAAATCCACCCATAAAAAAGTGAACACCGAGATTAACACTGATATATAATGATCTACATCTGATTAAGCTTACTGTGAGTCGTATTACCAAATTCAGCTGCCTTGTTCGGTTTGTAAACAAACAACTTATTTTTAATACAACGCCTAATTCCAAGACTATCCATAATTATATACAAATAACTTTCCAGTGTATTAAAAATAAGTTGTCGCTTGCCAATGTCAATAAATCCTGAATGATACAAATACCACAAAGAAGAGCCAAAGTCTATAAAAAATACACATCTTAATAATTTAAATATGTGAGAGAATTCAAGAAAATTATAAGAAACAATCCAACGGTACGGCGAATAAATAAATAAACAAACTCTCTTCCCTATAAATATTCAAATGCATAAGTTTGTTACTAATTAATCGGAAAAATATTTTCGCACGTTTACAGGAAGAGACAAATACATTTAATGTTTCTTTCAACATGAAACAAATTAATTACTATCCACGAGATAAGATCTCCTTAATTCGGAGTGATATCACAGACTATGTTAAATATAGCTAATTAAGTAGATCTTATCAAAAAAAAAATGTACAACCTAAACAATATTATTTTTTCAATTACCTAAATGCATACAAAATGAAAAATCAATTAAAAAAAACCAAAAAAATTAATCCAAAAACGTCAAACGAAAGCATAGAAGTAATCCAACAAACGTTTAAAGCTCTAAGAAGCCCGCCATTCTTGAGTTGTCCCACAAATTAAAGCAAGAAACTTTATAAAGAAAAAAATAAGTTCTCTTATATACAGTTCTTGAGATCTTATTCTAACGGTTAGATTAAGATGAAGTCGATGTCGGTACCTCCTGGGGGGTTCTTCTGTTAGAAGGAACGAATTCGGCGGCTTCGGGATTTAACTTTGAATTTGCGACATTATCTACGGACGCTGGAATACTGCAAAACGTCCTAAATGTTTTATTTTATCCACCCAGTACAATGTCCCTAAGCTAATTTCGGGGATTTTTAATTTGTTTACTTATCTGAATACATGTATTATTCAAGTGATCGATAATAAATGTAGTTAAAAACACAAATAAGCAACAAAAAAACATTATTTTTTTGTAAATTAATAACGTGCTAGACATCTCTAATCAGTTATTTTAATACAAAATTAGGGTACCTACTTATTTAATTCCTTTACATATTGTTATTAATTTGATAAGTTAGTTTTAAAATTAAAATGTTTCGAATAGAGATAACCGAAAAGTAAATATAGTATGCGAGTAGATAAGGCCCAATATTGTTATCAACAAAAACAAATTTTATCAGCGTACATATTCCACATCATAGTTAATTAGCCTCTACTCACAAAGGTGCTATAAAAGTAAACAAAAAAAAACACAAAGATCGAAATATCGAAAAAAATTAATTAAACCAGGAGAAAGTGTCCAAGTGAATGTCCTTAATCCTCGTTGTATAACAGAATGCAAAAATTATTGTACGAGGCATATGTATATGAGAGAGGCATTGAACTTTTGATGTAAACAGCCAATTTATGATAATTTATGTCAATCAGATACTATGCATTCAACTCGAGTAATAGATCAATTAAAAAAAAAACCACCTCAACCAGTACCGAGGTGAGTAAACAAGACGTCATGAAATCCAATTTACCAACATAGGGGTGGTGTAAATTTATAATTAACTCGACTCTAATTGAACAGATAACCGAATTGGTCAACAAGATGGTAAAATTACATCACTTCGAGGGAGAAAATATATCGAATCGCAGACGTTTTATACCCGATAGGATAATTCAACGTTAATTGTTCGACAAACACTCGAAGTGGATTGTTATCAGGCTTACCTTTGTTGAGTAGCAGGATTCGAATTGTTCTCATCGTTCATGAAGGCTTCGAGGCACTCTTCCATCAGGGCCTCCTCCTCCAATCTTTGCATCACCTGGAAAATTCATTTGTCCATCAAGCGCCGTTAAGTTAGCTACGAATCGATTTACCTCTTTGTCGAACTCTTCCTCGTGCTCCATCCATAAGTACTCGGAGAAATCTGTTTCGGCCGTCGCGTTGAAATCCTCGACCACTCGGTTTTCGATTCCTTCCGAAAAGTAGGAATTATCTTCGTAGTCGTACAAACCGTTGTCAGTAGTTTGATTACCAGGCATTTTCATAGTCTGCAGCGAAAAAATCGGTGTTACTGTCCGTCGCTATTCGGGGACAGGCTCCTCCATTTTATGGATGTGGAACAAAAAAAAAAACGCAACCGAATGTCCACTTACCAAGCTTTAAAATGCCTCGCACGACGAGCGGATTTTTGCGTGAATTGGCGTTGTTAGGCTGTTAAAACGACGGATAAACTGCACTCGCTTTTGCAATTTGTTATTTATATATTTTTTTTTGTCGAGACGCAGTCACTTGCTTCTTCTATTGTATTGTTAAACAAGATGAAAAATAAACCAGGAACGCGCAGAGTCGCAAATGTCAGACAAGGAGAAAGTATTCCGATCGCGCCACCATCTGTCAGTGATCCGATCACTTACTGTTGAAGGTTCAATTCGAAGAATTTCGTTTTTTTAGTTCCGTGCTACAATCTAGATGGTGCTGGAGATTTCTGCGCGAATTTTATCATACGGGGGGTAAGCGAAAAGTTTAACTCACAGGGAGCGACTTTTTTTCAGTACATTATCGAAACAAACCAATAAAAATCGTGTGGAAAACATTGTAATATTTATTGTATAATATCAATTTGAAATAAAATCATTTATCTCGAGGGCGGCCATTAATTGTCCCGTCCCAATCTCGGCGAGTAAGGGGAGACCCTGCGTCCCAATCTCGGGGCAAAAGGCGGAGATCGTTGAATCACGTATTCAGCGGAATTATCACTGTCCTGCGACCATTTTTCGTTAGCCACTTCGTCCTCTACGTTCCTTCCCAATCTAGGCACAAAACTACTACGTTTACCTAAAAAATTCCCCATCAAAATTCAATACAAACAACTCAAATAAGAGGACATAAAATCCTATTAGTTACAGTAAGTTTCCACAACAAGTAGAGTATGATATTCTGTTCGAAAAGTCTACGTTTTTCATGCATTAATTTTGATAACCTTTTGATCATCTAGACCAAGATCAAACAGCAATCGAAACATTTAAAACGCGCATTTACCTTGGACATTTTTACAAACCAACTTATCGTTGCCGTTTATTGCTACTAAAGCCAGAGGTGATTCTTCGAAAGCTTCCAGGAGGTCTTGGAGTTCTTGTTCAGTCGGTTTGTACGGGTCGTCCTTTAATGTCCTCTTTCTTCTGCCCAAACGCGGACTGAACCACACCGAAGGTATTTTACTCTCCTCCTCGTCCTTCATTTTGCCACCGTCCAAATCGAACTGCAATCGAAACATTAACCGATCAGCAAGCATACTAAACAAAATAGCAACAAAACTGAACCATCGTGATAGAAAAAACGAATTTTTGGCTGTATCGATGCATCCCACGGGTAATCCAGATAAAACATCTAAGTACATACACGAACACAACAAACAGCAAACTTACACTTTGACTCGCTAAAACGATTTCGAAGCATATGCCGATGATGAGAACGACGGCACAGGACACGCGAATGATTCTCTCCATGGTTCGTTTCTGGAGACGGTGCAGGACATTGCAGGCATTTTATACAAATCCTTTGACGCGTTCGACTTCCTGGGGCGCCTGCAAGACAACAACCCCCGTCGCTTTCGCAATCCGCGCCGTTAATCCGTCACGTTTTAATCAAACAAAACGGTCGGTCTTCATTAATTATCCTTTTTAAGAAATGCACCGGGTCCTGCGACGCTTCTATTTCCATCGGCGATTCTAACATGGGCATTTTTTTAACTCGGTATAGTCGATAAAGCGTTGTTAAATTGGCGCATTAAAAGCTTCTTAAAGTGTCGCGCTGTAAATCATATCTTGATCGTTGATATGGGCTTTTAAATAAGATAAGAGAAATGCGTATATGTTTATTAGAAGCGCATTTATCTAGGCTGCTCAAGTGGTGGATTTAGTGATGTGGGAACTCTCGGAACATGTGTAGTGATGGCGCCAGCCTTACTATTGACCATGGGTGTTCGGGAAATTTATTACTTATCTACTTTGTCGAGGCCCATGCACGATTGACAGAACTAGGTACCTCGCGATTTATTCCTTCCTGCCTTTGCCGTTGGAAAATTAATAGATAAATTTTATAAGAGGGAAGATTCCCATAATTTAATAACGATATCGGAAGTGAGATGAGCGCTAGCTTCCCCCTTTTTTTATATACAGCACAAGCCTCGGACCATATCTGGATAGAAACCAGAAGGCCTTCTACTTTAATCCACCGAAGCGAACTTTGCATACTTACCTATACGATATTATTCTGTTTAGTTTACCCAGTGGAACGTAAACAAACAACGTTTCGAGGAAGCTCGAGCTCCTAGATTGATAAAAAAATTTGTTTAAATCGTCGATTACTGGAAATCGATACGCGAGGAATTGTAACCCGAAACTGCACGTCTGGATTTCGATGCGTAAATCACCCTGTTGAGTTATAATAGAATATTCATTGTTTAGGTGTCAGCCCGAAGGTTTTAGTAGGCCCTACAGGGCTCAGCGGTGAAGGGATCAATGTGTTCAGACAGACGCCAGGAGCCACTTTTGCCTCTACGACATAATAACATGACATAAAGTGACAGCGTGACACTTCGATTTTTTCCCGAGCGGATCCTTTATCGTGTAATTTATATCCTACACCGAACGATAAAGTGTCCATGTGTAAGTTATTTTACATGGAAATGATTTTTTGCCGCTAATAGCCTATTTGTTCATCTTAACTCTATTACCTACACGTGTAGTAGATATGCATCGTTTTTTTTTTATTAATTGGTATCATTAATTTGTTCTGTTTATAAAAATTGAGCAGCTCCAGGTCGAAGGTGAGAACGAAAATTTTGCGATTGTGTTCTTAAAAGTAGAGAGAAAATGTTTGTTCAGAAACTTGACGAAACAATCAGAAAATATTATAGAAAATTCAGTTAAAGTTTTATTGCATTTTACATTAGAGAATTTGATACAAAACATTCAATTTTAATTTACAATTCTCCCTGCTTGGTCAATAAAACTGAAGAAAATAAGTGAAAATTGCATATATTTTCAATTAATAGAACAGATCCAGTTCGAAGGTGAGAACGAAAATTTTGTAATTGTATTCTTAAAAGTAGAGAGAAAATGTTTGTTGAGAAACTAGTGGAAACAATCAGAAAATATTATAGAAAATTCACTAAAAGTTTTATTGGATTTTTCAGAGAATTATTGATACAAAATATTCAATTTAAAATTACAATTCTCCCTTGGTCAACGAAACAGAAATTTGCATATATTTTCAAAAAATAGAACAGCTTTAGGTCGAAGGTGAGAACGAAAATGTAATTGTTTTCTTAAAGTAGAGAGAAAATATTTATTAAGAAACTAGAAGAAACAACAAGAAAACATTATAGAAAATTCACTAAAACTTTTATTTAAATTCAATTTAAAATTACAATTACACCCTACGATTCAATAATTTCATAACATTACTCAAATCATTAAGTACAAAAAAATCTGTTGGTTTTGTTTGAATTATCTCGTTTAACATTGATGGAGATGCTACAAAAACCACTTAAATATCCGAGAGACGTAAAACCAACACATGCATCACCTATCATTCGAATTAAAAAGCGAGTTATCAAATTTATTGCGCCGGAATCATAACAAAATATTGATTCCGAAGGAGGTTCTTCCCGGGGGATCCTCCCAAAATCCCGGATGCAAGCAATAACGTTCCCGTGATAACGACCACGCTCCGCCTACGATACGAAATTAGTTCAACCGCAAAAGTGACAAGCTTTTAGTATTTCTAAGCTTTCGGGTTTCGTGCAGTTGGAATTTTTCGGAAATTTTCTGTTTGATGTGAAGAGTTTGTGGCGATTTTTCGGATCGGTGCGCGCTGGGTTAATTAATAATGTCCTACAACAATTCGCCGCCTGATCACCAGGATATGTTCCAGTACGGATATGCTAATCACAATTATCATTACATGTCAGGTAGGTGATTCGAAATTTATAAAAACCAGCGAATAAGTAGGATTTTACTTGGTACTTATTCTTTTAAAAATTTATTCAGGATTTACCCAGTGAAACATCCGGCACCACGATGTGTGCTGTTTCAGATGGATCATAAAATATTTAATAAAATAAATGACAAAATTGGAGTTGGTGTTTATTATTTCAACAATTTTATAATGCCGTATTAACATTTGTTACACAAATGTTTTCGTGTAAGTACTCGCGTGTATAGGAAAAGTGGAAGAATACAATTTTGGAGACAAATATTATTCGTTTCTTCATCGAAGAATTTCTACTGAATATTGTTAGACAAAAAAACTAATGAAATCTTCCTTTATATAAAAGCTTTAATAAAATTGATTGTTTAAAAGTTATTCAAATTGAACTTAGATCAATTGAAAAATCAGAAGTTTCGTTTAGGTAATTGTCGAATTGGTACAAGTTTTTTGTAACAAACTAAATTCAAATCGGAACTTGATTTGAACCAAGTTGATTCTAAAAAAAGAGTTGAGTATTTTAATCTTGAACTACAGACTCAATTTCAACAAAAAAACTCCTCACATTAATATAATCCAAGAATTCACAAATTTATTTAATTTTCCGCCCAATCCGTTGACGTTTTCGCCATTTTTTCCCGAACATCCCATCATTCTTCCGCACGTCGAGCCCGAACACAATAACAAATCATAATCCTCATCCTGAAGCAAACCACCGCTGTTTAAAAACCGCCTGAAATGTTTGTTTATCAAATTTTATGAACTCCACCCGGCAAAATCCGTATAATAATCACCGAGTTATTTTCGTCAAAAGGTTCTTATCTAAATAAACTCGAGAGTTTTACTCGTTACACTCACGTTAAACACAACCCAGCACCCGTTTCATTATCTACCTCTAACCCAAAGCACAGGATGCTCCCGTCGCATTAATTCCCACAATAAAACATCCATCTAATATTCCAGACAGCGGCAACGCCAACGCCACCGACGACACCACCTTCTGGTCGAACAGCCCCACCAGGTCCGATTCACCATCGCCCAGCATGCTGCAAAATCCTCTAGCAGGAACTTACCAAATCTACACCCAAGTGGGCTGCTCCACTAACAGATTCTCACCTTACAGGACTAGTAAGTACTATAGTGGGTTAGAGGATGAAGGGATCTTCATTGAACATTTCCGCAGGTTATCAAAGCATAAGCGCAGATTCGAATTTACCGGCTCCCGGGCAATTTGTGCGCGTGGTGAAACGAAGAACAACAGCTAATAAAAAAGAACGCCGTCGAACACAATCGATAAATATGGCGTACGCGGACTTGAGAGATTGCATACCGAACGTCCCTGCAGACACGAAACTATCGAAGGTACTAGAATGGTTATCTTCTAGATTGTTTAGGTAATCGTTCGGCAATTTTTCCAGATAAAAACCCTAAGGCTGGCCACCTCCTACATAGCCTATTTGACGCGAGCTTTGGAGACCGACGATCCCGCGGGCGGCTTCAAAGCCGAGCTCGGCGCGATATCCAGGAAATCCAGCCATCCGGTGCAAGCGAACGGCTGCACCGCCGGGCGGGTGTCGCCCAAGAGCGTCAGCTCGGTAAGCCCTTTGTTTTTCCTGTTAGAATTTCCATAGAGTTTCGTTCTCGGGAGCGATCGATTCGCGTTTGTAATTGCATCGGTGCAGCTGATTTCGTAGCTGCGGGACGTCCTGGATTTCGTCTATTTCTGAATATAATGATGCGATCGGATACGCCCTTTCGATTTATTATCGACTGTTGGTGGTTTCAGGACCGTGCTCGCTTAAATTCGTTTGGTTTCTTATTCGGTGCGTTGAATTCTAACGCGAAAAAGGACATTTAGTTTGAGGAGTTTGAGGAATTGGTTCGAATGGGGCGAGTGCGGTCCTGCGGGGACATTTTCCAGAATGCAGCGCGGCCGCAAATAATTATGTGGGGGCTGCAATTGGGAGAGTGTGACTGGTCGGATTCCCGGCTATTATTCCGCAGGATAATCGAATTATCGCGTACTTAGCGTCGACTGTTTTGACTTTCCAAATTTAATTTAGAGCGAATTTTGTGCTATTAGGAAAATTAAATTCGCCGGGTTGGAGCGAATTTCGCGCCGGCTTTGTTTATTAGATTACAATCGAAAATAATATAATCTTCTATCATCGTTTCGATCGCGCGAACGGGAGTTAATGGAACCGATAAAACTGCGCAAACCCATTAAACTGGGCTCGTTAATGAGCGCCGTTGTAAACAATGGGTCCAGCTCCTGCTAGTAAATGTTGTTTTGTAAACAGGAAGAACTGAACAGCTCCAGGAAGGCGAAAGGACGCACGGGTTGGCCCCAGCACGTGTGGGCGCTGGAGCTCAAACAGGAACAGGCCCTCTAACGTCGAGCTTTACGGGACCTTCAAAGAATCGAAATTTCAACATGTGTCGTTTTATGGGCTTTAAAAAGCTGTTGTTTCGATTTTTTTTGCTGGTGGAAATTCGCCCGGATGGATCAATTTCGTGACGTACTATTGAAGATAGCTGTTAATTTCTTTTAATTGCTTAGAATTTATTTATTAGATTAGAGCTAATACTCTGTTTTGTACCATACATGTAGATAGGTAAAGGAACCGATTTGCCTCGAGTAAATACACAAGTTTTTTTTTTTACCGATTTCTTTTATTGAATTATCGGTAAAGCGAATTTCTGTGTTTGCCAACGAATGTTAAGGATACTTTTTTGGATCCAGACTTGGTGATTTTTTTTTTAATACTGATGTGCATATCTGCAGTAGCGCCCTAATGTTTAATTCATTAGTAGATAATTTCCTTGAACTGTATATAGTAGATGTACGTGTCTATTTTGGTCGGGATGTACCAGATGGCCTCTTTCTGTATACATTTTACCTACACCTTAAGAGTTTTATATATTATAATTTTAGTCGGTTTACAATTAGATATTTACGTTACCGATTTTCTGTTTGTGTTTTTTAGTTACTATTTATAGAAAGAGTCGATTTTATTGTGCGATCATAAATTCGCCTAATTTACATGTTCATTTTAAGCAATAAAGTCCATTTGTAAATAAGTATTTTTCGCTATTTCGTTCGGTTTAAATTTTTTTCCCATCGACTGTTGAATTGAAGCGACGCCCACTGGTAATTTACAGCCAACTAAAACAATGATACATTGATTTCACTCGGGTGTGTATCGCGTTACGTGCTCCCCAGAGTTCGAGATGAATGTTAAAAATACACAAACGCTCCATTTATATCAATTATCATTCTTCAACGCTAATTGGCTTAAAGATAAATCCCTAATCATTACGTTTTTTTTTCCTCTCTTCGTCTCTTCGCCTCGATCCACTTCCTAATCTACAAGGACGATGTCTAGTTTAAATAAAACGCAATTTTGTAGTAAATAATAAATATTTCATTCGTATAACCTCGCGCGTTGGATACAAATTATTTCAAATTCTTCTGGATCCATGGCAGGAATTTCTCCACTCTGGTGTACACGCCGGGGTACTGGCCTTTACCGCAGCCGATTCCCCAGGACACGATGCCCACTTGGGTCCATTTACCGTCGTTCACCATCAAAGGTCCACCGCTATCGCCCTAAAAACACCACCAGGTGATCGAAATCCGCGCGAATACGCCTGCAAATTCCACTTACGCTGCAGGAATCCCTGTTCGTTTCGCCGGCGCACAGCATATGCTCCACTATCCCACCCGGAGCGGCGGCTCCGTACTTCAATTTGCAGTTGAAGTTGTTCCAAATCGGTATGTTCACCTCTTGCAGCACCGCCGGTTGGGGCCCACCTGAATCAACCGAGCAATTTTTAGAGATATTCGATGTTATGTTTCGAATTTTCTATACTTTCTCTGAGGCTACCCCAGCCGATGACCGTTCCGGTTTTCCCCGTCGGATCCGCGACTCCAGTGGGCAAGCAAATCGATCTGATTTGCTGGTTGAAATCCACCGGACTGTCCAACGTTAATATAGCGATATCGTTGTACTAAAACTCACCAAATTACACATCTATTACAACTAATAGAATTGTGCAACTTACCAACGTCCTGGAATCGAATCCCCGATGTCTCACGACCCTCTTCACCCGCTTCTCCACGTGCCGGGTCTCCGCGTTCGATTTGATATTGTGATCGCCGAGTCTAACAGTAAGCCTCGCGACATCCCAGGAAGTCATACTGAAACAACCAACGATTTTATCGAAGATATTACTAAGCTATAGAGTACTCACTGAGCAACGCAATGAGCGGCTGATAAAATATGCTGGTTGTCGATTAGAGAACCGCCGCAGAACTGCCGCCCACCGTTGAACAAGGCCGCTATCCAAGGCCACTCGTTCACCTCGGCGTTGTGGCCCCCGACGATGCGCTCCTGGTCCTGGTAGCCGTTCTTGGCGCCGCAGGAACCCGCCGGAAGGGCCGGCGAAGGGGCTCCGGTGGGGGGCTTCGTGGCGGGAGGTTTGTACGTGGGGTAAGTCGGTTTGTAAGTGGGGTAACTCGGTTGGTAGACCGGGTTGATTGTGTTGATGGGTTTCAAGGTAGGAGGCCAGGCGGTGGGGGCGAAGGTGGGGTAAGCGTGTGAAGGCGGGTGGGTGGGAAGAGGCGGTATTGTGTTGTCGGGGGAGTGGGTTGGAAGCGGTGGAGGCCAGTTGAAGAATTGCGGGTAATACGGTATAGCGCTTTCGTTGGATTGTACAGCATCTACAACGGTATCTTCGAGTTCGGTTGGTTGTTCGGTGGATAAAATAGCGCTGGAAGGGTCGGTGGGTTTGGCTGGATTCGGGTTCGTGCAGCATATACCAAACATCTGAAAACCAATCGCTTGTAACACCAACAAACTCCGAAAAATGCGTTTTACCTGTCGACCTTGGGCGGTGTAGTAGCTGCAGGTGTCGTACATGCCGAGCACCCAGCTCTCGAAGTTGCCGAATTCGGCGACCTTGAAGTAGGGGTAGCAGTGGCGGAAGGAGGTGCACTTGCCCAGGAGGCCCTTGGCGGTGTAGCATTGGCCGGAGGCGGCGGCGCTCAGCGAGTTGGTGTCGACGGGCCGGCCGCCCCACGGTTGGGGGATGAGAAAGGGGTGGTAGACGGGCAGGGCGGGCGCGCGGAAGAAGTACTGGCGGCCGCGCCGGCTCGGCGGCGGCGCTGGAAATTCGGTTTCTGATTCGATTCGCTGGTTTGTTTTTTTTTGATTAGCATATAATGAGGTTTTTTTTTTCGTCGCAAACCGCGAGGTATTGTGTGAGGAGGACTGTCAATAAACTCGACGAATTTCGGCGGGTGATCGATAACATTGAACTCGATTTTTTCGATGGGACTAGATCGTTTACCTGTGTTTTTTAATAATTTTCTATAGCTGATTGTTTACAGGATGTCTTGGAACAATTCTATTCTATTCTCAATCCATTGTCATTCAAAAACTTAGGTTGCAAAAAAATATCTCGCGATTATTTTGGACAAGTTTTGAGACGATTTGTTACCTAATTCTACTAAAAATTTCCCGTATATTAAATATACTGCTCCACATAAGTTAAGGAAGTTCACAAATATTGTGATTAATTTAAAATTTGCAGGTTTTTTGATCGCCAAATTTAGTATGAGTTGTAGAAGTGCGAAATAAAAACGTTTAATTTCGCATATTTGAAAATTTGGTGATCAAAAAGTCTGTAACTTTTAAAATAATCGCAAAATTTGCGAACTTCCTTAACTTTTGTGGAGCAGTTCATTTGCAGTGATTCCCCTTAGACCCTTTAAGAAATTTAAATGCCTAAAACATGTAAAATAAACAAAATTGTATACAATTAATTGTTACATAATTAGAAACCAAATTTTTGGAAGGAACATCAACTAAACCATAATAACTCAGCATAGTAAATGAAGAGGTGAATGTTCTTAGCGACCTTGGCAATGGTTTCCGATTGATTAAATTCAAAACTTGTAATATTGTCACCACAATTACCTCTACAATTATAAAACAAATCAATCTCCTCTCGAACTTCTGCTTCAAAAAAAATAATAATAAAACAAACAGACGTCGAGTGTGTTAACTAGCTACAAATTTTTACTTAATATGCCGTTACGCGAGGTGTTTTTTTCGAAATAAATCGAGATATTTGCATGACCGGCTGTTACCGTTAACCCGTCGAAATTTCAAACCGCCGTTCCCCGAAGCGACAAAAAAAAAATACAAAATACAGAAATTGAGTACCTGCATCGACGACGACCGCCTCACTATCATCATCAAATATGGTCGCGTGGACTTTTAAATTGACCACGATCAAACACCAACAGACGTTTACAGTTAGCCTCATGGTTAACCAGAAATTGATTTTGATTTTGATACGCTACCGCTGCCCGTGTCGCAAGGCAATGCCTTTATTTCGTAAAGGTGCTCTTATAAAACTGTATACACGCACAGCTCCCCTCTCTCGTCGGAGGATTTTACAATTTACAAGCCAGCAAGGATGTTGGTGGTTTTGTTTTAATAAGGATTCGCGAGTTGATCAACAGGCCACATTTCCTCGCTCTTTTGGTCTCTTGCACTTGCATTGGTTCGAATGTATTGTGGTGAAAAATTTCTTCTTACTTGCCTTCGTACTTTTTATTAATATCTTCATTTGAAATGATAGTTATTGATCCTGTAAATATTAGTTTAGAAGCTGCGGGAAAGAGAGTAGATTTCCTTGCATAAAGTTTTGAAATTCTCTAAGTAGTAAGTACTGTTAATAAAAAATACGATGACATAAAATAATCGGTAATCTCCGCAGTAAAATTTCAGAGGTCACTTTACAGCCCAGAGGTTTTTTTTTTGGCAAAATGATGGCAGATTAATCGAAAGGCTGCAGATGTAGCGGGAACATTAAAATTTGAATTTTATAATCCCAATAAATTAACAGTAAAATTGTTCCCTGGAATTCAGACGCCGATGGCGAATCGAGATATATTTATGTCCGAATTTTATAAGGATCGGGAGTATTGAACTTCTTCGCGTTTTTTAAGAAGTTGATTCGGTAACTCGATCTGTATCGCTGAATTGGTTTCTGCATAACAGGCCCGTATTCTGCGTTATTTTGAATTTTTGTTTCGGGCACCAAATTCGAAGCGCTTGCTTCGGATTTATGCAATTTTCTGGAAATGTTCTTAACTTAGTATAAAGTTAATTACTCGTCTATAGGATGTTTCGAATCATCCTCGAGCCGGACCTGATTGTTTTCCTGTTGTGCAAATTTGCATTAAAATACACTTAATATTTTTGTCCTAAAATCGATTGGTACTGAAAATGTTTGCATAATTGTCGAATATTGCGATAATTACGAGGAACTAGTTTCATGGGACAGAAGAAAAAGAGAATGCGATGCAAAGTTTATTTTATTTTAATTTTTACATACAATTTAGCCTCCTTTCTCAGTCTTCATTGCCAATTTAATAACAAAAATTTAACAGTCATAAAGCAAATTTTTAAATATTTAGTAACTACAAAGCTTACAAATAACACCCCCATATACAAGTGAAAATGCGCCTAATTTAATAAATGCAAGTGACAGTACTGGCCCCATTTTATTAAACTACAAACACCCCCAAAAATTAATTGGATTTTTCTTTATTCGACGCTTCCTTTTCGCTTTTGCATTTTTTAATAATACTCTCAAAAGACGTTATATAGAAGGCACTTATTATTCTCAGAAGTCCCAAAAGAGCAGACTCTACCAGCACATCAATAATCCTTTTAAAAGGACTCATCCCGGTACAAAGCGTTGTTAAAATAAAAGACTCCATTCCTACGTAGCTGAAGAACTTCCCCGTCTACAAAATACAAAAAATTAATTACATGTTAATTACTTTTATTAATTACCCACCAATGCATCCTGCATAAGCCTTTCGGCTACAACATCAGGATCAACAAGGCCTCCTACTTCCGATATGAGTTTCGTTTCGAGGGGTTTAGTTTTATTCTCATTCTCGAACCCCGGAGTATCAGTATCCGGAGGTAAAGCTAAAGTTACAGAAATATTGTACGGTTTGACTTCCATATAAAGGGATTCAGCGAGGCCTCTTAGAGCGAATTTAGTGCTCGAGTACACCGAATACCCGAACATGCCCATTAGAGACACCTGCGAACCGGTCAGTACAATAATCCCTTCTTGGCGCTCTTTGAATTTCGGAACAACGGCTTTAACCGAATACAAGCTTCCGAGGAAGTTTATGTCGACTAGTTGTTTGATTTGCTGCAACGAGAAGTCTTCCACGTTACCGCAAATGGCTAAACCGGCGCAGTTGATGAGCATGTAAATCGGGCCGATTTCCAATTCTACATCGTTCAAACACTTTTCCAGGTCTTCGTAATTGGAGACATCCACGGAAACTGTGGTGATTATTTGCTCGTTGCTCCTAAGTTGGCTGTTGAGGTATTTCTTCGTTTCTTCGAGTTTATCCTTGTTTCTCGCCATGATAGTAACGTGAGCTCCAGTTTTAGCTGCTACACGCGCAGTACTCCTTCCGATACCACTGGAGCCCCCTATTATAACAACGTGCTTGCCTTTGATGCTTTTTTTTGGTGATGGTTTTATGTACAGGACTATCAGAAACACCGGTAGAAATGCAAGGAACCATATTGCATGCATTTTTTATTGCAACTACTGCAATACACTAGAATTGATAACACTGGGAGTATAGTACCAGGTTTCTATAAAACAATTACAATCGTTTAAAATTTTAAACTACTAATTAATAGACTATTTGACATTTAATTGGAGGTTAAATTCGTCTTCTTTTTTTCCTGTTACAATGCTAAAGTGGATAGAGGCCACTAAATGTCAAAAACATCAACTGTCATTAGTGTCATTCGATCTGTCAAAAAAACATTTTTGCTCTATGATGTCATTTTAATGCCGGTTCAAATTGTGGTAAAATTGTGCAATTTTATTAAATACTACAAATAATGCAAGTTACAATCGAATACGTAAATTATTAGCAGTACAACGTTACATTATTTCAGTGGAATTACAATGGGTGACACCGGCGATTTGGCTACGCAATTTCACCATCTAGAAGGCGACTTAAAAGGTGAAAGACAAAAAAGTTTGTACAAATTAATTACAAAACCCGGCTTGTTTGCGAACGAGAAGCAATTAAATGATGCCTTACAAAATATAGTGCCTAAAACTTACCAAGAAAAAGCGTTTTATGTAGACATATTGATATATTTTAAACGAACGGAGAAACTTTTGGAGATTATGAAAAGTGGAAATCAGGTATTCGCTACTAAGATTCTCAAGCAACAATGGTTCTACGATCAAGCATTTGCTAATATCGGGGCTAAGGAGCTATTTGAGAACTTCCTACCTTATTTTTCTTATATTGTTCGCAAGAAATTGCTCCACAGGATATCTCTTTGCTGGCAGGAGGATAAAATGGACGAACTGTATGATTACCTAGACAAATAGTGAGTAAAAGGTCTACTTTATTGTATTATTTTACATCTAACTGTTTATTTTTAGTTATGGATTCGTGGACGCTTCGGATATATTGCACAACTGCTCCATAGAGAAGATAAAGTTAACTCTCGAAGAAAACGAAATCAAGCTTAAACCGAACCAAGTACTGCAACTGTATAAAAGAAACCCCGACATTTTCAAGCACTACTTAACTTACTTCAAAACTCTCACAAAAACTCGATACTCCGAAGACAAAGTAGTGAATTACGTGGCTTTGAACGATCCGAAATTGTTCCTCGAATTGGAGCGAAACGAATTAATATCCGCCTCGAAGATCGGCCGGAGAACCACGAAAACCGTGATGAAAGTCTCGAAAGCAGAAATTTCCAGCGACATCAAGCGCTATTCTAAGTTTTTGAACAAACCGATACTCGTCAGAAAACTCTCTCCTGATTTCAAATCCGTCTATCGAAGCGTTTTTCCCGGTAAATTCAGCGCCCTATTCAACACCGTACGTTACTCCAACTGGAACATGATCAAGTATTACCCGAAAAAGCGTAGGTGGGATTTATTCTTCAGTATATGTACAGAAAAATTCCAAAACAAAACTATCAAAGATATACTCACATCGTTTGATAGTGAGATAAAAGAGTACCACCCTCCTTCGGAGATCATCCACCAATGGGCTAAAATTTCGTACGAGAAACGCGAGAATGACTACGAAACATACCTCAAGTACTACCCGATTTCCTCTGCTATACAATTAATTAAAGAGAGAATAAACCTCACTTCAGATCAGTACAAACGCAGATCTTTGATTCGATCGTTACTACAAGCTTGTGCTGAAAACAAAGACTTGAATGCTCTGACAGAAGTACTTAAATACATCTCCACAAGGTAAGTTATACTTATAAATATAGAATAAGTTGTTAATGTATTAGTTTTTTTAGGCATAGATCTGAGAATGTGAGCTTAAGAAGCGAAATACTAGACGAAATAACGAATCAGTTCGACTTGAAGGAATTGAACGAGACGCATTGGTACTACATCAACGAGCAAATCCAGCTACTGAAAATTCAAAACGAATTCTCCTACTTCCAATTCTGCCGGATATTCGAACGCTACCTGGAATTCCTATTCGAAAACAAGCGAAACCACGACGCCGCCCTCGACGACTACATACAACTGATAATCGGGAACTCCCTATTTCGGCTCGACTTGAAAAATCCCGCGATTGAAAAGGAAATCCACTCGGCAATTTGCGCGCGTTTCCCGAGCTTCGTCAAAGCGGGCTCGGAGGATTCCATCAGTTACTTGATCACAGCGATCATCAAATTCGACTTGGATCACAAGGAGCACTTCATAGACCTCAACAGCTACCCGTACTTCCTGAAGCGCATCGAAGACTCCTTCGAAAAGAACCCCAAAATGACCGGCGACAGGAGACAGGTCATCACCGATGTTCTTATCTACAACGAAACCTTCCCCGAGCATGCTGTACGAGTTGACCAATCGGCAGTTCTCGAAACCTTCGTGTTCGTAACCAACGAGGTTGAGAGCGGAGTCTTCTGGTTTACCAGCGTGTTCGAGAAGCTGGTGATGAAGAAAAACCGCTCGGAACTCGCTGGGCTTTTGCTGAAATATTGCTTCGAGAAAATCGATGCGGATTATCTCTGGAACGAACTGGCGACTTGGTTGCTCAAAAACGACCCCAAGACGTTGGTTCCTTACTTCGATTTGTTTTTGAAATCCTGCATTATCGATGGTTACACTTCTGATGATATAACACACTTACTTATTCAATATTCTCACTTAAATTTCGATACTAAAGCTACGTTGTTTTTGAAGCAACAACTCGATATTGTCGAAGAAACTGATTCATCGACGGTTCACAAAATCCTAAGCAGCTTGTTGATGTTGCTACCGAACGAAGAGTTCATAAAAATCGTAGAAGAAAGGTACCTGCCGGTGAAGGACAAGCTGGATCTGCAGGACGAGAAGATGCGCGTTCTGTACAAAATCCAATGCGACCTCGCCAAGATCCTCTCCAAAGTCCAGGAGCCCTACAAGATGCTGCCGCTGGTGATGAAATTCTGCCGCGGCGACTTCCTGCAGGCCGCCCTTCCGGCCCTCTACAGCGCCTTCTACAACTCCCCCCAGCGGGTTTTGTACCCATACGTCGAGGAGCTCGGCAAGCGCGCTGTATCGTGCAGGAAGCACGCCATCTTCCTCAGCTGCGCCGTGTTAGACAGGGAGCACTCGATGAACCTGCTGCGCTCTACGAACGAGAGCAACGCGTCGAGCCAGAAGCACCTCTTCGCCGCCACTTTGAAGTACTTCCTCAGGAACCCTTCGCGTGAACTACTGCTGAGGGTCGTCGATAACATGAAGACTATCGATAAGAACGACGTCGAGACTCTGGAGAGCTTGCAGCGCGCTGGAGTACCGAAGAAGTTCAGGCACGTTTACCTGGAGAAGTGTTGGTGCTTCTTCGAGTCTCTGGAGAACGCCGATGTCAACGTGAGCGGTTATCTCGAAACGTTGCTGGGTTTGATGCACGGGGATGTGCTGGTAGCGATGTCGAAAGAATTTATTGCTTACATCTTGCGGAAATATTTCTCCGCGTTGGGGAATAAACGACTTCGGCGCGTGGACGGTTTCGTGGTGAACGTTCTGAGAGATAGGGTGGAAGAACGCGGGGAAAATGCGAAAATCGTGTTCGATATCGCCGCGAATTTCACGAGGAAATCGAGGCATTCGTTCTTCGAAGCGTTCCTGGCTGTAGCTCGAGAGGAGGCGACGAAGAAAGACTTCGTGCTGGTGTTTTCGGAGCATTGGGTTGGGAATTTCACGATCGTTCAGACGCTGCAAGAGCACATCGCGCTGAGGCTGCTGCTGATCAGGCTGGATAATCCCGGTTTGGATGAATTCGCTGCTGGCGTGGTGGTGTACATGAATGAGTTGATTTCTGAGCTGACTTTCCTCGTTATTCTGACCTTCAAGGAGCAGTTAGTCGATGCTTTGGGGTTGCTGGAGTTGAAGGATCGATTGCGGTTTTATTTGAGCGTTTTGAGGCAGAGTTCTGATCCGAATGTGTGCGTTTTGGTCATACAAATTCTCGACGAAATAGACGAGAGCGATGAGGATGAGAATGAAGATGTTGTCGATATTTACAAAGAGATTAAAAGTAATTTACGGAATGTGAATGTACCGATTGTGATGGCTTATTACAAGTCGCGATTTGTTGACAATAATTAGATTGTTGTATTTTATTTATTTACTCAGGGATACTTGTTTATTTTTTTCGCGATTTATAGGTTACTACTCAGGGATATTTAATTATTTTTTTATTGCTTATTAACACTAAGAATTATATATTTTATTTTTTATTAATAGAAGTTGACGTTGTGAAAATGTGGTTTTATTTCTGTTCTCGTATAATCAAAAACGTACAAATTTAATGAAACAGTTTTATATTTAATAGAAATTACTCTTTGTATAAAATATAAAAACATAATTACTAGCTATATTATATTCGTTAGAACGCTAAGTGTAAAGTAAACATGTTTTGTTCGAAATTAAGTCACAACAATGAACACAGTGGTATGAATTTTACATACAAATCGACACAATTAATGTATAAAAAAGTTAACTTTTATAAATCTTTTCAACCATTATTGCATATAATATAATTTAGCTATTTTTGCATTTTTATTCCTTGAGTATATAAAGGCTAGCCCTAATTTTTTTATGGCAAGTTTTAACGTTACATAAGAAAAAAAAACTGTTTAAAACTTAAAACTGTTAACTACTGCGTATATTAGATATTAGAAATTGCATCATTGCTACATAAAACGTACACTAAAAATGATATCTAAAATTAATTTACTACGTTAAAAAAAACCTCTCAGTTCGTTCGTACATACAAAAAAATTTTTGGTTTACAATTTAAAATTAAATAAATCATTACGCGTTACTGGACGTTATTTAGACTTTTTTACTATCACACATCGTCATGAAAAAATACATTTTAAAATTCGAAGAATCAGTACAGACATATCCTACGTATTCGACATGCGAACGCTACCAAAACGAAAAAGAATGTGTGAACTCAAAAACGTTCTGTAACCGACAGTGAGCAAATTATTTACAAATAAAACTAGCGCAAATCAAAGGTCCGGATTCGGAGCTATAGTCAGGGTGACCGACAGTCCGGACTCTTTGATCAAATTCACGATATCCCCGTGATTGTAATGCGTGATGTCGATGTGATTCACAGCTACTATGTAATCTCCAACTCTGAGCCTTCCGCATCTCTCCGCCGGACTATCTTCAATCAATCGTCCTAAAATAAAAAAAATCATACACAATAAGAGTCTGTTAATAATATAAAACACTCACCGATTGTAGAACCAATTTTATTAGCCGACGATATAATCACGAACCCGAACCCCTCGTTCTCGGTCCTCTGCACGGTGACCTCGTGCGTTGACGAAACCAAATGCGAATTCGCCGGTATCAGCGTCATGTTAACCGGCATCTGCGAGTGACCGTCCACCGTCCAATACGAGGCCCCCGCGTTCACCGGATGGACGCGCCGCCTCAGCACGAGATTCACCTGCCCCCTGGTGGCGGCGGCGTTCATCAATTGCACCACTTGCCGATGGGACGCCTTTATCACCGAATACCCATCCACGCTGACGATCTCGTCGCCCGAGCGTATCCTGCCGTCCACGTCGGCCGCCCCGCCTGCTACTATATGCCCGACAGCCACCTGCAACAACCCCACAAAATACAATACAACTCTATATTTTAATTTAGTTAGTTTACTTGTGATTTATCTTCGATGCCGCCGATGATCCTGAAGCCGAATCCGGTTTCTTGTCGATGCAAAGTCACTATAGTCGTGAGGTATTCGGGCGAGTGGAACCACCAGTCGTTGCCTGCCGGGTACTTCTTGGCGTTGTCGTAGGGATCGCCGGGATCGGGCCGGGGGTTCGAGCAGTACGCGCACGAGCAGTCGTACCGGTGAGGAATCGGGTTGTACAGGCTGAACCTGGCGTCTAATTGGGGGTACTCGCTCATCGTTCTGTTTTGGTTTTCAGCTAAATCTACGTCGTCCGCGTCCTCGTCCTGGTTGTCTATCAGCGACAACCTCAATCGAGGCCTCTCGGAGCTGTTTACGTTGTCGTTTAGGTAGTCGTGTTTGTATAGTTCGTGGTTGGAGTTCGAGTTGATGTCTTTGATGGAGGTCTTCGATAAACCCCTCGTGTCTACCAACGGCGTTTTCGGCCTACTGGGCAGTATTTCCCTAGGTTGAGTACTGTAAATATCGGCTGTGGGTGTTTTGCTGCGGTAAACGTTGTTGATGTCCTTTCCGTTGAAGCGAACGTCCAATTTCCTGGTCTTGTTTCGTACCGTAGGAGTCTTCGGACAGCCCCGTTGGACTCGAATCGTCGCCTCGCTGTTATAAGCGCAGTTCTTCAGCACTTGCACCACCTCGTCGTGCGACATATTCTGCAGGGAAATCTCGTTTATTTCCACCAGTATATCCCCCTCCATTAAATTCTTGCATCTCTGGTGGTCGAGGATCTTCTTCACTCTCTGTCCACAAGCGCTGTCGGCTATAGTAAACCCGAAACCCAGGTTGCCCTTTACGATCCGAACTTGCACGTCTATTTTACCAACGGAAACGTTTCCGATTCCCTTCAGCAAATCGTCCAAATCGTTGTTGGAATCCGACAGCGTCTTGTCGCGCGAGACCTCCTCGCTTTCGATGAAATTATAATTCGTATCCACGAAGGACTTTTCGTTCGCGATGGGCTGTATGTGAGTGTCTACGGCTATCGTGGTCACCACTTCGGTATTGGGATCGTTCGGATCGAACGGCAGAGGATACCCCCGGCACACTTCGAGGCAAACCGTCGAACCGACGCCGATGGACTGGAAAAGCCTGACGATCTGGTTGTGCGTGTAGCCCAACACGCAGGTGTCGTTCACGAATACAATCACGTCGCCGGTTTGCAGCCGGCCGTCGAGCCAAGCGGGGCCTTTCGGTACCACCGATTTGATTTGCAGGAATTCGTCTACGTTGTCGTCGCCGCCTACTATGGTGATGCCGAGGCCCCTCGAGGACTTCACGAGGGAGGTCTTGAAGCGCTGGCCGCAGAGCTCGGCGGGGTCTTTCGTGAACGATGTCCTGCTGATCCTGGCCGATGACTGGGAGGCGGCCCGTTTGGCTTGTATCACCGGGTTTTCGTACTGAGTTCTTCGGTTCACGTGGTCTATGAAGTAGGTGCCGTAGTGGGGATCGCTGATTTTTTCCCAGCCGTACGGTAGCTCGTCGTCCATGCAGTCTTCGAGGGTTTTCTTTTGGAATTTCGACAGCCTCGGGTCCAACCAATGGGATGTACCGGTCGAGTGGCTGAAAATTGACAGTTCGTTCGAATGAAATTGCTGCCTACTTGATTGATGTGTTCGAGGTGAAGTTAGGTACTTACTCGATGAAATAAACTTCTCCGCTTTCTGTGTAGGCTTTTTCCCATTTGGGCGGTAGCGGTCCGAGGGAGTCCGAGTTGTCATTGTTGCCGTTTTCGTTGAAATTGCCCTCTTCTTCGAAGTAATTTTCTTCGGGGTGAACGGTATCGTCGGTTTCCACCCTCAGAGGTTGAGATAAAAGGTTCTGCTCGGCCGTGGTGTTCATATTACGCTACTTATGCATTACATAAATACGAATTGTAATTATACTTCGGACGACTACATTTGGCAATAATTTCTATTGCATGCTTCGGGATTCTTCAAGGCATTTTAACGTCGCTTAAATCGGAAAATTGCATTGACAGAATTTCAGTTAACGTCATTAGTTTGCTACAAGGGATCGTAAAAATTCATTTTGATGGTAATCGTTAGAGTTGTTGGTTTACGATCGAAACGAATAGATCATCTAATAATTAATAATTACCGAACACATAAATAAAACAGCAAAATTAAAGCACTAAAAAAATAAAAACAAACAAAAATTTATTTATGACATATGACATGTTCTTTGACAGTTGTCATTATGATGTCATCTTTGTTACGTCCAAGGTCGTGTTCAGAACAAACATCCGTACTTGAAACCACACCCTAGAGTAGTTTGAAGATTAGACAAACATATATATTTTTTAAATAACTGCATTTAAAAAAATACTTCGAATCTATTGCAATACACAATCGAATTAGAAATTAGATGAAATTGCTTCATATTTCCAACACGCCCTTTGAATAAAGTTGTAAAATTCGATGAATGAATCGAGTAATTCGGAGGCGCGCTGTTAGATGTCGCTAAAAAGAATTAATTTAAAAATGATATTTGTACGGAAACCGACGATCGTTAGGAGATTATTTGTTTATAATTTGTACGAGTTTACGTAAACTATCGAGATATTTAAGCGACGAATGGTATTTAGGGAATAAAAGAATAATTGTAAAAGCGAATGCGGCTCCTAACGTAACCACGTGTGATGCTGTGGCATTTTTACAAAGTCGGTTGTTCTGCGAATCGGAATTTCGTATCTCTGCGCAGTCACAGTCAGGTAAAATCGGCTGTCCTGTCTGGTGGAAAAACCAATATGGAGTGGATTATTTTAGTAAAAAAAGTGATTTGAAGGCGTGTTATTTCAGTTGCGGGCGCGAGATTGGAATAAATGATCAAGTAATCCATCATCTTAAGAATCCCGAAGGCACATAATGCGATAGTGGCTCCAGTTCCGTTAGATGACCGCGATAAGATCACCATACATGTATGAAATATCTGTGGATGTCAAGATTGTCAAGTGAGAATTTCCTGAATTATTTGTCAATGTAATTACAATTTGTCGGTTTGTTTATCTCATTTAGCCCGATCGAAAAACGAAAGCGACGGGATCTCATGACGTGCTCTATTTTTTTTAGGTGAAACTCGCTAACGAAACACGATCGAAATGGGGAAGTTGCTGTCGAAAATATTCGGAAACAAGGAAATGAGGATACTGATGCTCGGCCTCGACGCCGCCGGAAAGACGACAATCCTGTACAAATTAAAATTAGGACAGTCCGTATCAACCATACCGACAGTGGGCTTTAACGTCGAAACGGTGACCTACAAAAACGTGAAATTCAACGTGTGGGACGTCGGCGGCCAGGACAAGATCAGGCCCCTTTGGCGACACTACTACACCGGCACGCAGGGTTTGATATTCGTCGTCGATTGCGCCGATCGGGATCGCATCGACGAGGCCAGACAGGAATTGCATCGCATCATCAACGACAGGGAAATGAGGGACGCGATCATACTCATCTTCGCCAACAAGCAGGACCTGCCGGAGGCCATGAAGCCTCACGAGATCCAGGAGAAGCTCGGCCTGACGAGGATCCGGGATCGGAATTGGTACGTGCAACCGGCTTGCGCGACCACCGGCGACGGCCTCTACGAGGGACTGACGTGGTTGACGAGCAACCACAAGTTATAGCATCCCGGTACGCAATCGTTTTAGTACACGACTACAATCAGCACTTGTGATTATTGTTTCGAACCGATTCACATTCCATTCGTATTGGTTTTCGTCGGGTTGTACGTTGAGACCTTTGCTCTTCGATGTCGACTGGTTTGCTTATTGATTGATAAGGTACTGTTTCGTAGATTCGCAAATTACTACAAATTAACGTTGTATATTATTATTATTATACACTTGTGGTATGTACATCTTATTTTATACAACAGTTTTTGCATATTACACAGAGTTTATTGAATGATTCTCTTAATAGGTTCAGCTTACATGCATATTTATGGGTATATATAATGCACGTTACCTATATTATGTACAGTGGAGGTTTTAATCTCATTCATTTTCGAGTCGGGAACTTTGAATGGTTGAGTAATTTTTTTAGTATCGTTGCAATTCAATTAGGTGTTCCAATGACCAAAGTATTAGCATGTTCGCTCGATTGTTGCATTTTACACGGCGTGTTATATATCAAATAGAATAAATACAATGTCAATTATTGGGACGTTTGCGAGCGCATGTTTCTGCCGGGCAGTCATCCGCAGACCTAATGGAGGATGTAATGAAGAAATTTCCTGCCAATAAATGCCTAAAAACCATTCGTCACTCAAGCGGTAATTGAATAGTTTTTTCATGATAGTTTGTTAGATTTGAATCTACCGTAAATTTTAAGTATACTGATCGAGATATGTATATAAAAAAAAACTGTTGATTTTAATGTTGTTGCAGTAATAAGTAAGCTTATACCTATTTTGTATGTGAAGTTGATTTCGAGTAGAAAGGTCGAAACGAGGAAAATTTGACAAAACAAACCAAACGATTTCTATTTAGTTAAATGAGTGCTATTGATAGTTAAATAATAATAATAATAATTTTCCGAATATATTTTTTTGTATAAATTTGAGAATATTTTTGTTTATTCCCTGTTTTTATGTAGACGAGTACGGAAGAACAATGATTATAAGGTGAATTTCAAGAAATAAATCCATTCAAGCTGCCAGTCCAAATTTCTACTTGGACTTTAATCAGTGAATCAATTCAGTTGTGTAGTGTACGAGTAGATTAGTGGCAGTGTTATAATTATAATTCAGTTAGATTTTCTACTACCTATTTGAATGGTTGTGACAATTCGGACTCATTCTTGAAATTACCTCACATGTAACTTGTAAATAAATTATTAGTAGTATTGTATTGTTTTATAATGTGAAATATTGTTGCTACATTTTTCAAATCATCAGTATGTTTTTTATCGTAGAATTGTTGTGTTGTTGACGTTTATATTTCCAGGTATTTATCCACCCTATTTATTTCTTTCTGCACTGTAATTTAATATATTCGTACCTGGATATATCCTTACAACACAATCGTTCTATTATATTTTGGTACAAAATTTATTGTTAAATATATTTTCATTTCTATATTATATCGTACGAAATGGATTATTAATTGCTATACGTTTTTATCGTAATATGAAACTAATTTCCCATCGAGCAATAAACTAATCAATTCATATTGCTTTAAAATAAATTAATAGTCCACTTCGGTACTAAAGCAAAAGTAAATACTAAATATTTATATATAAATACTATACTTTATATTTTTCACAATAATAGTGATATGTTTTACGCGCGCACCGGCGGGCGGTATTCGTTTCGTATTATTTTTAAACATTTAAAATGGTCATTGAATCGCTATAAAAAAGAAGCAACTAATCGAACACACCGCGGTGCGTGCGTAATGAAACATTTTAAAATGTTGGCTAAAAATTTTCGAGAGACAAGGTGTAAAGAAAGTCAATTAATGTAATCTGCTTAGATATTAAACGGCTCGGCTTGAGAGTCAGTTCAGTTTCGACTTGTAATTTACGAGGAACTCCTCCTGATTGATACCAGTGATTAGAAATTTGATCGGTTCATCAAACTAATTCGGTAGCTTTTTTGAAATTGAAGCAATAATTTCGTTACAGTCGCGCTTAAGCAGGTTACAGTAAATAATAATTACAATTCATTCCTATGTCTTGTCCCTTATCGTAACGGTAATTTTATTTTTCTTTTTATTTCAGATATATTGCCAAAAATACTTTTTGTATATAATTAAAGACTGAATAGATATAAGATTTTCTTCGCTTAGAGAAATTCAGCCATCATTTTTTTGCAGTTAATAATACTCTATACGAAAATACAGCTCCGTTTTTTTTATAGTTTATATTTTTAATAGATTCTGTATACACGTTTTGAATATTTTCTTCGCTGTCTTCGATTCGACAAATTTTTATTCAGAGACAGCGATTGAATCGAGCCAGTAATGAATGGTATAAAGAAAGTCTGTTCAGGTTTGGAATTGGTTTAATGGGAATTTCTTCGTTTTGAAATTCATCCACCATCGTAGTAGATTTTTCCATTCCACTTGGTTTCTCTTTCGCTTAGTTGAGAAAAATCGATGGAATTCTTGTTAAATCATTTTCATTTTGAACGATTGCATTACATGCGGTTTAAATGAAGCACATAGGCTTAGTTATTTAGTTCTCAGTAAGGTCTTCTTCGTAATTTGTATTATTTGTACATAAACAAAAAAAAATCTATTGAAGTGCATTTCGTTTAGGAATTTTTTAACCAAGTATTTGAATACATTACGTTTTCGGATTTTATATGCATAAAAAATTGTTTATCGTGAGATTTGTGAGATATTAGAAGAAATGAGCACGCGGGCTTTGTAGAAATAATTAGAAAAATAAAAGTATAAAAATTTATCATAGAGCAATTATAAAAAAAATTTATGCTACTTTGCTTAACATATTTTATGATTATTAGGTTCCTTATCCGATTTATTTTTTTATAAAGGGTGTTCCGGAAAAAGTTGCCGCGAAGAAATGTTATTTTGAGCAATTTTGAGGGGGGTTCTTTATACGAAATTTTTTGCTTTGTTCCACCGTAAAATTCACCAAGGACTCGAGTTTCGTTTGCGGCAACCTTTCCTCGAACACCCTGTATATATATATTTGCAAGATAAAATTGTTTTACTTATATGTAACTAACTGATATCGTTTTTTAGGTGAATTAATTATTGAACTATGTAAATTATTTAGTCTAGGCATGTAAAAATTTTTTAATTAATTTTATTGCCAAAAATTGACTTCCTAAGTAACGTCAAGCGTTTTGTTTAATTTTTATTAAAAACCTTATTTTTTGTGATACACCTTTCAAATAAATACAAGGCAATATTAAATTACTATTCGTTTCTTTGCCGTTTTCCCGCACTTTTCCTGAAGACTTATCGACTGGAAATGCTATCTTTCTATTAATCAGAACATGCGATGCTATTTTTAGATTTCCAGAGTTGCTAGAACAATATTTATCACGTTTGATAAGAAAAACATTTTCTACCAAAAAAAAATCGGTGAATATGAATATACAATAGAAACGAAAGCAATCGGCATTTTACATGGGAAAATAAAAATTAATGTAAATGTAAGACTTTGAATTAAGTTGCATAATGAAAAAACATTCGGGTAAAAATATCTACAATTCAACCTTCGTATACGGGTATATTATCTGTTAAACATTTAAATTACTTCATCAGCTTTAAATTACATTGTTTCGACGAGTAAACACAATGAGGTGTTAATTTTTTAAAAATTATACAAATATGCAAGCACGAATTAGTGTACGTTGCAAAGAAATTTGGCGAAAATTAATTGTTCGCAAAAATATTTTTTAAATATGATTGTTTAATTTGATTAAGTGTAACAAAACAATTATTGAACGAGTTGGCAACGTTTGATCATGAACTAAACTGATGACTAACATTTATGAATGGAATTTTTTAAACCACGACAAATGAATCCTATTAAAGGAATGCATTTTAAAATTGCAAAGTTTTCGATAACAAGATTACTAGGCGTTAATGAAATACTTTTGTAGGGTGCATTGAAATAAATAAATAAAAAGAGTGCAAATATCAGAAAACCACTTTATTGTTTTTCCGAGTAAATCAAAACAATGTTTAATTTACAAATCACAAAAGTCAGTATACAATATAAAATAAGTTTTAAACAATGTCCTAATTTACATTTATTATAAACCAGACAGGAGATTAAAGGAGGCTATTTCTTCTTTTGTGCTTTTTCTGCGGCTTTTGTGACTTTACCGGCGGACGGGTCCTTGAACGAGACACCCTTGATGACTCCCACAGCAACGGTTTGCCTCATGTCACGCACAGCGAAACGTCCTAAGGGCGGGAATTCCTGGAATGATTCAACGCACATGGGTTTGCTGGGCACCAAGTTGACGATAGCTGCGTCTCCGGATTTGATGGCTTTCGGATTCTCCTCGGTGGTCTTGCCCGAACGACGGTCGACCTTCTCTTTGATTTCGGCGAATTTGCACGCGATGTGGGCCGTGTGACAGTCGAGCACCGGCGTGTAACCGTTAGAAATCTGTCCGGGATGGTTGAGGACGATCACCTGGGCGGTGAAATCGGCGGCTCCCTTGGGAGGGTTGTTTTTGGTGTCGCCAGCCACGTAACCACGGCGCAATTCCTTCACGGAGACGTTCTTCACGTTGAAACCAACGTTGTCGCCGGGCACGGCCTCGGGCAGAGCCTCGTGGTGCATCTCTACAGATTTTACTTCAGTAGTGATGTTGGCCGGAGCGAAAACGACCACCATACCGGGTTTCAATACACCGGTTTCCACACGACCCACGGGTACTGTTCCAATACCTCCAATTTTGTAGACATCCTATAAATATAGAAAATGAATAAATCGTACGATTAACTTTATGAAATATGGATGAATATAATATTTACCTGGAGGGGAAGTCGCAGAGGTTTCTCGGTGGGACGAGACGGAGGCAGGATAGCATCCAAAGCTTCGATCAAACATTTACCGTCGGCCTTGCCCTCTTTGCGTTCGATGGCCCATCCCTTGAACCAAGGCATCTTGTCGGATTGCTCCAACATGTTGTCGCCGTTCCATCCGGAGATCGGGACGAAAGCGACGGCGGCGGGGTTGTAGCCGATCTTCTTGATGTACGAGGACACCTCCTTTTTGATTTCCTCGAAACGCGATTCGCTGTACGGCGGCTCGGTGGAGTCCATTTTGTTGACGCCAACGATGAGCTGTTTGACTCCCAGGGTGAAGGCGAGCAGGGCGTGCTCGCGCGTCTGGCCGTTCTTCGATATGCCGGCTTCGAATTCGCCGGTACCGGCGGCGACGATGAGCACGGCGCAATCGGCCTGCGAGGTACCGGTGATCATGTTCTTGATGAAATCCCTGTGGCCGGGGGCGTCGATGATCGTCACGTAGTATTTGGCGGTTTCGAATTTCCACAGGGCGATGTCGATGGTGATACCGCGTTCACGTTCAGCCTTCAGTTTGTCGAGTACCCAGGCGTATTTGAAGGAACCTTTTCCCATTTCCTGGGCCTCTTTCTCGAACTTTTCGATGGTACGTTTGTCGATGCCACCGCATTTGTAGATCAAATGGCCGGTGGTGGTAGATTTGCCGGAATCTACGTGACCGATAACGACAATGTTAATGTGAGTCTTTTCTTTACCCATTTTGACCTGGAACAAAAATATCCCAATATTAGCCACGTGTTTCTGCAAAGTAGCTCGTTTATCTGTAGCACAGCCGGCTGGATCAATATTGGCCGAAACAAAAGCCGAACACACACAACAGGTGGAATATTTCCAAGGCATGCACGACCTTATCGTGGGTTACTAGGCATTTGCGACTACATTTTCACGAAATATATCAAATACTTTCGCCGAGATAAACCAGAAAATTCTCATTAAACGGCAAATACGCGCGATGCGACATCGAATAAATCGATTCGAAACGAATTAAAGCATATGGCGGCCATTTTACGAAAGTACAATGTACACGTGGTGAACCGAGATTTTTCTGCGATTTCTCGAAAACTACGCTAGCAATCGGCGAAATTAGTGAAAATAATTGTCGTACTTACTGTTTGGAATAACTTAAATGCAACTGTCGAAAATGAAACTTAAATTTAAAGTAACACGAACTAAAAATGTAACAATTTAACGGTTCGGCAACCGCACCGTTCGACGAGCTAGTCAGAAAGGAAGATAATCTCCAGTTGCGCTCTGCTTCACGTCTCACTACCCTCGATCGGCTAGTCGGCTTCGTCATATCCTCTACGCTAGCGCCATCTACTTCGTCCGAAACGCGGGAATATTTGAAATAATACCGCAAGCGAGGATTGTGTATTTTGTATCGATTTTTTTTGGATGAAATATACCGGTGTGTCGATACTGCAATGTTAACATACATTCTATATGTGGGATATTTAATAGTTTTTAAATGTTTTGAGTAAAATTTTTGAATTGAATTTATTTTTGTTGTCATGGTGATTTTCAAGTTTTTATTATTCAGTACAATGCGTATCATGAGGTGTTTTAAATTGTTGTAAACAATTGAAATTCTTGACACATTAAAGAAATAGTATTTATTTGACGTTTTTATTTTATTTATTTACGTTTAATAAGATAATTTTGGAAATTCGTTCTTGCTAAATCGCGAAGATTTAAAAATATTTCATCTGTTTTGGGAAACATCAATATATGAATTTTTATTGGAAATTCCTCTACCTAGAAATTATATTTTCATCTCTTTATAATCATTTTTAATACTGATATCAAAACCTCGAAAATTGAAAAAAAAACTTTTCCATTGTAATAATTTTAGACGCTTTCGATTTCCTGCATATCTGTTCAAAAGTTGGTTCTAAACCTATTTTTAACCCATCTAAATCCAAAACTAACAGTTCTAAATTTAGCCCAGAGGTCTCTAACATTTTTCCATCGATACAATTTTCACACTTAGCGCGAGCTAAGTCTCGAACACCTTTTTAATTTCTACTCATTCGAAATAAAACACCAACATCGTATGAAAAAATATATTAATATATTCTTAAACCCTTTGTAAGGCACTATCCTTTGGTTTTACATTAAAAACCGATGTATTGCCTATCGATCACAACCAGTACAAAATAGACTTGAAATTTCAAACGAGCTTACGAGTAAAATTGGCGCTTGTAAACGCTAAGAGATCACAACTAAACGGTTTTACATATAAAACAGAGGCGCTAAACAAACTGCCGAATATTAGTAAGCTATAAATATTTTAAATAACGGAACATGTCATGTATAAAATTGCGAATTATGATGCCAACAGTGGAGTATCTTATAGAACACGTCAGGACGAATTCAATAAATTATCGTCTCTTAAATTTCATATTCTACGCAACAATACAATTTCAAATTCAAAATAAATTCAACGGATATGTTTTATAGAGCATTGTTGCGTAGACAATTTGCTTTACCTTAATATAATTTGAACAAATTTGAAACAATCGTATCAATTAGTAATAATTAAAATTAATGTACACTAATTAATTAAAATACGAGAAAAAACATTAAAATTACAAAATAATAACGCAAAACACTATAAATTATTGTCGATTTAAGTTTATGTGAATTCATTAGGAGAGCAACATATCATATAATAAATTGAAGAAGAAAGAACAAGCGTATTAATCAACTGCACGGAATAAATAATTTCAGTTATTAGTTAATGGAAAAAAGCGCAAACAAAATGGCTCACAATTTTTCGATTCCCGGTTCAATTCGTTTCGTATCGTAAATGACAAATTTGTACATTGAAATGAAGAACGATCTACTGTTATTTCTCTATGAAATAGATAACTCGAGGTATCAACCTCATTCACTGGTCATTGCAAACGCTTAGTCACAACAAAATTCTTTCGAGAAAATCGCACGAAAACAACACGCTATCGTCTAAAAACAAATTAATTTGACAAAAATCGATCTCGTTTTGTTCGAAAACAATAAACAAAACCATTAATAACGCTTTTTTTTATCGGATTCGTCCATGTAATTCAGTATGGAACTTGAAGTTGATAAAGTTCCCGACTTTATCTACCTACTCTTCATTTCAACAAACAAACGACGCCGATAAAATATCATATACCAGTAACATATATCCATAATCTTTTATGTTCAGTCTCAAAACACGCGAATTTATATTATATAAGTATATATACGAGTTATCTCGGCGGAATAAAAACTTTACCGCCTACAGACAACTACATAAAAAAATTATACTGAAACACTTTCAGTAATTTACAACGAAATATAAAACGACTACATCTAGAACGTCCGCTTACAAACAACAAATAAAATATGAAAAAATATATATGTACAAAAATATTAGTAATCTTGTACTCAATTTTAGACTAAAGTCGCTGTTGATCTGCTTTTCGAACTCGTCCCGGAGTTGTTGTTCTGCCTTTGCTCCTTGTACCAAGCGTTCATTTCGTCTGAAAAATTTTCCGAAACGGTCAACTGCTCCAAATTCAGGCTCGCATTTAAACTCATCGAATTATCCAAACTCGGGGCTCCCCCACTGCAAAATAAATCGATATATACCAGCAAATTACAGCGTAAATTCCACAATCTACCTGCCGCTGTGATGCTGGAAACCGGGCGAGTAACACTCGTCGAATTTCTTGTTCAAATTCCTCCCGTTCGACGGCCTCTCGCCCTCGCCCTTCGTCGGCGACTTCTTGAACTTCGTCGAGTACTTGTAGAAATCGGACATCTCGAACGGCTTCGTCTCCTCGTGGTAGGGCTTGCAATGACCCGCCTGCACCACCGTGCAATTCTTCGGCATGTTGTTGTTGAACAGCTCCAAGTTCGGCTCTTTGATCTTCGACGGATTCGATTCGGCCGGTATCTCCTTGGGCGATTTATCCTCCAGCGAAAACGCCGATATGGAAGAAGATAGAGACGGTTGAGGCGAATTCGGAGACATCGCCGCCGCGACGGGCCCGTCCAGCGACGTTTCCAACCTGAAACAACCCATATTAATCGAGATATAAGCGAGATACCGCGCCTTAATTTACCACTCTTTTTCTTTATGCTTCTTTTGGTTGCTTTCGAGGCTCCTGCTGTCGCTACCGTACGAAGAACTATCGTCAGTGGGGTAGACGCTTTCGAACGTCGTCGCCCCGACGCTGCCCAACGATTGGGTGCGCACCAATTGCCCGTTATCTTGAGATCGCCTACTTAGAGCCTAAAAAAAAAACGTTCGAAACATCAACCGTAAGTACTCTGTATAATGTATTGCTTAGAAGTACCTGCGAGCTTTTTATCGAGGCGCTTCTAATCTGCCCTTGGGAGTTCGGTATAGCAGACAACGTAGCCGATTTCGATTTATTGTCAATATTAGAGCTCAATCGACTGGTCAACCTTTTCGATTTTCTCCTATCCAAACTACCGAACCTACAACAAACCGAATTAACCGACAACACTCCCAAATTCAATCGAACTGTACCTCCTATCCCTTTGCCAAGCATTGTCCAATATATTGGACGAGTACCAGACCTGTTCGCCGTTCGACATGGTCTTCCAATAACCCCCCAAACCGGACGTTTGCTCGTAGCGCTGGTGCGGCTGGATCTGGTGCGAGTTCCTGTACACCAGCTCGCCGTCGTACCGGCAACTCTGCCGGTTCAACGTCGAATGCGACAGGTAGTAATGGGACTTCGCCGAGACCGGCGACGCCGGACTGGAACGGTTCGTTTCGGCGAACTCGGACGCGTACTGCGGATGCTGGTAGAGCTTGTGGGGGCTGCGCTGCGACGAATGCGGCGACGAATGGGGACTGCGAGGAGACAGCGGGCCGTGTTGCATCGTCGCGTTCGGCTGTTGGTACTGTTGGTGCTGGAGGTGCTGCATCGGCACGTAGCCGTATTGGTACTGGTGATGGGACAAGTACGGCGGGTACACGTTGTTGATGTTTTCGCGCCTGCGAAACAAACCGAATGAGTGGTGTTTAAATGCGCTTTAAACGGCGTTACCTTTCCATGTATTTGCTGTAGCCGTTGAGGCTCAATCGGTAGAATCCGTTCGATAGGAATTCTTCGGATTTGTTGGTATTTTGCAACAGGCACGGTACTTCCGTCATGCGGTACCTGGACGATTCGTGCGGGTACCTGAGTTCTACTCCGTCCATTGGAAGAGAAGCCGGTTTTAATGAACTGATGCTATGCCTGAGATCCGGTTTACCATTTGTACTCGTAGAAATAGAAACGGTATCATCTGAATCAACGATTTTCACTTAGTATTAAAACTAATTTACGACTCGATGCATTTACCACTGGTTTCCGATGTTCTCGTCTTCCTTTTAAGTTGCTTTTGTTGTTCGATAGCAGCCTTCTGTTTGAGCTCCGCTAGCTGGTTTTGTAACACTAAATATTGCCCCTTGTGCTTCTCGTACTCCGATTTGTGTCGCTTCTTAATCGTCTAATAAATAATCAGGTGTTAACGAGATTATATAACGGATAAAAGTGAGTTTACCTTGCTTATATTTTGCTCGTTGGCCAGGCCCAAAGCGGCCTCGGCCAAATTGGCGTGCAGTTGGATTTGCAGCTCTAAATCGGCTATCAGTTCGTCTTTGTTGCTGGCGTTTTTGATGAGCCTCTCGGGCAATTGGTAGGACGTGCCGACGCGCCTTCTTATGTGAGGAAGGGTCTCGCCGGGCTCTAAGGGCATTTCCGGTGGTGTGATTCCGGTTAATTCCGCCTCCTGGAATTCGATAATGGAGGAGTAAAATCGGGGGTTGCGAGCGATTCGCTGGGGCGTACCTGAATGCATAGCTGCCTTAGTTCTTGGTTCCTTTTATTGAGCGTTTCTTCGATTTGTTTTTTCCTTTCTTGCAGGACAATTAGTCTCGGGGAGGTGTTTTTGGTAGCGCCCATGTTATTTGATTTGCTTTCGTCGGTTTTTACTCCATCCTCTATAAAAATAGATCGGTTACTAATTTTCCTTCACTCTTATCAATATGAGTAATAAAAATATGTGATCCAATGTTATCATTGATAAAATAATAAGCGTGAGTAAATAATACTTCTTATTCAATAGTTTTTTTTAAATACATTTATAGATAAATATAGGTATCTACTTACCCACATCATTATTAAGCCCTTCAAGCATTTCCTTAAATACTTAGTTTTATTTGAGCATAATAAAGTTTTAATTGATGAACGTTATGAGACCTCTTGATTATTTATTTTGAGCTACACCTAATTTGTCAGTAATTAACGATATATTTTGTAAAAATAACATACGTGAAATGCTGTTATAAAAATGATTAGTGTTTACTTTTTTAATTGTGCGGAAAATTTTTACTGAACAAACGCATTTTGAAACACGAACTTATCTCATCACATACTTGAACATAAATTACAAATTATAAAAAAAAAAGTAAATAATTAATGTTTTAGTAAACGTAAATATATTAAAGTCAACCACCTCCACCCATTTCACAATGATATCTGTCATTTGTCACTTCAGTTTACTGTTCGTTCTAAACTTCAAAGTACAGGTTGACCAACCATATTTAAAAATTTTTTTTTTATCCTTTCTGTATTTTTTACTGTTGATTCTGGTATATTATTGTGAAAAATTAGAAGTCATGTTACTTACAAAAAATAGTGATCGTTATTTTTTATTTTGTTACAACAGAAGAAAAATTGTTTATAAGCTGATCTAGTAACTGTTTGTTTTAAGTTGGTAACGTTGACATTCGGGTTTATTCGGAAATGTACGTTTTTATGCTCTTGCTTTGGTAACGCTGATTTTCAGTCGAGAAGACGAAGAAAGTGCAAACTATAGTTTGTAGGGGTTTTTAATTATCAAAATATATAAATAAATAACAAATATGCGCGTATGGCGCTTGTTAAGTTCAAGTGATTGAAAAGTGCTGAAAAACAAGAGATAGTTTCTCTAACAAACTACATTGTGGTTAAAGTTTGTGAGAAGTTAATTGTCTACGTATATCATGCCAATTCCGAGAAACACTGGTGTTTTAAGAACTGTGTACAGCACGACTTGAAAGTATGTTATTTTGGATTTTATTTGGATATATTTCACTTGAGAATTGCGCTTTAAGTAAAACAATTTCTTAACCATAAATGTATCGATTTTCCAAATAGTAATTTTGTTTGTTTAATCTAATCTAATCCAATCCAAGCAAACGCATATGTGTGTATTTATAGGTTTTTGTTATGATTGCATTTATTATACTTTCTCAGTATCCAAACACGAATTTCTACTATACCGTCGTTCTTTATCAATTGTTAATTCAATTTGATTTGTTTGTAGTTTCTTTTAACCAATTTAAATGTGTTCCAAGTAACACAAAGGTTAAAAATAGACATCCTAATTTACAGATAAGTTTCAAAGAAAGATGAAAACGTCAAAGGAAAACAAAATTGTTCTTGAACGGGATTTTCTAAGAAACCATTTGAATTTTTATGTTTCAATAATGCACATGATATTTAACAATTTTGATGACCCCCTACCTATTCTTACCCTAAATGTATATTATTAATAATAAATTGGATCATTTTATAAACGTATTCAATAAATGTTTAACTGAATCGGTGATATATCATTTTTTTTTCTTCTTAATTACCGTAATTGGATCAATTTTAATTTATTTATTACGTGTTTTGTTTTCTTTGAATGCAATTTCTTCATTATCTCGAACCCTGGAAATATAGCAATATTTGCTAAATCATTTTGTTATAATTTGATTTAAAATATACACATTGTAAATAAGCATAAATTGATTGAAGCGAAATTTCATTTTACTTAGTAGTATTTCGAAAGTCCCATAACCGTACAAATCGCATAATTTATTATTTAATTAACACTTTTTTAGGCCATTGGAAGATTTCACGTACGCCATTATGAGTGTATTAGGATACTCGAGATTAATTTATTTATTTTTATTTATTATCAATGGATTGGGCAAAAGTAGCAATTCGTCTTGTATGCCCACAATTACCACATGTGGCTGTAAGTACATTTTCATTTTACCATTTGCAAATTTTCTTTAACGTTACCTTACGATTTCAGATACCGTCCCATCGGGCGACATCCATTTAAGATACGGTCACGAACCCTTAGAAATAGTTTGCACGTTTTACCAGGACATGTTCCCTCCCAATGTAACAGCCAGTTCGATATTGTTTTTCAAAAAGGGCAATGTTTCGATTTATCCGAACACACCGTACGATATCTTGGATGAAAGTGTAAGATATGCAGTTCCGAAAGCATCAAGTTAATTTCCTAACCGTCGTTATTTTATAGGCCGAAAGAGTGGAAGTTTTGAACTCTACGAGCATAAGACTGGTTATAAAGAAACCACAGAAGATGATTACAACTTATAATTGTGCTTGCAATACAGCTCGGGCAGCTCCCGAGACCAATGCAGAGAGTGCCTGTTCGAATACCGTTGTTGTAGGAAGTAAGTTGGCTATTTAAATATCTATAGGATTTTTTTTTATAAAATCTATGATATTTTCCAGTACCGCCTCAAAATATAACGGACTTTAAGTGTATAGACGACAACTGGGATAAAATATTTTGCTCTTGGACCCTTCCGAATAATTACGCAGTCACAACCTACGATGTTTTCTATACATTTGGCTACACGAATCCGTGAGTAGATATTTCATTCATTTTTTTAATAAGAGTTATTGTTTTATTATCGACTTAATACTAATCATACAATAGTTTAATAGTTGTAGTAGTAGTAGTAGTTTATTTATTTTTTCAATCCTCTACTACATTAATTAACCAGTTTACATAAGGTAAGTTATCAAGCGAAATGATCGCTTTACGTGTGCACCATTCCTCGAATTTCATCATAACTCAAAGACATTTATTTTATGTTGTTTAATTTTCTTATTATTTGGCGGGGACCAGCAGAGATGTATTTTTATGATTTTTTTTACTATAGCCATTTCTGTCGTTATAATGATAGCAAAGTCCGGTGCCATCGTCATAAACAGTGTGACAGTAAGAGATGTTATAAATCGAGTAATATTACGTGAGTACTAATTAACAAAAATGTTTGTGTGTGTGTCGAACAATGAGCTTTTAATTAGGCAATAAGCGAGTGTTTTGCGCGAGGCGAAGGTACTTCGAGAGCTTTAGCTTATTTCGTATGAATAAGCCAATAGGTACAACAGCTAATTTGTTAGTTGCAAAGAAAATTAGTTTAGTAGTTAATCGAGTATCATATTCTCTTTGTGGATAAAAGCTGCGGTTATTTAAGGTTGGTTGTTTGTTTGTTCATTGGTGTTTTTTTTTCAATTTCATGCATATATTTCGACAGTCAATTTCCTGTTGCGTATTCAGGAGGTTCACTCATACTTTTGTCATAACCACACAATATATCTTTGTTTCTAAAAATAAATTCTATCACCAACTATTCACCCTCTTTATTCCATTCGTTATCACATATGTATCACTTGGTGCTAAATATACTCAAACATTCCGCAATGCATTTTTTGCAACGTGAAATGATTCTACATTGATCCTATCAGATTATGATCATATATGCCGCATTAATTTATAACCATTAGTTATCTAACACTTCACGATTCGTAATTTCAATTTAATATTATGGCTTTGTAAACGATATATTTGTTCGAACGCAATTTATCCTATTTGTTTCTGCAATGACAGGAAGCACAGGCCCAAGCCACACAAACAGGTGTATAATAGAACGAAAAAATTTAGACCTAAGTGAGTACTATTGTGATCAAATTGTGTTAAAATCGGCTTAGATACATATGAGCTAATATCTTGGCAGGCATTTGTGTGATGCAAAATCGGTATTGAGGCTTTTTACTATTTTTTTGTGGATCATATCGTGTACTTAAATCGAGCAATCCATTCAAAAAGCTTGTACTCAATCTATTTGTCACGAATTTTTGTAAATTTCTAATTTGTTGATGAAATGTACAGCTTTTTGAGGTTTGTTTTTATGTTGATAAAGGTTTATTTACATTTTTCATTCCATCATACTCCAAAAATTCATCAAATAAAATTGGGGTGTTGGTTTTTCCCTATTTATTTATCTTACTAATTACGTTAGCAAGAGATTAAAACGGAATATTTCCAATGAAATCAATTTTGGTATTGTTTAATACAATATGAAACAGTCCATTTAGAGCTATTTTTTATTATTTTTATCTGTGCATAATTCAAATTTAATCGAGTATTTCTATCACGTATATTTCTAAAAATACGTTGTTAAATTTGTTGTTAATTTCATGATGAATTTTATGTCGCATCATTTTGTACCCGTTCTATCAATTCTATTGTGAATTCGAGAATTGTTTACATTCCTAACAGACACTAATAATGTGATATTGCATGTTCTAGACTAATTTTTTTTTAATTTTAATTCCGTTAAAATTGATGTTTTGTATAAAAATCGCATCGATATTATTTCCAGAAATTTAAATAATGCATTTATCTTTTAAAACGAGTGTTAATAGAAGGTCATTGTCCATTATAAATGTGTAAATAGACTTACTTCTGTGAAGTAATAGAAAATGAAATTACTGGTAATCGTTATTATTTATATTAGAAGAAAGGTCATGTAATCTCAAACTACAGTAAATGGTAATAAATCCGTATTTGAAATATTCTATCACAATTTTTCGCTTGTATTTTGTGTGATATTTTTTTTTGTGTCGCCATGGTGGAGGATTGTTGTGTGGAATTTAGATTGGAGATTCGTTCTTACAACTCGTTTGTAATGCTTCGTGGAGTTTTTTTTTATTTAGGATTTTTTATGTTTTGTAGTAATAATACAATTTAAACCATCGATTTTCATATACATTTTTTTAGTACAAAGCGTGTAGAATTATGCAGATAAGAAAAATGCGTAAATTTTGGCGACCACTTTGTACTAATAAAATGATGTAATTTGTGGTTTACGTTACGAATCAAACGGAGCAATTATCTGTGCTTTAATTTAAAACCGCAAGTCAAGCGAAGGTATTTACTAAAAAAAAAAATTCGAATTCCCGCAGGAAAGTGAACAACGTGACGGGCTTCCCAGCCACCGACAACAGCGACACCCGAATGAACTTCACCATAGGCCCGGGCGCGGGCATCTTCGTCGAGAGCGAGCCCAAGTTCCAATTCACCATCAAAATGAGCAACGTCTTCGGCAACAGCACGCACTCCCTCGTCTGGAACCACTTCAAAAACATCATCTTCCGCCCGCCGGGCGCGCCCGCCGGCCCGACGGGCCGATCGCTCTCGCCCAGCGTCATCAACCTCAAGTGGGACCTCTCGGCCAAATTACCCGCCTTCCCCGACAAACTCCTGTACAAAATAACGTACAAGTGCAACATCTTCTGCGACGCCTGGAAGGAGGCGCCCGATCTGCTCTACAAGCCCGAATCGGCCGTCAAATCGTTGCAATACAACCTCACGCATCTGGAATTCGCCCACGTACTCTACGATATAAGAGTCAGGTAATGATTGTGACGCCAAATATCGGATTCGATTCGTTTACTGTGTGATTGTAGGGTGAAAGTGGCGAAGGCTTCGGACGACACGCTGTCGAACTACAGCTCGGTGGTGGTGAAAACGCTGAGCAAAATACCGGACCATCCGCCGCGCACGACGATCGGCTCGTTCCAGCTGGAAAACGACGAGGTGTACGTCTATTTCCAGAAGATACCGCCGCAGCGCGAGAACGGCGAGGGTTTCAGGTACGCCGTGGAGAGCGAGCCGCGACTCAACATGACCGAATTGACGTCGACCTACGCGAAATTCGTCGGATTGGAACAGGGCACGCGCTACACGATGACTATTCGTTCGCAGAACAACGTAGGGAATTCCACCGGACATTCCGTCGTGTATATTCCAAGCAAACGTAAGTCGTTTTACGTGTACGATTATAGATGCGATATAATATCAGTTTCGATTTTATAGCTGCGAAGAGACCGATGAGATTATGGACGATAGAACATAGCAGTACCGAATACGAATTGGAATGGAAACCGCCGCCTAACAAGCACGAAATTATGAATTACACGTTGTTTTGGTGCGAACAACAGAAAGTCCGACCACACCCGTGCGATGTAAGTTATTAAAAAATACCACCGCAAACCGTTAGAAAATGCGTTGCGATTTTTAGGGATTGTTGAATTGGACGGTGATACCGAACCACCTGACCAAATACAACGTGACCGTACGCCCGACGAACCAAGTCTACCAATTCGCCATAGCCGCCAACGGGGCGAACGGCAGCAGCGGCATGCTGTGGTCGAGCTGCACGTTGCTGACGAACCGGCGCGTGCAGAAGATCAACCAGGTGATCATCAAGAGCGGCGGGCCGAACTTCATCGAGCTGAACTGGTCGCAGGAGTGCTTCGAACTGAACAGCGACGTCGTCGGCTACGTCATCTACTATTGCACGACGAACAACGACGAGATCGACGTGTGCGATTCGCCGATGCGGAACGTCACGATCAACGCCACGCTGAGCGAGTACCATTCGGAGAACGTGACCGGCCTGTTGCCTTACAGGACCTACTTGTTGGCGGTGAGCGCTAAAACGGCGACGACGATCGGCGCTCGTTCGGACTTCGTCAGGAACATCACGTCCGAAGCGGCGCCCTCCACGCCGCCGTTGGACGTCGAAGATATACCGAATCTAAGGACGAATTCTTCGGTGACCATACGTTGGAAACCGCCGACGGAGTTGAACGGCAAACTCGAACGTTACATTATCAAATACAACGATCGGTTCGATAACGCTTCGAGCGACGCTTCGAACCACACGCTGCGCGGCCTCGACAGCTACAAGAACTACAAGGTGTCGGTGAGCGCCTGCACGAAATTCTGCTCGGCGTTTTCGCACGAGATCGACGTGTTCACGAAGATGGGCGTGCCGGACGCGCCGAGCCGGCCGTTCGTCGACAGCTACGACGACGACAGCGTGACGATATCGTGGAGCAAGCCGCACAATCCGCGCGGCACCGTCAAGTACTACCAGATCGTCGTCGCCGCGCAGAAGGACGAGATCGCCGGCGACGTGATCAACGGCACCGATTCGGAGGTGTTCAGCTACCGGAATTGCCGCGCCGACGGCGAGCCGGCCGGCAGGGGGAAGTACATCCGGGTGAGGGCGGTGAACGAGATCGGCAACGAGCATTACCCCGGCGAATGGAGCGAGCCGCTCAACATCACCAACTGCAACCTCGGCGATAATTTGACGCTGTATTTCGTTGTTATTGGTATCGTTGTGGCGCTCGTCGCGCTCGTGTGCATCACGAAACGGTGAGTAAACTTCTATGAATTAAACTAAAAAAAGATTAATTCGCAATTGTCTGAGTGTGAAGTTGTACAAATGTCACTATTACTTTTTCCTTTTGTAAGTGTCGAATGGAAGTTGGTATGTTTGGAAATTGGTAGCATCTTTATTCTTTTTGAATTATTTACGATATTAAGACCATTTTCACTGGTTAAATTCGTTTCGTCTCGCAATCGCGATTCAAAAAATGCTAATCGTCCGCCATTTTGGAAATTATTTCTTCTTATTCTTAAGTTTTTGGCCTCAACTGCCAAGGCTATTCGGCCATTTTGGAAACGATCCAAATTGACAGTTGACGTATCGTTTTGCGCGGATCCAAATCGTTCCGAACGCGGCCTTTTGCTACGCCAGCATCCAATACCGCGAAATGTCCGATGGACGAAGCACACTAACATTATTTTTTTTATACGCAGAGTGTACGACAAATGCGCGGTGATGAAACGGCTGGAGGTGGTGCTACCGCCGGGTCTCGCATCGTTGGAGGACACCTCCGAGAAGGGCAAAACGGACATCAACCGGTTCTATCCCGACGAGGAATTGTTGCTCGACAAGATAGCGGAAAAATGTCCGACGCGCGACTCGAGCGGCTGCAGCTCCGGCCAGGAGAGCATCACCTCGTCCAACGAATCCACCGCCCACTTGTCGATCGACTCCGGCACCGATCAAACCCGAAGCGTCGCCGACGAGAAGGAGAATTCGCTTCGATTACGAAACGTCTCCAGCAAAGGTTCGTAATTAACGAGTTTTATATTTGCATTTGTAGTAATAATTTGTGGTTTTTTTTTAGGTTATGTGTTGCACGATCCCACGCCGACGGTGAACAGGGGCACGAAACCGGCGCCGAACGCGCCGGCCAACTACATCGTCCTGGGCGTCGATCCGGCGGCGAAACCGGCGCCGGACGCGTCGTCGCCGTACGTGACCGTCAGCGACGGCGACGCTCCGAACGACAAGCCGCCGGCGCCGGACTTCTTCAAGACGCCGAATCCGGGCTACGTGCCGTTCTCGAACGCGCCGCCGGCCGGCAAGAACGCCGGCTACGTGCTGGCCGGCGATCTGTCGCTGCCGGCCATCGAGCCCAAGGCGACGGCGGGGTATGTGGAGGCGGCGGCGGCGGCGCCGAAGCCGGTCGCGTGGCAACAGCCGGCGGTCGAGCCGTCGCTGACGAAGCCGGGGTACGTGAGCGTCGGCGAGGCGCCGGCGCCGGTCAAGGAGGCCGGCAAGGGGTACGTGCCGCACAGGCAGTTCGAGGTCAAGTCGCTGAAGGAGGACTAAGAGGCGAGGTTTGGAGGTTATTTTTTTGATGTTTTTTTTTTAACTTGATTAAGGAGGCGTCGGTGGCGTGGTACTCGAATCGAAGCGTTGCTGATTGAATATTGATCTCGGTTTCGCTCTATCGTAAATGTTAGGTTTTGTTTTTCTATCGTAGCAACACGTTCTCTATTTTTATCACGGTCATATATTTCTAAGGTATGGAAACATGTGTCGAAAAAGTGTCCCGTTATTTGAGGATAAAACAGCCCACGGTTTTTTTGGCGTACGAATTACATAGAATTAGCATTAAGAAATGTTATATTCAAACTAAATATAGATACAAAATGTATAAAAATGTACTTGAATCAGCGATGATTTTGTCATTAACATCATACCTCACGTATCTCCGGTTAATGTATTTCTCCATTTTGTTCTCGAAATGTCAAATAATAATTTTTGAAGTTTTGACAGCTTGAACTGTCATTTCACAACAACCACGGGACGCATTCCATAATGCATAAGCATAGGGAGATGTCAGACCTTAGAAATATAGAGGACCGTGATTTTTATGTTGTTTTTTTTTTAATTGTTGGAGTTTTTCGGCTTTTATTTATGGGTCTCTTGCATTCAAGGAATCCAGTACTGACGCGAAATTGCATTGGGTACGCCCCGTTCGAATTTTTGTGTAAACGCAATTCTTAATCAAGTTATTGCGATATTTATAAATCTGATGAATCGTTGTTAACCTTCTCTAATAAGGTTATTTCGTGGATAAATGAACACAGCCACTTGATAGTATGTATTTTTGTAAATAATTGTCTTGAATTTGTCACGAGTATTGTATGTATATGTTAAAGTTTATTCATTTTTTTTTGTTCGTAAAGGCTAAAAGTGCGCGTTGTTATAAAAGGACTGTTTGTGCCTTAACTCGACTGAAGGTATGAAATTTATTTATGATAGGAATATGAACTTGCCAGGTTATTTTAGTAGTATATGTATGTAGAACAATTACCTCTTAGCTCAGAATATGGAACAATCATTGCGGCAAAATTTTCAGTAAACATTGTGATTATTTTATACGGTTTCATCACATATTTCTAGCGTATCGAGTTGTATGAATGATTTATTTTTTTTTAGTAGGTTCAAACTATAATTTTATTGGCAAACTCATCAGACGTTCTATTTTTGTAGTTGTAATGAATATATTGCTCAATTTATATGAAACATTATCTAAAGAAATAAAAGAATGAGCTCCTTTTATCGTGTTTCTCAAATTATATACCTTTCATGGTGAGTTTCGACGTTGGGAGGAATTGTTTGAACCTCGTAAAAATTTATATAGAAAAATATTGAAATTATATTTAGTATTACTAAAGTTCATAATATGTAATTTGTATTTTCAACGACTATGACGGTAAGAAAAGAAATGCGAAATATGATGATATTAACAAATATTTTAATACATTGCATTTTCCAAAATTTGGCAGCATACTTAAACAGTATTAAGGACTTAGTTTTATTATTTATATAGGATTTTTAATGGTAATCATTTTTTTAGTTTGATTTTATTTTTACGACTATACAGTCAGTGTGTAATTTACATTTCGTTTGCAGAAAATCATTCTCTACATAGGGGAGGGTTGTTTGTAACTGTCGGGATATCCTTATTTTTCCTTTTCCTACTACTGGATCTTGTGACAAAATTTTAATTATTTTGGAAATTCGTTCGAAAAGTGCAATATGATTATCAAAAAAAAATGTGATCGGCTTTATAACCGTAATTTAAATCTGTGATAAAATTATTGACATCAAGCAAGATCTAGTACATTGAAATTATGTTTTTTTTTTTTAATTTTATTAGTTCTAATTTATAAGTGTCCGCTTTGCTGCTCTTGTACTGTAAATCACTAAATAGATGGACCACAGTGTTTGTTAATTTACACTGGACTTGTGTAAATAAATGTGCTTCTTAGAAATAAACGATTAAATAAGACTGTTATATCCCGCATCCTTGTAACACTTGATAACAAATCATTTTAAAAGACATATTTGAACCATGTTCTAAGATCCTCTCGAACCTGTTTCGAACTTTTAGTAACATTTTGCAGTAGCCAAGTTCAAAACCGATTCGAATATTTGCTGGAACGTAGCTGTAAAATTTCAGTTTTCATTGTATAATATATAACAATAAAATGTGACGTTGGAAAGGTACACTGTAAGACATTATTATTAACTCGGTAATAGAATTATTAAAATGTTTCCAAAATCATTTTTGTATCAAAGTTTATTCTTCGTTTTTGCAGGTAGAGAATTTCGGGCTTATAAATGATATACTTTTTTTTGGCATATTCCATTTATTTAAAGCAATGACTATTTTAATGAAAATTTATAAACTTACAAAGTACAAATGTTATGTATAAATACGTAATACTTATTTTGTATGGAAAATTACAAATCCTAGTTTAACTTGGTTAAAATGGCACTTAGTTTGGTATTGCATATAAAGCCAAAAATGTATAAATAAATTAAAAGTGCATAATAGTACAAATGATGATTAAATAAATATAAATGGAATGAATAATTTTTCACACCCAGTCATATTTGTACAATTAAATAAATTTACAACTATTGCACCAAAACCCCCAAATAAGGTATGAAAATGTTAATTTTGTATTTAATACCTACGTAATGAAGACTAGTCACAAAAACTAATAATTTCAATTGATTTTATCAAATTTAAAGCATCATACTTATAAAACACAACCAGATGATTAAAAATGGAATGTACATTAAATGCTCTGATTTCATTAGTCCAGATAATAAATGTTTAGCAAAATATCAATTGAAACTTTAAATTATAAAAATAATACAATGCAATAAAAAAGTATTCAAAAACTTAGCAAAAAAAACCTTCTAATACCTGAACTCTCAATGTGAGTAAAAAATATAATGATATACATATTATATAATTAGTAAAATAAAATAAGACGATGCGTTTTCATTTTTTCCATGAATTTTCAAAAAAAATAAAAGGAATGTCCGCTTTCTCAATGTCACTAAATTAATTAATTAATAAAGGAATGTTAAAAGTAAAATACGCAAATATAATTACTATAAAAAAAATCATTTTAAATATCACAACATTTGCCTTTTGGAATATAATATAATATAAAAAAAAATCGTCTTTTCCGCGTTTTGTGGATCGAATTTCAAATGACTGGTAACTCGAGACGAAATAGCAGCGTTTCAGGAAAAAATGAAAAACCCAAAGAAACAACAAACCAAACAAAAAAAAACTTATTGATTGTTTTGCTTCGCGTTCGCGTTTTCCATATTTGGAATGTAATCGAGAGCCATCAGGCAAGCGAAGACCGTCATCACCATTTTAGGTTTCACCTCGGTTATATCCTCCGGAAGGGCGTACACCCGCGCCCCCGCCTTGCGCGACATCGAAATGGCGTACTTGGCGTTCGCTAATCTCTCCTGGAAAAATGCAATTCATTTAAAAAAAAAATTCAAATCGCCAGTCGAACACTTCACCTCTTCCGTCGATCCGGGCTTGACCAAATCGTAGTTGATCGCCCCGGGCTTGATGGCATCTATAAGGTCGATAACGACTTTAGCGTCGGCGATAGAGCCGTCTTGGAAGTTGCGCAACGCCGATTTCTTACCGGCGGAAACCAGTTTATTGTTCACCCAATTAACGATTTCCTTTTCGACCATCGGATTGCCGGAGTGCGCCAACCGGCTCAGGATCGACAGCGTGTACGCCCGCATCAATTGCCATATCAGCGCCAGCGTCAGCGTCACGTTGCCCTCGTTGATGTCCTGCCCGCCGATGCCGACCAGCGAGAACTTGTTCTGCTTGCCCAGCTCCACGGCGTAGTTGCAATTCTCCAACTTCTCCATGAACTTCTTCCGTTCGTTGGTGAACTTCCTGTGGACTTTCGTCCAATTCACCGTGCCCGCTTTGATGATGTCGTACAATTGGAAGACGATCAGACCGTCGGCTAGGTCGGAATACAGCCAGTTCACGTGCGGCGTCACTCCCATCGAATTCATCCAATTTCTGTACGCTACAAACGATTAAAACGATATAAATTTAGCGAGTAAATTATAGGTGTATTTGCCTACTTCTTTCCTCTCTGGTTTCCTCGATGGCCTCGAAGCCGTCGGCGCCGTTCTGCTCGAGCCCCGGATGGTTGTTGAACAAATTGGCGACGTACGCCAAATTCAGCTTGTAGACGCCGTTGACGACGTCCTGCGGCGTCACGAACGACCGGCACTTCAGCTTCGCCGCCTGCCGCAGCATGATCTCGGCGCGCTCGTGCAGGTCCTGCTCGAACAGCGCCTCGGTGGTGACGTCGGCGTCGGCCGGGGCGATCTGTTTGAGCAGGTACGTGTACACCTCCGAATCGACGATGTCGCTCTGGAAGTTGGTGACGCGCCGGTGCGTGCCGGCGCGCTCCAGGTGATAGTTCACCCAGCGGATGAGGATCGCCTCCGGCGACAGCTTCATCAGCTCGTCGATCTTCTCGTCGTCGGCGAGGAGCGTCGTCAGGCCGGGACAATGTTCTAAGGTGATCTGGTTGAAGAGGCCGATGCGGATGATCTGCCAGAGCAGGCCGAGCACCAGGTGGGGCGTGCCCTTCGACAGGTTGTGCGCGTCGATGTTGATCACGTTGCAGCCGATCGCCGACGACGACGACAACGCCAGCGTTAGATTTTCTAATTTCCTGTACAGCGTTAGCTTCTCTTTGTTGATCGCCCGTTCGTCGATCGTGTCGGGGCACGAGTGGTTTATCACTTTGCTAAAAAAAATAAACAATTAAATCACGAAAATACGAATAACGAGTTGTACTGTACCAAAGGAGAATACCGTCTTTGACTTTCTCGTAGAGTAGCTTCCCTTCGGCGTCGATCGGCAGGAGTTTCTTCAAATCGGGATCGTGCGATAGATTGGAATTGATCCAATCGGAGAAGGCGAGTTGCTCTTCGACGCGCACCGAATGCGTCGTACCCTCGTTGGAGGCCTCCGACGTGCCGCCGAGGTGCTGGAGATTCTCCCGCTTCGAGACGGCCGTCCTGAACGTGTTCGCCACGTCGTTGGCCTTTAGATCACAGATAAGTTTCTCGAACTCCTCGTAGGTGAGCTTGCCGTTCACCTTCGATTTGTTGAATTTTTTGTGCTCCTCTTCGATCAGCCGGATCTGGTAGCCGGCTATCTTCAGGCCGCACATCTCCAGGGCCTCGCGCAGCTCCTTCATGTCGATGTGCCCGTCGCCGCTTTTGTCAATCTGGAAACCATGCCATTTTAAAATGCGTTCCATGATACGTCAAACTGTCAAAATTGACATTAATGACATTTTTTTTGACACAACTTTAATAGAGGTGCGAATTATTGTGTGGTATAGAGACGCTAAAAAAATAACCGTTACTCATTGAATAAAAGTTTTCCACGAGGAGTTGAACAAACAATTATTGTATGAAGCGAGAGTAAACGAATCAATTTCTAATTCTCAAGAAGGATGATCTACGATCTATTGTAGACATCAAGTATTGCATATATAATCACGGGAACATTTCGTAGTTATTATCACACAGTAAAATAAAATTACATTTCCTGCGGGTTAATAACCCGACGATGTGAAGTCAACTACATAGAGGAAACCGACCGGCAGGAGTATGTACAATTTTTTATATTTTGAAAAAATAAAACAGCGCTAGGTAGATGATATTAAAGAGAATTTGAACGTTGGATTGTGCGATATTTTAACCAACTCAGCGGATAATACGATAAAAAAACAACATATTCATAGCTCAGCTACGTTTTGCAATAAAGTAATTTCAGCATAATAAGGAGTACGAGTTTATTAACAAAGTAAAACTAGATATATCACATTCAATTTATCAAAAAAAAATGAATAGTACTCGAAACTACATATTACGCACACATAAATCATCGAGTCCTAGAATGATAGTGCGAGATTTCGGGCGAAAATCGATTTCGAAATGGGCACTTGTGGAAAAATCGATTTCGGCTCGGCGCTTTCTAAATGAGTAAATTTTCGATTCTATTCTTCGACGACACGAATACGCGAGATGCTTTGGAGATTATCGCATCACAAATTCCGATCTTCGGGCCTGCTTTATTAGTATAAGTAGGTTTCGGTTTTGGCTACTTTTCTGTGTGGAACATCCGAAATTTATTCGTCAGTACCGTTTCGAAAAATTCCCGTTAATTAGAAGGGTATATTTTTTTTCTTTCGAAAAAGCACACTTACAGATAATGCTGATAGGTAAATACGTTTCGCAGGTATTGATAATGGAAATAAGCGAGTAATTATAGTGGATTGCATGACACTAAAATTTTGTTCTAATGGCGGCTTTATCATCAAACCTTGCTCATACAATATGCAATTAGCTCAAGTTTACAAGAAACGTTTAAGGGTCACGGTGACAAAAATTACTTTTTTAAACACAGTAAATATTCTAAAGTAACCGCACAACCGCATTCGTCCGTATGGCAGTGCATTTACAATGTAAATCACCGCGGAATTCTCGTTATTTTAATTTACTATAATACAGACAAACCGATTCGACAATCTACAAACGTTATCATCTATTTCCGCATGATCTTTGTTGCAGCAACTAAAGGAAGTCCTGGCTAGTCTTCCGATTAGAAAATAAAAAATAACCGATTACGAATTGAAAAACAAACGATTTAATCTTGAAGCCGGCCCTGATACCACGAAAATCTCTAGGTCACGACCGAGGATGTTCCACCCGAACGGATTTTCTAATGAAAATAAGCATTATTAAAGCGCTTCCGATGAAGAATCCAATCCCATTCGTTTTAATACCACACTCGTAGATAAAAAACTATAAAAAAAAAAACCATTGACCTCTCACATTACATAGTCGAAGAGAAAAGGAAAACCAACCAACAAAGGATCGGGAATAAAAAGGTGAAAGTAAAATCGCTCGGTGTGAATCGCAGCAAAAAGCAAACCTGTTAATAATAATTGATATAATTCCGTCCTTCGTTTCGTTAGGTGTAGTCCATTTTTGGCGTGAAACGGCCGCTCGAATTGGATTTTGAAAGTTTCGCGTGATTCATCGTTGTAAATACTTCAAAGTACAACCCGTTATCGAGAGATAAAATTCGCGTATCAAAATCACACGTCTTCAACTATTAATCCTCTATACAGATATATTCCCCAAGTTTCGGTATAATCCGCCAGATCAGCGCGAAGGAATTGGTTCGAAAAAAAAAATAAAAATTAGCGACTCGCTGAAATTTCCATCAGAAAAAATAAAATGGCATAAATTCCGAATACATTACGAGCGACGAGTCACTGGGTATTTATTACAAATGTTTTGAGAGTGTTTTTTTTTTATGGAAAAACGACGTTTGTGCAATTACCGACGTAATAAAAAATATTATTAATAAATTTTAAAGGCGTTTATCACGTTACATATTTGCGAATTACCTGGAGAAAAACACCTTAAATTAGTTAATCATGCGGTTACGATTGGAAATTTAGGTGTATGAAATGTGATGGGTAATGCAAAAATTATACAAGATTAATTTTATGGTCACCTAAATTGTGTACAATACTGTTAGATTAGATATTATTTTTGGTAATAAAAATACTGGTAGAATTACAAAAAATGATGGCTGATTAGCTCAGGTAAAAGTGACCACTAAATAATAATGTGATAATTAATTGTAGTATTCTCGAGTAAAATAAATATGCTAATCTGAATTATTATTGGCGCTATTTTAGTAGATAAATTTCGATCATGTTTATTGTTTCCCACTTGTGATACAGGATGTATTGCACATTTACAACAACCATAGAGGTGTCGAAATAAGTAACCAGTTTTATGAATGATTTTATTAAAAAATAGATCACATCCTTTGAGTAACTAGAATTACTTAGAATTGAGGGTTTGTTATCGATAAATCTACAATCAAACATGTAGTTACATTAAATAACTACTTAGTATTACGAAATTTGTAACAATGCAAAGTGGGATTTATTTCGCCATCAATCAATATTATTAATAGAAGTTATTACTTTACATCTCTGTGGATAACATAATCTTTTTATCGCCACAATGTTATCTCTATATGGACTTAATTTTTTTTAAAAAAACAAGGTATCTTGTATAAAAATTTATTGTATCATCAACGTTATCTCCACTTTTATGCAGAGAAATCGGTTTCGATCTAAAGGGTGTTTACTGTTCACCCTTCAACAGAGCACTGTAAATAAAATAGTTGGATTTCGATATTTTTATTGTTTTATAAAAGCGAAACCTTGTGTTTGGGTTCTTGCAATGCGCGTTTTTCAGAAAATCACAATGATATCATGTTCCAAGACATCGAGGTTATATTAAAATGTAGAATAAGTACGAAACACACACATCGTGAGTAACTTTGTATGAGTCATTGGGTAAATTTATTGATATTCTAAGTGTACGTATCGGAAAATGCGTTTTGTGTGTCACAATTTCGTGTGTTTTTTTTATTAAAGAGATGCAAATTTCGAGAAGAAAAAATCGGCGTCGTCGCGACCCTTGCGTGGTTGTTATTTAGCAAAATGACAACATTCGATTTCGGATTTCGGCAAACACAATTCGCGGATTATTCCGTTGCGGGCTTTTTCACGAGTATCCGATAAAGTACTCGCGAGTATGGGCGTAGCTAACGAAACATTTCGTGTCGAACGCCGAAAAGAAAAAAACAAAAACAACAAATACCGTTTAATAATAAAAACACGCTCGGTGCACACGACAAACTGGCAGGCACGGAACCGCCGAAATAAAAACTCACCTCGTTGAATCTCTCCTTGATTTCTTCGCGCTCCTCTTGGCTGATTCCCGTCGAAGCCATAATCGCTGGAACTCTTTCGGTGAAAACAAAACTAAAAAAAAAAGCGGAACGTTGCGACGAAAACTTATCTTTTAACGCACGGTGCAAAAGGCACCACAACACGACTCGAGCAGACGGTCGAAATTCAACAATGTTGCCACTTGCGACTGTCGGTTTTCAGCCTTAAAATGTCAAGCCGGTGTCTCATCCCTCCCACAACGTTGCCTCGTCATCTCGGAGGCGCCGTTGCCAAGCGTGGCTCGCTCGATAAATCAATTTTAAAATAGCTAATTATCACAATCGCAGTAGCTTCGACTGGTAATCAGTTTTTTTTATGACCACGTGATCCGGCTCGGCCAATCGCTGCGCGGCTAATACGTCAAAAGTGACAGAAATTTGAAATGAAAAATGATTAAATGCGAGTTAATAAGTAATAGACGATTTTTTTTTCTAATTCCGTTTTGCGATTATGAAATTGACAACATTGCGGTGAAACAATTTCGATTACGAATTAAACAGGAATCGCAGAATTTTGTGAGTCCCGTTCGAGAAGCGCCCAAATTTTCGGCAAATATGTTATTATTAAACGAATAATAAGTGTTTTCGAATTCTATTTAACGAAATTGTGATTCATTAATATTTTGGAATTTTTTTTGTTATAAATAACGTAATAATCGGATTATTCATTTCAAAAACAGTTTTTCGAAAAGCGGGACATGTTTTCATTTTTAATGAACCCGAACGGAAACGTCAAATGTGACATTTCATTCCTGACGTCATCAATATTTCGAAAAATATAATTTCGAATTTTCCACAAACATTCCGAAGCCCCGCTACTGAATACTTATCTATATTTACGGCACTGGAATAGAAAACGAAAGCATAAAGTTATGCAATTAGAATTACTCGAGCACTACTGGTTATGCAAAAAACAATACGCGAACGTAAACATGACCTATTTGTCTAAAATAATTACCTGGTTATGACGAGTAGGCGGCGGTTGATTGAATGGAAATAGAGAAGAGGTAACCCAGATTGTAAAAATGGGCATATAGTCAGAACTTAACAATTTATTGATCATTTATTCATGATGTCGAACATTTTGTTGCATGCAAGGATGCGATTAACACTTTTTGGAAAACTTAAGATAAATCACGGTGGTATTTGATTCAATTCATAAAATATACAAAAGAAGTTTTATTACTTTGTACAAGTAAAAGTTGTACAATACCATTATTACATTTATCATTAACATAAAATACATGAAACCGTATTCAGATTTTTTTTTATTTAATACATTATTATATAGGGAACATCCAAAAAGTATTTCAAAGTTCAAATTTTCATAATTGATAATACAAATTAACTACACATACAAATTACAATTAAAGAGAATAAAGAAAAGGCTTTGATACTTGTCATACTTGATGGAATCCCGCATGCGATTAGATTATTAGTAGCTGAAATATGGAATTTACAGATTTATTGAGTTGAATTTTAGCTGCTAATAATTCTGGATCAAAATTTGAAGTTTTAGTTAAATAATAGTAAATCTTTAACAATATATTACACAGGGAAACCGACACTTTCAAAATAACTTGTTACAAAAAAAAAAATGGTAACAACTCTAAATTAAAAAAAATTTAATGTACATTTTTTTGTTTACAGTAGTTTTCCATATAAATAAAAATGTAAAGATAAAAATGGAACATTTGAAAATGCCAACTTTAACCATACTTAAACGTACTGTACATTTTTTTCGCATACAGAGGTTTAATAAATAAAAAATGTAAGAATGCAAGGAGAGAGAGAGAGAGAAAAAGAAAAAGACCGAACTGCTATATAAAAAAAAAACTATTAAAAAACCAAAATGACTTTTTTCTGCGCAAAACTGCAAGTTCCCAGACACACTGACGTCGTCGTAGAGCAAAAAAAAAATGAAATATAAACAGTGTATGGCAAAAACATGACAGCAGATGAAATGACATTGAATTATTATATACTGCTCGCTACTCGCCTACTCCTGTCAAAGGTGTAGGAGATGATGACACTGTCGCCAACATCCTACATTGTTCTTTTACAACTGGATCTGGAAACAAACAAATATACTCGAAATTCGATACGAATTGTATACGAAGAGACTTACAAAAGTACGAATGATCCATTGCGTCACGTGCTGTAAGGCGTTCTAAATGATCATAACGTAATAATTTATCCAAAAAATCTAAAGCTTCCGGAGACACGAGATGTTGGTTTTCACTATGCACGAACCGCTCCCATCTTTTCCTCGAGTGTCTGCAACAAATCCGATCATCGAACGATCGTTCGAACGATACAAATCAAAAACACCTTACCTTCCTAAAATATCGTTAAATCTCGGATCTAGTTCTATGTGGTATTTATCGAGGTATTCGAACAGCTCCTCGGTACCTAAAACTTTCGCTATACGAACCAACTGATCGTAATTATCGTGACCGTGGAAGAACGGCTCTTTTCTGAAGATCATCGAGGCGAGCATGCACCCCAACGACCACATGTCCAACGAATAGTCGTACATCTGATAGTCTACGAGCAGTTCGGGGCCCTTGAAATATCTCGAAGCCACCCTAACGTTGTATTCCTGTCCGGGATGATAAAATTCCGCCAAGCCCCAATCGATTAAACGTAGTTTTCTATTTTCGTGATCGATCATTACGTTATGTGGCTTTACATCTCTGCAAGAAACATATTCAATACGATCTCTAATAAGTACAATTTCGAAGCACTCACCTATGCATTATACCCATACTATGGCAGTAGTCCAAAGCTTTAAGAAGTTCATATAAATAATAGCGGATATCAAAATCTGTGAGCGTTTGATAAAGCTGCTTGAAGTCAGTGTTATTGACGTGTTCGAATATTAAAGCGGGCGTCCTCGATACGGGATCCTTAACGACGGCTTCTAGGGTTATTATATTAGTACCTCCTCTTAAATTTTCTAATATTTTTATTTCTCGTTTTATTTTCTTCTTTTTTACAGGCTGCAACAAAACGCTCCGATAAGGGATGCTGGATTCGTGGATAAGAAACATCGATTGATATGGAGAGAATATAGATCGATTCTATTTTAAAGTTTTATTGCTCCATTGCGGCGTTTATTTTCGTGGTGTTGTTTTTAGAGAAATAATAATAATAACGGTTGGTGTCAAGGCAGTCTATAACTAAGTAACGTGTTTCATAGACCCGGAAGTGGATAATTTGAATAAATCGTACAAAATAATATAAACCAAATCAAAAAAAAAATATATATGTGCATTTTTAAGTTCTATGTTAATTTGTATACGAAAAAATGAACACAAAACATCAAGTGTGTGTATATTAAAGCAAGTGTCTAAAATAAAATAAATGTCACTTGTTTAATATTTGTAGTAGGCGTGTGTTTGTGTAGAATTAAGAGTCCAATTAAATTGGAATAAAATAGTGTAAGAAATTTTCGAGTTTTATCATTTCGTAAGTATATAAAGCATACAGTAGGATAGCAATTAAGGTGATAAAAAGATGAATCAAATACTTGAAATTACGCCGTCGTAGACGCAGTTAATAAAATTATTCAATACATATATCAAGGTTAAATAATCCAATTAATACAATTAAATAAAATCGACTTGTATGGATTTACTTCCATATCGAAATAGAGTAACTTTTGAAATCAAAATAACTATTATAAATGAAAATAAATAAAACAAACTTACCTTTAATATTTTAACTACACATTTTTCATTATTTGTTACATTAATCGCTTCGAATACTTCACTATATTTTCCTCTGCCTAACTTCCTAACCAACTGATAATCATCCTGTTGGCCCCAATCGACAACGTAACTTTCATAGTCCCAATATTCCCTGGGCTTATGAGAATTAACATCGGTATAGACTCTAGCTCTACTAGGAACGGCCATCGTTTTGTAAAGCACTTTATTTACAAATTGTCGCGCATAAGGTCTGCTTCCTTCGTTACAAACTAAAAAAGAAAACACAACAAATTGGAATCGAATAAATAAATCCGTCGAGGATATCTCATCGTTAGGTGTATGTAATATAATGTGTCATCTAGTATTGGGTCAAGTTACCTTGTCCTATGCACAATTTCGCTAATCTAGAAAAATTAATCAGCATAACTACATATCATAATCCTCAAAGTTTTTCAATTGAAAAGGCGGATTTTCATAATAAGTTTGGTATAGGTGGTACTCGCCATTCCCTCATACTAGACTAGCAACATTGGACAAAACCTACACTTAAATACATCATACCTAATTCATTCCGGGTTAGAAATTTTATTCTCGCATGCCCAGCAAGCACATTGCAACTTTGCGAACTAAGCGATTTATTTTTAAATTTTCCCGATCTATTTTAACTCACTTTTTTAGCCGGCTTCTTACTACAGAACATGAAACAAGATGGAAGTAAGTCCCATCCCGCCACGATAGACTGGATTGAAAGCTTAATCGGTATATCGTATACCCCTCTAAAACTACATTGCAGCGTGCATGGGCGCACCGTCGAACATCGCCACGTGCTCGCCTTCGAAAAACACCTATTTCGCTAAACTCCCCGCAAGCGTTCGATCGAATTAAAACGCTTTTTTCTCCGATCGTCGATTATTAACGAAAATAACTTACTTTTTATCGTTTACAACGAGGACAACACGCCGATGAAATATCCTTCCGGGCACACCACTGATCCGCAAACAATTCCGCCAACTTAAAACTCTTTCCGCCGACGAAAATATCGAACTATTTCTATTTTTGCTTTTGGTATTGCTTATTTCGAGAAACGGGACGGGATTGAATTATTTTCGTTGATGCAAAAAAAAGGTACGGAACCGTCTCGAGATTATTTATTTGTGGATTGGCAACGGAGACGCGTTCCGAATTGACAGCGGACAAACTGTTTTGTGTTGGTAACTTTAAAAATACTGGAGATGTTGTTGGAAATAAACGTGGTGTATTCGAAATGGCTCGAAATTGCGATCGAGAGGTTAAACAACTGCAAATAATGTCCGAAAGGAAAATAAAACGGCGTGTGTCAAATGTGTCAAGCAAATGTCAAAAGGCGTAGCACGCTGCAGTTTTCGAATGCAATCGGAAATGGCGAATTACTAATAATCGATTAAATAAAATGAAGAAAACTGTAATCGATTTAACTTAGAATCCCGTTACCTACGGGTAGGCAACCATTAAATCAAAAATGCGTGTTTGGTTGCATAACTACTAAATTCGTTATTTTTCGAAATTACTTTCAGAGGCTATTCAACTCTGTACGCTACGCTTTTAATTTGAAATAAATAAGAGATCGGTTGAGAAAAACATTTATTTATAATCACAAATCTCAGTTTACATTTTGACTATTATATTTGCCAGAAATAAGATTAAAAATAAAAAATATGTAAAGAGTAACAGACTCAATGTACAAAAGAGGATGGTTGTAGCAATACATAACAAGACTTAAATAAAAATTAAATAGTAAATCTATATTTTGAATCTGACTATTCAAATTCAATTTATCACACTCGAATTGCCTTGAGGCCCTTTACAAAAATACATGTGCCTTCCTATCAATAATATACAAATGAAAAAAAAATTAATAAAATACATGCTTGCAACCCATAAACAAATTGTAGTTATAGAAAAATTAAAAATATATTTTACACCAATATAGTAGTCTGTACACTTAACATTTAGAATATGTTTATTTACATCAAAGTCTAGTCTACTATGTGATATAAACAGCAATTAACACATCAGTCTTAAACATCAAAGGATTATTTAAGCGAAGCCAAAACCTTCAGAACATTCATGGATCGCCTTCAGCAAATATGCGCGTAGTTTATCGTACGTTTCATAGACGGGAAGGTCCAATTGGTTGAAACTAGGAGTAATAAAAAAAAAATTATTAAAAATACATTAAAACGCATTCGTCGAAATTTATTACCAAGTGTGAGCTGATGGTAACCTGTCTGTAGACCGATCATCCCTGTGTATTTGGAATTTTTGCACACCATTCATGCCTTCGAGTGCTCCAAACCCTTGAAGAGGTACTTTAGAAGTTCCTGTTACAAATTGTAGAAATTTAGCTCGATCAGCTTGATCGAAAGACCTCAATGCGCGCCAGAACCATTGAATCTAAAAAAATAAGTTGAATGTAATAGAGATTAAACGCAAGTTTCAAAACAAACCTAGATTTACCTAAAAAGAATTCATTCGTTAGAATAATACTAGTAAAATAGGCACTTACTTGTAGAGAATTCGATTGATACTTGTGATATTCGGTATTGGCTTTTAAATCATCTATATCTACATTTGGTAATCCTGATATCAGTAATTCTAATTCCTGTTCGTTAAATATAGAAATTAATCGCATAGGTATAATATCGTAGAAGCCTTCCAAAAACGAATTTAATCTGAAAAAAATAAAAAATCATTTATAATACCCCAATTAAAATTTCACAACAAATTCAAACACTCACTGTTGTTTTATAGCGCCCGTCATCTTCATCTGGCACACGAGCCGGACGTACTCCATCTTGTTCTCCTCCGTCACGGGTATATGCCTGCCGTTCGGTATCAAATCCCGCGTTTCGGTCACGCCGAATTCGCTGATTTCAGTACTGAACGTCAAATCCAATCCCAAATTGTTGATGTTATTCTCCATCAGGTACACCAACCCCCTGTAGAAGCTGTAATCCTCGCTCTCCATGTCGGTGTACTTCACGGGAATGCCGAGTATGTGCTTGTAGAACGAACGAGTGAAGTAGCATTCGAGAAGTTTGTTGTCGTAAATAGCTTTGGCTGAAATACACGAAACGTGCAATGGAGTAGATGGAAGAAGTTTGTGTTAAATTAACTTACCGATGACGCGCCCGACGAATTTGTAGTAGCAAAGATGGTTCGAGTTGTAATGGCTAGCCGAATTTATCATGTAAGTTACTCTATCACCAGGCGAGACGGTGAATAACGCGTACATTGGGTTGAATATATCTCTGGATATTATAACGTACCATTCCCTCAGAAGACCTCCAGCGTCTTGACCTTCCTCATCTATATACGATAAAATGAATTAATTATTTCGTGTATAAATTCAAAAACGAGTAGATTTTTACCTTCGAAAACGATATAGAATCGATTCTTCCACTCTTCAGGAGGCCGTCTGAACAACTCCCTGAACGAATCCTCGAATATGTTGCTCCTGCGCACGTGCACGGCCGTCTCCTCCCGTCGCGTCCCGTGATCCAATCGCTCCAATTCGGTCCTGAAGTACCTGCGTTTGATGTCGAAATCCAATATTCTCGTGTGATCGACGAGCACCGCGAACGGCCCGTCGGCCAAATGGGCCGTGCTCTGCCTCAGAATCTGATTGAGAACGGTGCGGTGTTTCTCGGCGAACGCGAGGAACTGGGTTTGTTCCGGCGTGACGCCAGCTTTGGCGGCCGGTTCGGAAGATTTCTCAGCGTCGGTCGTGGGGGTCGCTTCGCTTGTAGGTCGCGGCGATTGCTCCGCCGGCGGCGCAGTCGGAGCCGGTACAGCCGCCTCCGTTGCCGGCGGATCGGGCTGGGTTTCGGCGGTTTCTTGAGCGGCTTCGCCCTCGGCCGGCGGGGCGGTGGCGGTTTTCTGCTTCAGTTTCACCTCGGCTTGTTGCGGGGAGTGCACCAGGAAGAAAGCTTCCACCGCCGGCTGTCGGAAGATTAGATTTTCAAACGATTCATGTAATTACCGCCGATTGTTTAGTTTACCTGGAGGACGAGGACGGCGTGGTGGTCGGGCGCGTGCTCTAGCTCCGATAAGCATTGGCTCAATGTCTCCCACAGGCTGCTCAGGCTGCTCATTTGCTCGCTCAGCGCCGGCAATTCGCAGGATCCGTATACTGAAAATAAATCCAATAAACAAACGCCACAAACAAAACAATAATACTACCTCTTGTCCACGTCTGTTTGATCGAATTTCTAATTTGTACAATAACTCTAAGCACCCGGAGGAAGAATACTTGGCTCGACGATTTGGACGTCAACGGGACCATCGAGGGTAACTGAAGTTCGCAGGACGTTTTGACTTTGGCCGAGGCGGTCACGACGACTTGCTCGTTGGTGAACCGGTTGCAAATGATGCCCTTCGAGGTGGACGGGCCGCCTTCTTCGAGCTTCCTCTTTTGCGTGTTGTTTATTAAATCTTTCAAGTCTTTCAGCATGCTTTGGATTTGACTTTCGACGATGTTGCCGATTTCGATGGCTCCGTCGATCAGGAGATTAAATATCTGCGAAATAGAGAGAAATTAACGAAACGCATATAAATTTAATTAGAAATATCGACTTACAATGAAACTCATGTCGAGAGACGAATTGGCTAAATTCAGAAGTAAATTCGTTATAAATTCTAGGCCCTCTTCCGAACAATTCTTGTACGTGATAACGTTCACGGCTAAATTCAAAGCTTTCGTAGGCGGGTTATTGGAAATATCGCTCCATATCATTTTGGTCTTGCTCGTTTTGATGGGTTTCACTAATTCGGGCAACCCGGACGTGGTAACCGACAGCAATTTCAACAAATTATCAGTCAATTGGGTGTTCTTGTGAACAATAGGCGACGCCAACATGTTCAGCAGCTTGCCGAAAACGGTTTGCTCGAACTGCAAGGGACCTTCGCTCTCCGCGGTTCCCGTTAAAATCGTGTTTTTCTGTATGCTCTTTCCTTTCTTAGTGGCCGAATCCAAGCGAAGGAGAACGTCCCAAAAGTCCGAGGAAGTCTCGCTGCGGACTTTCACCGGCGTTATCGTGGTTTTATCGGACTCGTCTCGCAGACATTTAATCGGCAACAAGCACGATGGAAAAGCTTTAGCCAAAGACGTGAATAGATCGAGGGTGTTTCTGCAAACGATCGGCGCTGCTTGCGGGTGAATGCTTATGGCCGCCGATCCGTTGGTTTTATCGCATTTCTTACCAACGGTTTTGTTCACGATAAACACGTTAGCGGCACAACCTAAGGCCGCTTCCATTCTGATCGTCAACCAGTGCCCGCCGTTTTGCAAATACTTCGCGTCCGTCAACAGTTTGCTGGTCAAAGGACCGGGTCGCGGACCTTTGCGAGTGGGTTTGTTCAAACTCTCGTCCGGTTGTGTACTAACGCTCTTTTCGATGATCGAAAGTAAAGCGTTAATGATCCATTCTCTCGTTGGAGCGTGATAGCACAGGTTCCTTATGACCCTGTGCAATCTGAGCTTGTTCAGGTGAGCGTCGTCGGTGAACAGCAAAACCAACAAACAAGCCAGACCTTCGTGGTCCAACAACTGGCGCCCCTTGATCACTTTCACCGGAGACGAAGTCTGGACGCTGTTCATGACGCTGTTCAGGTCCCTGCCGAACTGCGCCCAGCTGGCCCTCGGGAAATTGTTCGACCTAAACGGCTGCCGGCGACCTCTCGAATTCCGGTAGATCGCGCTCAGATTGCTCTGCATGAACCTCTGCTGGGCGATCTCCCTGTTTCTGGCGTACCAATCCCTGCGCAAGTTCTGCGCCTCCGCCGCCAAATCCGGAGGCAAGGCGGACATCTGCGAATCCTCCATATCGGATAGAATCTGCAAGTCGAATGAAATTGTCTAAAGCAACAGCCGCTTCGGTGGAATTCCTACACTTACCATCGTCCTAAGCGAAGGCTGCAATGTTTGGAAAAACGCGCCGGCGTCGACCGGTTCGTTGGGGTTCGCCCTCGCGGCCGCCTGTCGCTGCCGCTCCAACCTCTGCTGGGTCAAAACCTCCTCCTGCAGGGCGGGAGGCAGCGCGGCCAGAAACTCCGGGCTGACTTCGTTGGAAACGGCGGCCGCCTCCGGTTCGGGCTCGCCCGAATTCGAAGGCGCCGTAGCAGTATTAGTAGTAGTAGTAGCAGCAGCAGCATTAGCGTTCGCGTTCGCTGCAATTCGCTGCTGCAAACAGAGGATCCTGTGCTGTTCGAGGACCTCTTTCCGCATCTCCGGCGGCAGGGCCTCCAAAAACGACGGATCCACGCCCTCGGGGATCTCCTCTTCGTTATTAGCGTTACTCGGACCGGGTTCTTCGGCGGCCGACGCGGAAACAGCGCCTCCCGACGACGATTCCGGCCGCGGGTCGTTCTCGTTCGGCTCCGAGCTCGATTCGGGAGCGTCGTCCGCAACCGGAGGCAGCGGCGGCGGCGGCGGAGCGGCGCTTCCGTCGCCCGAATTCCCATCGGCCGTCTCCGAGGAATTCGAAGACGACAAGCGAGCGTCGCGCCTGAGTTCCTCCCTGGCTTGGCTGGCTTCCAGCGCCAATCTGGCCCCCTGGTGGATCATCTCCGCCGCTTCGGCTATAACGTCTGGTTTGAAGATTAGAGAATTTACGCTGTTACCGCTAACGTGCGAATTACCTTGAGCCGTTTCGCTCATTTCGGAATCCTCGTCGTCGATGCGATCGGGCGAGCTCGAGAACAACGCGTTGCACCTGGATCCGATGTAGGCGGGCAGCGTGGGCAGCGTCAGTTCGAACGGATTCGACGATTCGCTTTCGGTGCGAATTTCGGATTCGGCGCGGCTGTTCGAATCGTCCGTGTTCCGCGTCATGTTGTCCGACGTGCCGCCGGTGGTTTGGACGGCGGCGTTTTGCGTCGCCTCGGACAGGCTGCTTTGCGAATTGTCGTTGCCCATTTCTCTGATGAAGCTGAGTTGCAACGGCGAGAGGATGATGTCTTCGTGTTGCGTGTTACCGTCCGATCTGTCGTTTGAAGTATCGGAGTTTTCGAGTGGAATACCATCGATGTCTTCTAAAATAATCGTGTAAATAGCGAGAGTATTGAATGTGGATTATAAGAATACCTTCTCTGCTGTTTGGTTCTTCGTTGGATTCGGCTTGATCAGTCGAAGCCAATGGAATACCATCGATATCTTCATCAGCTAAAAACAAACACATTAGCAATTCATCGATACAAATAACGAAATCAACTCAACCATTCTCTTTGTTTTGTTCAGTAACTGTAATAGTATTGTTCAGATCATCGTAAGTGACGTGCACGGTTTCCTGGCTACAATCGTCCTGCACGTCCGGCTCGTTCTTCGGCTGTTTGCGCTTCTTCGCGCCCTCCTCGTCGGCCTCTTTGGTCTTCTTGTTGCGCATCTCTTCGTTGCGGTGCTTGATCAGATTCGGCACGAGCCTGTTGCACACGTACGTCGTGCAATCGTAGACCGATTCCAAATCGAGCAGTTTGGATTCGATGTTCCACCAATGCAGGACGGGCGGCACGTGGCTGAGCGTCGCCGCCAGGCTCGGACCGAACAGGTAGCCCGATTGATCGACGAAATCGATTTGCTCTTCGTTCGAGTGGATGATGCCGAAGTTATCCATGACGACGACTCGGGCCGATTCGCGGATGTCGGTGGGGCCGGTCAGGAGGTTGTTCGTCGACATCATGTTGGCCATGTGCGGATCGTGTGGTCCCAAAAGTCTACGAATTATCACATTATACTAAAGATTTATGAGTTGTTTTGTGTTATTTACCTTTGTAAGATGACCGGCGGGTTCGGGTTTCTCGGGCTGAATAAATATTGGAATCTTCTGGGGCGGTTAGTACGCTGGTTTCGACTAACAATGTGCTGGTTGCTGTCGATGTTGTTGCGAGACATAAGCAACGGGTGCGTTATAGCTGTAGAATTAATCGTACGATTAAAAACGTTAGATTGAAATAATATAAATAACGTACCAGTGTGATCGCTCGGATTGTTCTCGTCGATGATCGGCACGAATCCGTTTTCGTTCCAACGAATCATCCTCGGCATGGCGTTTTCGATATCGGCATCGTACTGGATCATGAGTATGTCTTCGTCGCGATCGGTGGTGGCGATTCTGAACATGCCGGAACTACCTTCTGTCGCCGAACCTACAATGTATCTCGATTCAATTCGATAAGGGCGATCGGACCGTTTACAGTTTTACCTCGTCTCCTCTCCCTGTCGGCGTTATCGTCTTCGTCGTAGTTGTTGTCTTCGTTCTCTTCGGCATCGTCGATGTTATCGTCGTCCCCTTCGTTGTCGTCGTTGGCCTCGTCGTCGATTTGATCCGACGGATTCGAATCGGACTCGCCCGAATCGGTGCTCATGAGCTCCTCCTGAAATGCGTCAGTTTTATTCGATGTTATTTACGAATTTATTAACCCTTACGGTAGCGTCTCGTTCGTGCTCGAAACCCAGCGGGCATTCCTCGTCGATGTCCATGGTACCGTCCCTGGCGTTGGTCACGTCGTTGTACCCTTGGGCGCCGTCGTTGTTCCTGTGGTCCAGGATTTGTTCCATCATTTCTTCGAGGGCGTTGTCGAGCTCGCCGCTGCCCACGGTGTTGTTCTCGATCGGGCTCGACGTGGCGACGATCTCGACCGTTTCGGAGTCTTCGATTTCTTCTCCGTGCGGGTTGGATCCTTCCACCGACGTACCGCCTTGCGCGACGGCCGATACATCGTCGGCGGTTTGTTGGTTCTTCCTGGATTTGCCGCCGCCCGGATTGGTGGCCGGCTGGTTGATCGTCCTCGATAGGGACTCCAGAGGTTTCAGGGCCGCGTTGGCGGTGAAAGATGTATTCGGAGACGACAGGTCCAGGTAGTGGGTGATTTTGGCCAGGTCGTTGAATACCCCGCGCCTCATCATCAGCTTCACTATGTTGTTGATGCTGCAGCTGGTCCATCTGTTGGCGTGCGGTAGCGGGCAGTTGTCTATCATGTTCGAGATGATGCCGCAGATGTTTTGGACTTGGCTGTGTTTCTTCACGGATTCCGGTAGATTGAGCGCTCTGGTTAGGGCTACTTTTACTTCGGAAACGAGGGTTATTTGGGCTTCGGGCGAATGGTTCGACGAAGCCAAAGCGGCGATCAACATTCTGCACATCGTGGAGCAATCCAGATCCGAGATGTTGTCGGTTCCGGTTAGGATTTTGTCGAAGATGAAGGCCAAAGCGGACGTTTCTTCGGCTATGATGCCGGAATCGTCCGGTTTGTATTTGTATTCTGTAATGAGCTTAGCGATCGGGCCGAACGAAACGACGGCGTCCGCTAGGATTTTAAGTATTACCGATTTCGGTAGCATCGGTTTCTTGATGGTCATTTCGTTCTTCTTGTTATTCGAGTTATCTTCTGCGGTGGTATCGTTTTTATCGAAACTCGGCGTAGCCGAACTAGCTGGAACATCTTCGATGTTCACGTTTTGTTCGGAATCGGTGTCCCCTTCGGCGCCGTCAGCGGGCGTTCTATCTTCTTCTAGAGGTTTCAGCAAAGCGTCTAATAGATCCGAAATGACTTCGATGGAAATCGGTTCCTCTAAAGAAGGAGTTTTCGTCCGAGCCGGCGGGTCTACTTTCAAAGGAAGGCACGTCACGGGATGCTCGCCTTTAGCAGCCGTCGTATCCACGCGAACGATGGCGTTAGCAACGTGGAAAAACGCCTCGGGATCGCGGGTGACCGCTCCGCCGATTTGCCTCGTCAAATACACCAAATCCTTGTAAGGGGGCGGTATCGTGGCCAACGTTCTGCCTCTGATCACCTTCTCCATCGCGTATTTCAGCGTGTGCGGCTCTTCGAGAGCGTGCCGGATCAAAATCGTCGCCAGGATGCCGAAACCGCCGAAATCGTTTATCTGCCGCATCCGCAGCAGGCACTTCACGCCGCCTTGCTCGACAAACACCTTGGCTATCAGGAAATCCCGCGTGAATCTCACGCATATTTGCAACACCGAATGCAGCAGGTTCTTCTCGATGGGGAGATGCATGAGGCGCACGCACGCCTTCACGATGTTCTTCTTCTGCAAGAACGTCAGGCCGAGGACGGGCGAACACCTCGATTCCTCTTTTTCGGTGAGAGTCGAAAACAGAGGCTCCTCGATCGCCTCGCCGTTGATATCGGTACAGCTGGGGTGAGTTAAAGTCATTAAGGTCATCGAAATGGGTCGGTTGTTGCCGGTTTCGTCGTTCATCTGCAGCATGTTGGCGAACGTCATCGTGTATATCTTCCTGCCGCAGGTCACCCGTTTGCTTTGCTCGCCGTTCCAATAGGCCTCGTTGATCAATCTGTTGTTCGAGTTGGAATAGTGCGACCATCTGCCGTTGGTCAAATCGTACCAACGCCACACGCGGTTGGTCGCCTTGTGCATGTTGAGCTTTCTCTTCGTGCAAATCGCCACCTTGGAGACGGCGTCGAGCAGCAGGAAACAAGGCGCGAGCCATTTCGGTTCGTAGCTGGGCTGCAAATCGACGATCACGTTGATCGTGTTGCAAACCAAGTCGATCAAGGGCAGGACGATGCCGGCGCGGTTCAGCGCGTACGCGCACGGTATTTTCATTTCGAAATACGACGAAACTTCGAAGAACAATATATAGAGATGGATGTAGTTGGTTAGTCTTTTGGCCTGTTCGGATTCGGCCAGCGAGAAGTAGCTCATCACGTTCGGCTCGCCTTGGAAAGCGCAGAACGATATCGACGAGGAGCATTCCGCGATTTTCGATATTAGAGTATCCAAAAGATTATCTCTGTAAGTGCGGCCGTTTCGTTTCATTATGGTCACCAACAATTCGCATACTTTGTGTACAGTTTCGGGGAGGACTTCGACGAGTTGCAGGCACACGTCGAGCGCTTGGTGCGTGAAGTCGTTGATCATCGTTTCGAACGATTGATCTTGCTCGTCGGCGGCGGCGGTCTCTTTCTTGGCATCCGATCCGGCGGTCGAGTTGCAACCCAACGATATAGCGATGGCTTGTAGCACTTGGTCGTCTTCGGCGTCGATGTCCATGGAGGAGCCCGGCGCGCCGGAAGCGTGCGGAGGATTCGACAGCAGATAATCGGTGGCCTGTTCCAACGTGTGCGAATGCAGCAACGCCTCGATGGCGTGCTCCCTGGAGAATCCCATGTCGACCAATTGCCGCAGGCTGTCGAAATCCCTGAACAGCGAACCGCCGCTCGAACCGGCGCCGCCGTTCGACGCGCCGTTGGCGGCGTCCTTCTTGCTCTCGTCGACTTTCATCTTCTCTTTGATGATCTTCTCGCCTCTGAATATGTGCCGGAGGATCGTCAGGAGGGTTTCGGTGGTTCGAGTGCCGTAGGCGACTAAGGTGGTTTTACCCCACAGCAACATGACGCTTTTGAACGCCAATTTGTGGATTTGTATCAGGTATTTCAACGGATTGAAATTGTAGGCGTGGGACGGTCGACTAGATATTATGTGCGGGGATTCCAAAATGGCTTTGGGGTTGACCATTTTTTCTAAAAGCGTCAACCACGCGTCCAGGAACCCTACAGTTCCTGTAATCAAATCGTTCATGTACCTCTAAGTTGTTTCCTTAAATTCTAAAACTTACCTTCTGGAAGATTCGAGTATTCTATTTCGTTTATAGAATGCACATTTCCCGCCGTTAGAGCCCACTTGAACGTTTTGAAGAATATCCCTTGACCGCCGAGGCTGACGAATTTCTTCAACATCAGATGATACGGGTATCTTCTTTCGTCGAACAACATGGGGCTGGTAAAACCGACGCTGCATATCAGGAAAGTCAATCTGCATTTAGCTATGTGACAGGGAGGAAGTTTATCGCAATCGAGCCCTTCGGCTAGAAGTACGTTTAGAGCGGTGGCGACGCTCCTCGCGTATTGAGAAGGCATCGGAGGCGCCGCGACGATATTTTGACCCCTTCTCTGTCGTATGGGTGAACCGACGCAGAGTTTAACGAGCAAACCGAACAGCTCGGCCAAAGCTCGACCGAGCCTAGACGAAGCGCCCAGCAGAGGTTTGATATATTTCAAATTCCGATCGGGTTTGTTTACGTTAGAGCTCGATTCACCGTCGATATCCATCATAGATATGTGGCTGTTTGGACCGAGCACATCGATCGTCGTAGTCGTTCCCGTTTCCAACGACGAGCTTCCTTCGCACTAAACACACCACAAACCATTAGAATCGTTTAAAATTCAAACAAAAATACTTACACTTACCCTGTCGAAGAAAGCGTTCAACTTTTCGATGTCCTCTCTGGTAAAATCGCAATCGGACGGCAGCAAATCGTCGCTGCAATACGCCAACAACAACGTGCTCTCCCACACCAACGACGTGTACAAATCGGCGAGGCCTTTGAGCACCTTCAGCCCTTCCTCGGAGCCCCAGTGTTGCAACGATAGGTTTCTTATGTCCGTTTGGCCGGTGCGACAGATGTGAACGAACATGATCACGTAGCCGTGCGCGGCGCCCATGGCGTGCAAAAGCGGCGTGGCCGAAGCCGTGCTGAACGCCGTCTCCGAGTCGTTGGCGTTGACCAATTCGAGCAGGAGCTTCGAGCAACCGGGCACCTCCTGTTTCGCGTAGAGCGGCTGCAGCGATTCGAGCACTTTGGCCAATTGGGACAGGCCTTGGGAGAATAAGAATGGTTCTTGGGCTAGATTGAGGATGCTCTTGCAAACGGACGCGACGGCTTGCGCCGGGTTCGTGACGGGACAATCGACCGGCAGGTTCGGAAGTCCTAATATTTTCAAAAGCGGTATCAAACCGCCTTTTTCTACAAACTCTTTACAATGATCGTCTGTCGAGTTGTTACTCAGTATAGCATCGATGAATTTCATGGCGTTCATGATGTAATCGATGAGCGCTATAGGGGTTCTCTCGCTGTTGGCTTGAGCTTGGCTTTCGGTTTGGGCGTTTTGAGACGAAGTAGACGTTTCTTCTTCGTCGTCTTCTTCTTCATCGGACGAACCTTCCGTGTTCGCGTTAGATCTCGAAGTAGCCGATGGGGATATTTCGGATTTACTGTGTGGTCTCCAACAGACGTATTTAGGATCGGTACCCAAATGCACCAATTCTTCCAATAATTTTATGATGGCCAACGTGGCGTCCTGGCGGAGACTGGGCTGGTGTCTCATCAGCTCGTCCATGGCGTTGCCCAAATTGCAGGCCGTGTCCGCCGTCGGTTCGGAGCTGCGCCTTCTTCTCATCGCCGGCAGGTAGTTGGGCGATAGCAGAATGTTGAAAAGCTTCTCGAACGGTTTGAATTTAGCGAACGATTCCAAACCTCTGTTGTTCAGACACAGAGCGCTGAAGACGTTCGGCAGGGAACCCAAAACTTCCCGGGTCGCGGGCACTTCTTTGACCAACAGAGAGTGCAGAACGACGTCCGTGAGACCGTTGTCTTGGAGGGCGGAGAGCAGAGCGGGTTCCTGGTAAACGTATACAGTGACTACGTCTGTAGCTAGAAGGAACAGGGACGGACCGTAATACTCCGCGTTCGCTATGATGTTTTTGAGTGAGTTGGGTAGAGTTCCCTCCATTAGATGTCGAATGCTTTCGGCGAACGTCGAATCTTGGAAAGCTTTCTTCAGGAAATTCAACATGGATTTCAACAAAGCCGCCCTTTGAGGCAGGCAGGTTTTACCGACATTTTCGGATTTATAAATGAGGTCCGGAGACGCGTTTTCTTCTTCTTTTTCCGCCGCCGTTGCCGAAGTGCTCGGAGCGTTCTCGTCGAATCCTTGATCCGGACTGTTGGTTTTCAGTTGATATAACTGGTCTTTTTTACAAAAATTAACTTCCGTCTGTAATTCGAAAAAAAAAGGGAGGAAATTAAAACGAAATTCCGAATAAAACGCGAGGCGTACAACTCACATCTAATCTGTTTATGAAGCTGTGCAAACCTCCGTGGTTTTGAAACGCTGCCATATCGATGTTGGTGATCAAATCGATAACTCTAACTGCGCGAGTTACAAACTAGAAAAAAATATTAACCACAATGAGACGATGATAAAAGATGGTAATTAAAAACGCACCGTGATGTGATCGAGTTCGAACCCTTGCCAATTTATGACCTGCAAGAGAGATTCCATCATTCCGCAGGACACCAAAGCCTCGCCTCCGGCTTCGTAACTGGCCAGATGGTACAAAAACGAAAACAACGCCGTCGTCAAGCTGACAGGGAATTTCGTGTCGACGAAAGGCAGTTGCCGGTGCGGCGGAACCTCCACGTCGGAATCGTTCAGATAATCCATCAGATAATCCAAATAATTCCCGCTGTCCAGCGTGTTGACGGACGTGCCGGTTTTCGACGAATCGCAACTCGACGAATCGTCGATCACGATCGCGGACACTTCGTCTTGCAGTTTCATTTTCTTGAAAGCGCTCTGGCCGAAATCGATCTGGTTCGTCAACGAAGATATGCAATTTCGTACCAGCACCGGCAGGAAACCGTGGTATTGGCTCGCCCCCGTGACGTCTATGATGCTGCTGAGTCTCGATCCGGGTCTTCGACTGTAATTTACACGATTTTAGACTCGATAACGCCGACGAATTTGGATAATTACTTGGGAATATGAGGGTTCCTGTCCAAATGAATGATAGCTGTGAGAGTTCTTAAAGCGGCGCATCGTATATCGGTTAATTGCGGATCTTGCAATTCGACGACTTCCACTAGTTCCTCGAGCAAACCGTTGTACAACAAATTCGAAGGGGAATCTTCGATGGAATTCGAATAAACCATCACAGACAGCGCTTGCAGTCTCGCCTGGACACTTTTGAGTCTGTTTCGATAATCGGCGAAGTGCGTGGCTAATCTCACGTGAGTGAACAGCCACATCTGTAAAAACGAATCGATTAATAAAATCGACAGGTATCGAAAGAGTCGATCGAACTCACCTCTTTTTCCGGAGGTATGTAGTACATTGAAATGAGTTGCTTCATTATTTCAGCTGGAGTTTTGTGTAACTTGTCGATGTGTTCGATGTGAATTATGTGTAAATTAGGCTTGGCGGTTTTGGCATCGCCACCGCCTTTGTTGTCGCGCTTGGGACAATTCGGGTCGTCTTCTCTGTGAAATTCCACGTGTAATGTCGTAGCAGACGGGGGAATCTCCTTGTCGGTGTCGCAACAATCCGCTAGACCGAAACCGTTTTCTTTACCGCCCCAATTCTTAAAAGAAAAAAAATCAACCGCTGCGTTTAAGAAGGAAAACGGTTGGGGTAATTTCACTTACTTCGGCGAGATATTGAAGCCTCGACAACAAACATTCCTTTTCGTCTGGTTTCAAACGAGTTATGAAATTGCTTCGCTTCGAAAACATATATAGCAGATTTAATACTTCTAATACAACGGACATATCATTAGACTCGAGCAAGACCAACAAGTGCTCCATAGAATTGTACAAATGTCGAGAGAACGAGTGCTCAATTAGGAGGCTCGTAAAGCGGAGAATATGAATCAATAGTTGGAAATCCTAAAAATGTTGTGCATTGTTAGAGATAACTTCAGATTTAATGGTTGTTGGTATTGCGAATTTCGCATGGAAACATTAAAACTAAAAGTTCTATGAAAAAAATAAAAATATGCTAAAAAAAATTCTATTTATAGAATATTATAATACATGCTACCTATATTTTATTATTAAATTGTATCAGGTCATAAAGATTGTAATTTGAATCTTGGCAATGTTTCAATGACAGGGAGTATGTTGTTTTTTTTTCTTTAATAGAGATTGTGAGAAACTTCAAAGTGAAAAATTACATTCATTTATAATGCAGACCTAAACTTACCTGGTCAATAACCCTTAATTAAATTAAACAAAGGGAACAAATACAAATTTGAGGTTTAAACTGAATAATTAAAACGCAAACACTTTATTGAAACAAAACATTCTAACCAAATAAAAATCAATAACAAGTAATCATTCAATCCAGTATTAATTGCACGTTTCGAAACATTTCTAATTATGAATAATACATGCTAAAGAACGCCATAGAACTGAATTTAACGACAGTATCGACGAAATGACAATTAAACAAATATTTATTCGCTTACCTCTTCATCATAAGTATCACACTTAAGGATCCATTTGTTTTCTTCGTTTCTTTCTGCTGCTTGTCCGAGGATTCTGTCGAAAACGTCCAGAATCTGGGCCCAATGCAACAGTTCGCATTTTCCGAAGGTCCATGAATGGATTCTCGACAATTCTTCGAGCAGCTCTGTTCGGGAACAAAGCTGCAATCTTTCTATGAGCTGTTGGCATTCTAGTGGGACTTCGGATGTACTTTTGCGTACGCGAGATCGGTCAATTTTCATTTTGTTGTTGTTTTATAACCTCTTCTACATTATATTCAGTTTACCGATTTTTTTAAAGCTGTAATGATAACACGGTTTTAAAGAAAACAAGACGGCTGTAAGGCGGTATTGATGTTAGAAATAGCCGAATATTTGGACATTTTCGCATTCGTATCGTACCTAAATGCAACTGCTGAAATTTTTACCAGTAATGCTTAGTCACCTTCACAAAATGGATATTTTTATTTCGATACGCGATCGCATATTTTACGTTAAAATTGCAGTTGGATTTAATTTGAAAAATCGGAACAATTCACGAACGGACAAGATCAAATAACGAAATTAATTCCTAAAATTGCACAATTTATAGTAAAATACGACGCCATATTGAAAAACTAAATTGACAAAACAAATAGGTAGGCACATCAGACAAAAGTTGATGACAAAAAAAATACCCGATAAGATTAAAAAATATAAAAGCTACCTGCATAAAATACGACAACGTCGACGTTCTGCAGAAAAGGTTATTGGTATGTTTACTTCCTAATAAAAATTCAGCTTCTGTATATGTCCGCACCAGTTTCCTGATTTTATGTAACTAACGGTCTTTTGTGCTTCATGTGTGATTCAATTTTTGCTCCTTTGTGTTACAAACGACAAATACTATCGATAAACGATCACATCAACACACCATTCACTATTTTCGTTAAATATATTCTTTGTTTTAGTAAATAATTCGTCTAAAATTGTGGAAATATACACACACTTTTCCTAATGTTCTTCACGACTGTGAGCAGGTGTACAAACTGCAGAAAACCAAACCTAAACTTACGTAGCATTACCAACCAAAGCATTTAAAATTTACTATTTATAACTAATTTTATTTTCGTTGTTTTAAAAGTATTAAAGACTATATTTTTTAAAAGCAACGAATTATATTGTGTAATATATACTGCTATTGTTAATATAAGTTTGATATTTGATAAAACGTAAAATATAAAAGTGAACAAATAACCGAATAGTGTGAGTCCAGTGTATCATTTACTAAAATCTTTTTGATGTTATTATGTAATAAACTATTAGTAGACTTAAATTTACTATTTGATAGATTATTTTTTTTAATTAACATTCCTTTTAGATTTCGTACATTCTATGTGATATTACATTTTATAATTATTATTGATTTTGGTTGGTACTCCTGTCCAAAACGGATTAGGACCTCATTAGAAACTTTCTATTTATCAATGGGTAGAAGGGGGCATGCGTGATTATTGTATTCACTTTTTGATTTTATAAGTTGACTTTTGACTTTTTAGGAATTAATCTTACAAAAGCTTTATAGTATTTTTTTATTAATTATATCTTTTAACGCAAAGACTGAGAATATGCCTGTAAGGAGAGCTCTGCACGCAGGAAGTTGGTACACTGATTCAGGTGAGACTTCAATCAAAATCAAACACAATCAGCTGTTCCATTTTCTCAAACAATGAATGATCTCAATCCATAACATTTTTTCCAGGAGCCGAATTGTCCAGGCAATTAGATTACTGGCTGAATCAGGCCGATTTGAGTCACGGACCAGCCAGAGCCATAATCGCCCCGTACGTAAAACACCCAAAATTCCCTACTAATTAAATAAATCGACGGAATTTTCAGGCACGCTGGGTACCAGTACTGCGGCGCCTGCGGGGGCCACGCTTACAGACAAATAAGTCCAGTTGTTGTACGCCGAATTTTTATTTTGGGACCCTCTCATCATGTTCGCCTATCTGGTTGTGCCTTGTCCAGTGCGCAAAAATACAAAACGCCCCTTTACGACCTCCACATAGACTCGCAAAGTAAACAGCCACCTTTTAAAACTACCAAAACTCATTAACATCGAATGTATTTTAGTAAACGGTGAATTGGAAATGACGGGCCAGTTCGAATGGATGGATTTAGATACCGATGAGAACGAACACAGCATCGAGATGCAACTACCTTACATAGCAAAAGTGATGGAAAGGTAAGTTGACGAGCGATGTGTCCGTTTGGATCGCTCTGCGAAGCTGCTAGTAGGCTTTAATAACCCGTATTGCAACTGTTTTAGTTACAAAAATCAATTCACTATTGTTCCTATACTAGTTGGGTCCCTCAGTCCGGAGAAGGAAGCTTGCTATGGAAGGATCCTGTCCAGTTATTTGGCCGATCCCAAAAATCTCTTTATAGTGTCTTCGGATTTTTGCCATTGGGGACACAGGTTTAGATACACCTACTACGACAGGTCTTACGGGAATATCTACCAGTCGATCGAAGGATTGGATAGAGTGGTATGTCGTATGAAACTTGTAGTAGAATATATGCAAGAATATTTTGCAGGGGATGAATATTATTGAGAATCTGAACCCTACGGAATTTACCAATTATTTGAAGAAGTATGGAAATACTATATGTGGAAGACATCCTATAGGTATACTATTACAGGTGAGTTAGTGCAGGTGTATGATTTCTAACGAACGGTTAGTGAGGATTAAAAATTTCGAGAAACCACAGAGTTGTGAGAATTGCTTGTAAATTATTTCAAATTCATGACATTTTATATTATCAATGCAGGTAAAATACAAGAATATAAAATAATAGATAAAGATATATCCGGAATAGAAAGCAGATCGCATGCAAGAGAATCGTGCTCGCCGTAAGTTTCGAATAATCCGAAATCGGTTTCGAATAATCCGTTTTTCCGATGTGCTGAAGTTGATTTTTGTTTTAGGCAATACAAGAATTACTCAGGAATGACAGTAGTCAAAACGCTAGTCTGAAATTTTTAAAGTACGCTCAGTCTAGCCAGTGTCGCAATATGAACGATTCTTCCGTAAGTTACGCCTCAGCAGCTTTAGTGATAGATTAGTACAAACGTGGCCTTACATTGACTGTTTTCAAATTGAAGCTTTTAGGTTTATTTTACTTGGATTTATTATTTTTTTAGTTGTGTATCCGATTACCATATTTTAATTAGGATTTTATTGTTTTTATGCCTTATTTTTTTGCGAGTGGTAACAGGATTTTTTTAAGGGTGTGTGATTTAATTTCTCATTAAGGTTGAATTAATTGGCTTTATTTTACGTTTATTATGTACATTTTATCAAAGATTTTATATTTTATTTTCGCTCGTGAAGTGTGTCGTGCAGATTCACAGTTTGGCCTTCATGAATGGTGATTTATTTCAATAATTTTGCAATGCAAAAACAAATCCAGTGCATTTGAAATCAGTATGAAACTTTTACAATCATCCTGTTAGCTCTACCAAATACATAAAAAGTAGATTGGACACAAATAGTTCTGTTAAATGCAGTGCAATCACATGGAATATTCATTAATTCGATAAAAACGTCCATTAGTATATGAATTTAGCATCCGAATGTTTAACTAAATTGTGTCCATCGTAAACGCTCGTCAATATTTATTAGTCCAAAATGTTGCACTGCATTATTTTGACCCGACACGTTAAAATATGGACCTTATTTCAACAACAGTCAACAGTTAAAAGTGCTCTTCACAAATTTGTCTCGCATAAGGATACATTTCGTAGTTGTGACAATCTTATTGATGAAAGAGAAGCAATTGCTCGGTGCCTGATTGATTGCATACATTTAAAATACTCCAAAATGGACAGCAATATGTAAATTCGTTTTTTTTTTTAAACAAATACTTTGTATCCTTGTATCAGACTCATTGCTAGATTGCGGATTTCCTCGGTCATAAATCAGGTTGGCTTGTGCACGTTTTCGTATTTAACACGACAAAATTGGCGTTATGACCGCATGGAGTCCGTAATGTACTCGTATTTATAACAATTAATATAATGAATCAATCTCAAAACTTTTAATTAATAATTAATCGGTGATGCCTCTTTCTTTATACATGAACTTATCGAATATTTTAATTGAATGGGAAAGAAGTTTCATCGTTGTTTACAATCGTGTAATCATTTTTTTTTAATCGAAATAAATTGTAGTAATCGAGTTTCTCGGAAATTGAAATGAATTGGCGTGTTAATTGTAAATTAATTTTTAAACAGTTATGCTAAAAAGTTGTGCAATACACGACTATTTCACATTATATAGCTGGAAAGCTGGAGATTATTTTATTTTATTACTCTGTGCATTTACATATACTCTTCTATTTTGTTACATTAGAGCATAAACTTCACTTCGAGTTTAAACCATACATCGAAAATGTTTATTTTTACTTGATGAAAAATACTTTTCCTACACTTTAGCACATTTCTAGTAGTTGAGTGTCTTCATTAATCTTAATAATTTCTCGTATAAAAACCCAAAAAGCAGGAGTATTGATCTGCATATTAAACGAGATTCAATAGATTTACACTGCACATCAATTTTTTCCATGCAATCTCATTGTGTAATTTTGTGATAGACCAGATCATCGCTGTTCTCAAGCTTGTTTCGCTTAAGCTATTAAGTTAGTGTTAAGGAAACTTAATCGAATGATTCCATAAATGTGAAATGGGATGGGATTTATTCCACTCCGAATGTCATGTCTTAATATTTTTTTTAATTAGCAGAAGACGTGATAATTGGACGTATGTTCAATTAAAATGTAAGCGTGTTTCTGTGTCGTTTAGTGAAGGTAATTGAAAGGTAGCCGCTATTTATAAGTATTTTTATTATGAAGCTTCGATGGCAACTTATAAACATCATTTAGAAGAGTTAATAGTGTTCATATTGTTTAAGATTAGGTTTAATCGAGTCGTCTCTATGGAGTATGGTTGAAAATGGTCGTATGGAGTTTACTGCCATTTTGTTTACTAGTACTTAGAACCTACTTTTTAATTAAACTATAACTAGACTTACTATAATGAGTAACTGTATGTAAGTGTTCCAATTAATTTCACTAAATTACCTGCAGAAACGGCCTTAAGCACTCATGTACTCGCCCATTAATTAATTATGTATATTTTTACTTGTCAACTTTAATTAATTTACATTGGATATGTTACTTAGCCATATTTGAAAAGATATCATGATTTTCTATAGGCCTACGAGATTGTAGACCAAGGACTGTATATTTGTAATATACGAAATTTATACGCCTTTGAATAACAAGTTTTTTATTCCATAGCAATAAAGTATTTAATAACTATACTTGTTTTTTTTTTCGTTCAAAAAGGATCGAGGTTTGGTCAAAGACACAACTTATTTGAAATATAGAATTAACGAATTCATTTATTTCATTCAACATATACAAAATAATACCTGGTGTGAACCGCAGCGAATCGCTGGATTAAGAATCTTCAGTAAGAAAATATGTTTGTATGGATTTCATTTCTTTAATACAAAATGGTTTAAAGGCGTTATACAAAATACCCTTCTAAATTCGATATTAAACTCTGCTTTCCTTTGTCGCGTTCAAAGGCGATGATATGGAAGTTCCGTTCGTCGACCAAGATGTCGGGGAACCGTTGTTCTGGAACAAACAAAAAGTTATTTTAATTCTATACTATTTCTTCTTGCGAGATTCTTACCAATTTCTTTCGGTTACTCTCGTTCTCCACGTCCGATTTCCTCTTCTTCTTTTTAGCCGATATGGATTCTTGTCCACTGTCGTTGTCTTCGGAATTGGAACTCTCCGACTCCGAGCTCGAGCTGGAAGACGAGTTGCTCGAACTGTCCGACGCCACGCCCGACGGCTTCCCCAGGTTGATTCTATCCGCCAACGCCGCCAGGTTGGGCTCCTTCTCCCTCAGCGTCTTCAGCCACTTTTGAGAGAGCTTCGGGCGACCTCTGGCCGTTTTGTGCCAAACCACCGGAAAGTTCGTTCGGCTGCAGAAGTTCTGAGTAACGGCGATCGTGGTGTCGATGTTGAGCACCACGTGCCACCAACCGCCCGGCACGAACACGGTCTCTCCGGGCTTCTGGAGTATCTCGATGGGCTTGCAATTCTGTGGCCAGTTGGGGCTTTTGGTTTTCGGGTAGATGACGTCGAACCAAGTTATCGCCTCGTCGCGTTGCTTCCCTCCGAGAGGCAGGGACACTTTTAGGATATCTTTGGGAGTATGCGTTGGGAATAAACACCACCTACGGAAAATGTAGGAATGTATCGGGTTTATTCGGTTTAATTCGATCGAATTACCTCTTGTGTCCTACGACTAAGGCGTTCCAGGCACTCGTACCGAGGGGATCGATGTGAATGCCGGTGCCCGATCGAGCCGGGCCCATAACGAACCATCTGTAAGGCGGTCTTCTACTCTCCCCCGAATATTTTAGTAAATCGTCTTTGAAGTATAAGGGAACATCGTAGTCTTGTAACAATTTTTTTCGACGTCTATGCTGCAATAATCTTCGGTTATTAATTATAAGATAACGCACTGTAAACGTACCTCTCCGAAATTACTGTCGAAGATGTATAAAGGGCTATCATCTTTAGTAGTCTGCATATAATGTATATAATACTTCATTTTCATTTTAACACTATAACCTTCATTATCCTCACCGCATTTAAATTTTTGGTTTCTATATTTCCTAGCTAATTTATCTAAAGTCCATTTCTCCCTGGCTTTCCAGTCTGTTTGGCACCCTGTGATTACGACGGGCTTGTAAGGAAGTTCGTAACGAGATATGAATTCTCTTTGGGAACAAGTCGATGCATCTATTCGGTCACAGTTATCGGTGAAGTCTTTGAATCTTTCGAAGTTTGCGGCGTATCCTATCTGTTTCCAGGATTCTTTTGTGTTCAGTTCTAAAACGTGAATATATTTAAATGTTTGTTTAAAAGTTAGTTTAATAAGAGGGTGTACAGGTTAGTTAACGGAGATCAACGGCCTACCTGGTCTGGCTTTCTTTTTAACTTCCTTAATTCGCTTTTTCGCCCTATGCGCAAATTCGTTTTCATCCATAATCGGTTATAAAATTCGCTAAATATAAAAAAATTTCCTACATTAAAAAGTCACGTAGACACATCGACTTTTCATCACGTTACGAAGAAATCGGCTACACGCCAAACGTCAAGTGTCACTTGTCATTATTGTCAACGTCGATTTCGCCGGTTTTTGAAAAGTTGGGACGCCCGGTTTGAAATTTTTAGTTTATTCATTTCAAATTTAATCAAGTTTGTAATATAGCAAGCGATTTTCAATTCGAATTAGTAATAAGAAGAATATGGTAATTAATATGGTAATTTTAATTAAGTAACTGCGTAATTATTGATCGATAAATTCCCCAACAATCCAATAGTTTTGTTTCAATTTCCATTTTTCAAATTAAATCGCCTGATCTCGGTTGGCCAGATATGTAGGTGATAAAATTACCTGTAGAACATTCAAAGTAGGCTGCTTAAAAATTGACAGTTGTTATCAATCATGTCGAAGTGTCAGTGAAGTTAATTAGTCCACAAAAATTCCATATAGTATCGAATATAGGTACGTATACCGAGAAGAATTCGAACATTTGTAACGACCAACCATTTTTATAACGTATAATTTCGTTAATTTACAGAATGTTACCTACACACGCCGCCTTCAAACGTTTATTAGCTTACCCCGTGTCCAGTAGTTGATGCTGCTTTATGTCCTCTACCCAACCGACAGGTAAAATTCCACATACGAGGGGCGGTAAAATAGTATCCCCAGCAAATTCAAACATAAAAAATCACACATCTATTTTATTATACCATCTAGAAAACGCTTTAAATTCAATACTAATAAGTCAAGCTATGAATTAATTGAGACTAACGAAAGTTGCACTCATAGATTATATTGAGTAAATTTCGTGTACCACCTGTATATAGGTAGTAGCCCGGAGGTTTCTGTCACACAACCGTATACCAATATGGCATCGGTATATAAAGTAAAATGTTTTCTTAGAAGTAATCCAGATCGGAGATCTGAGAATTAATGAAATAATTTGAGGTCAGCGAAATTTCGAATGATTAATGATTGAAAACAATAGTAATCGTCGAGAATGTAGGCAACAAAGAGTTGCAACTGAGCTATAATTAACTCTGGTTCCAAATTCATCTCGTTCCTTTTTAAATGCATATAGGTACATCTACATTATAATGATGATTGATTAGATGCACCTTTAGCACCTGCAATCTAATTCGTAATCTATTTTTACATTGCATCGTGTGTCTTATGACAACTCTCGGGTCTCCTCGTCGATTTGTAATCTAATTATGTTGGGGGATAATTTAATTTTTTTTTTGTTGTTTTATGCGGTACAAGTCCGTGTATAATCAAATTTAAAAAAAAAAATCAATTCTCTTGCATAAATGTTTTATTCCCGACCTATTTGCGAGGAATAATCCGGAAGGGATGTAGATGCAAAGTGGGAAATAAATATTCCACATAAAGGCAGTAAATTTGAAAAAGAACAAATTAACTTTGAAACAAACTGAATAAATAAGAGCGAATTTGAAGCGGCGGAATTTAAAAATCGCATAAAAAGGAATTACAGAATATGTTCCATAAATAATAAATTCGGGGATGTGATTAAAAAGTATACTTGCAGTGACATCTAGCAAACGCCGCTGCTTCGAGCCGCTGCTCCCAGAGGAAATTATAAAATATATCCTACCGTTTCTTCTTTTGTAACATAGACACCAGATAAAATTACGTATATGCTTTATGTGTGTTTGTTTCAAATTAAACTGCATGCATAATTTTCAAGGGTTGCCAAGTTTTCCACATTCAACACTACTTATACACAAACGCGTTAATTATTAAGACAAAAAATTCACGAGGAAAAATTTTTATTAACCCTCCTGAAACTACGGAGTAATACATTCCAGTTAAGAGGCATCAGCGACCTTTTAAGACTTTTTTTTTTTGGGTGAATTAAAAGGGCGACTTAATTGAAATATACTCCAATAATATGCACATCCCGCTCCCCGTTTTCGGCTCTTTTAAGATACATTTAGAAATCTGTTCGCCTAGAAATACCAACTCCAGCGAAGGTAATCAGAAAATATTTTTTTTTAGCATTTTATCTTTACGAGCGGTAAATAAAAATGGTAGGATTAGATTTGTTTTTATTAATTAAAACGTGTATCACGAATAACATGACGGATTCCAACGAATTTGTTGCCAGCTTTCTGTATCACTATAAACAAGCTGTAATCAGTACTTCCTGCGAAAGTCTTTCTTTAGGTGGAACGTTCCGAACTGGCACATTTTCTTCTTGTGGACCTTCTTGTGCTTGGAGAGGTGATCCGATCGGGCGAAGGCCTTCTCGCACAGCTCGCACTTGTACGGCTTGACGCCCGAATGGGATCGCTTGTGCCTGGCCAGCTCGTCCGATCTGGAGAACTTCCACGTGCAATTCGACCAGTTGCAAACGAACGGCTTCTCGCCGGAGTGCCTCCGCAGGTGGGCCTTCAGGTGGGAGGATTTCGCGTAGACTTTGCCGCACTCCGGCACGGGACACGCGAAGAACTTCTCGTCCTCCTTCTTCTGGCTGTAATCGTGGTTGACGAGCGCGTTGGAGCTCCTGCACTTGTGCTCGCGGGAGTTGTTCGCTTTGTAGGAGGTCTCGTAGAGCAGCTGGCGCCGCCTGATGTTCTTCTCGTCGTTCATGTGCGGGAATTTCTCTATGATGTCCAAGTTGTCTATGGCTTGTTCTAAGGAATCGGCGTCGAACGGTGTGGATAGCATGTCGTTGAATCGGTACGATAGGTCCATGTCTAGGTCGGCTAGGGATTCGTTGAAGATGTCGATGTCGGTGGTGTGGTGCTTGCTCGATATTTCGTTCGAGCGAAAATCCAAGTTGACTCCGAGGACTGAAATACTGTTGGAAAAATTCGAGTCGAATAGAGACATGTCGTCGGCTAGTTCGAGGATGTTGTCGTTCGTTAGGTTTTCTTCTAAGGTTTGCTCGTCGTTGTTGAATATTCCTTTGATTATGCTGTCTAGGAATTTGTCGTCTCCGTTTAGAATTGGGAAATCTTTCTTGTCGAAATCTTCGCTGTAGTTCCTCGAATCGGTGGAATCTAAAGGGACTAGAAAATCCAGTAGGGAAAATTCCAAAATGCTTTCTTCCAAGTTGTTCGCCATCTCGTCATCGGGCATTTTTCTGGTGAGCTAAAACAGATATTATAAATAAATAAATAAATTATTTATACAAAAATGTATTGTAAATATTTTTAAATAACACACATGCACGAGATATAGTAACTTGCACTTTTTTTTAATTGCTTAATTAATGCTTGATAAATAATTATTTATAGCGTATAAAATTGTTTATTGAGTATTAATGAATTTGCTTAAAAATTATCAGCTAATTTGTTTATTTGTAAATAGAAAAAAAAATTTAATAATAAAACCAACACATATAATTACTCGAAAACTAACTTACTTGCTGGTATTACAATCGAATAACAAAATTTTTACAATAACATACGTGTACAATATCACCAACGTGTATCGGCAGTAAAAGTGTGAAATCGAATGATAAAGCTCGTCATTTTGGACAAATTTTCTGTCTGTTTATGATTATCAACTCATAACGTTCGCTTATTGTACCCCAGAGACGGAGTAAATACGTTAGTGACAACTATTGCCTAGCACAACTCTGTCTTTGCGTATAACATTTCACCATCCCCGGAGACCGTTCGTGTTTTCAAAGGGAAGATTTTTTTAATCAGCAGTCCCAAATTAACTTGTCACAATTTCTGTTGCATCGAATAAAAGTGAGATATTATATGGAACGCGAATTGAATTTTGATTGGTGTAATAGGGGTGAGTTTGGTGTATGTTTTTAAATAAATAAATTCGGAGTAATCGAGTTTAAGACGTTTTTCTTAAAAAAAAACAACGATTTAAATTTGATTAAAGTAGAAATGTTGGGGAACACTGCGTGATGATGTAGGCTCAGGAAATAACGATAAATAATGACAAAATTTTGATACGTCAATCCAGACGTTGATAACATTAAAAAGGTACTAAGTGTTTATTATAACGGTTTAATTTTACTTTTAAAATGTTTCTCATGTAAAAAATAATTCATCAAATGGCGGAATTCCGCGAATCCCTTTTTGCCAAAACCGAATTATCGCGATGTTCAAGGTCCAAAGAATTTTATTTCCAAAGATATGCTCGCAATTATCTTTTTTTTTAGGATGTCGTTTTTGCATAAATGATTAGGGATGTAAACGGAAGTAATGCATATAAATATTTTATCGTTCACATAATAGTGCACTTCAGATCAAAATTTCGAATTTACAACACTAACAAAAACCTTCAAACCATAAACCATTAATAAATAAAGGTTTTCGAGATGCAGGATCGAACGAAAACCTTAAGATTAAAAACGGCAGATGAAATTTCGTTGCGAGGAATTCTTTCGCCTAATGGGATAATCAAGCGCAACGGGATAAATCCCGCGTGTCACAACACATAAAATCAAATTAGTCACCAAGGAACCTAATTAAATTTAAATATTTGATGAGTGCCAAAAGACGGTGCTCGAGCGCCGGATGAGAATTGAAAAAACCGATTCGAAACGAAGGGAAATCACACTCGAACCCCTCGAAGGGCCCTCATTCCTTGGGAATCTGTCGAGGAAAGCTCCGGCGAAAAACCTCCAACGATGGAATTTATTAGACCACCGAGTAAAGTCGAGATTTCTGTTAGTCTATTATCTTTTGTTGGTGTTGTGCTAGCGAACGAGAGATGGCGCTACGCGTGCGGTTTTTGAAATTTGATAAAGAGCAAAATTTTGAGTTTCATTTTGAAATGATCGTGATTACGATATAAAAATTTTTTGGTGAGTTTTCTTCGAGTTGTTTTAATTTAATACAACTCAATTGAAACTGCACATTCGTTCTTATATGTATAATAATTATTTAGCAAATTCTCAAAGAATATAAAAAAATTCCATTTTTCTCTTGCGAATAATTTTTTTTAGACAGAAATTGTCGCAGATGCTTCGGTTTGGTCTCGCATTCGAGCGCTTTAATAACTACTAAGTATAAAAGTATAAAGAAATCCTCAAAGGCGATATAATTATGAATTCCAGCCCTCGAGGGCAAACGGAGCACAAAGTCAACGTCTATAATGCAACTTTTAATTAAAACAAACTAAGTAGGTACATCAAAGTGGCTCTATTTTATGTAGTATTTATTAAAAATGAATGGAGAAACGTCAGAAAAAAGTCCTCGCCACTTTTTGTTACACGTCGCATGCACTTTTATTTCCTCGATGTGAATTGAATTTTGTCAAAAATTAGATAATAGAATGCATTATTGATGCTACTTTGCGGCGAAGCTCGTTCGATTGTTACATTGGTAATTAGGGGCAGATGCGTTTTGAAAATGTATTTTTATAAATTCGGTGTTATTATAGAAAATCTGAAAAACTCCCAAAATAGCGGGCTAATGTAAAATAAATTTGATTCAAACGTGGCAACATAAACCTGTTTTTAAAGCTACCTGTATAATTAGGCAGTTAAAAAATGCCCCCAAAACCCAATGCCATGTCCCTATTTCATTTGAGTCGAATAGTCTTTACAAGCAATTAAATTTTGACAAAATGATTAATGGCCCCAAAATCACAGCCACATGTGATAATAGTCCTCCGCATTGTTGTAATGATAGGGACCCAAACGGTTCGTTTTATTATTTTTCCAAATTATTATTTTTATTTCATAATCACAGTGCTTAAAATTATTTCGTAATTTCCAGACCGGGCTTATTGTATTTCATCAAGCCCAACAATGTTTGCCTTAATGTTCCCCAACAATCATCCACTATACTTGTTAAAGGCGATGTTTTTACTGTTGTTTCTTTTTTCCTCTCTCCTCGGTGTAAATTGTAAACGTTAAAGGTGTGTGTAGCTATCGCGCGGATAAAAGCCGAAAACGGAACAAAAAAAAATACATATAAGGAGCCCGGCGTATTGATAGCGCCCCGTCCCCGGGGACCCGGGGACAGGGCGGTCACCGCGCGGAAGACTGGCAACAGAAAGAGGTCGCGAAAGGAGATAAGAAGTTGCCGCGTGATAAGAATGCTAGCGGCCGATAAGGAGCGAACTCTAAGCGGTCGGGTGTGTCTTTAAAGATGGATGACTGTCGCGGGAAATCCACCCACCTATACACTTCGGTTTTCGCGTCACGTATCGACGGCTTGTGACAACTGTGATCTATAACAGTGATTCCGGCGATTTTCGGCTATTAAACCCCCCCGATGGAAAATTTAATTTTTTTTTTTTATTTCGCGCGACAATAGGAAATCGATAAATTCTTTAAACACCGCCGGGGCGGCACGTAATGAATACAAATCACCCCCTCAACTACCCGGGACTCGAATTTAACGCTGTTTATCACCGGATAAAAAGTTCGATATTTTTAAATCTCGTTGATATGCTGCGGAAAAATTGGGTGGAATTTTGAAGACTCAAAAGTTGGTTGTATAAATTTAATAAAAATCACGAGTACCGAAGCTGTCATCAAAAATTTCTTAGTTGCCACCTAAAACATAAAAGTAATTACTATAAAATACCCAAAAATTGTCTTCTATTCGATGAAATATTCAATTCAAAAGGGTATTCAAAAACTCGCAAGGAGTAAGAGACACATTTACCCATAAATCTCACTGCATAGAGCTTCACAAGCAGCGTAGCTGTAAATTTCGCTCGCCCGGTCGAAACTCCCTCAAGATAATGCAATCTCGAAGTCACAGGTGATTGTCATCAAATGTTCCTATATACAGCCGTGAAAAGTGCATAATGCGCTCGTTCTCTTATCTACAACGCTCGTTCGCTCGCCATCTTCAGAGACAATTTATAGCGAATTCGTCGTATTAACTTATCGCGACCATCGGAAAGGAGATAAACACCATTTCGAACTACTCGCGAGCGCTCTGTCGGTGACTTTTGTCAAACGAGCGTAGGAGTTTCTGAATATCATAACGCGCTAAAAAATGAAATACACCCTTCGAGGCATCCATCTCATTTACTGTCAAAGTTTAGAACGACAGGTAACCAGAGTGGGGATTGTATACTTACACTTAATTTTCACCCACATGTTATACACGACAGGGCCGTATTAGTACTCGAATTATTGTAATAATAATTTTAGCATCGCAACAAGCGTGTATACGAGATTTTCGTAGGCGTTTCGAGCCGGTTGCAATTTCAATTGGGACGAAATTAGCGCGAGTCCGGCGCTGTAAGTAGAGTGCGCATTATGAGAATACCGATCATGATCAGCTCACGGCAGTACGATCACTCATAGCCCCATGCGTATTAAAAATGCGGCAACGGCAACGGCCACAGTAAATGCTTCTTCTTCTTCTTCTTCTTCTTCTACTCTTCCTCCTTCGATCTTCTTGTACGACTTTACAACAGGTACTCGCCGAGCGGCGACCGAGATGGATTCGAGCGATAACCGTCCCAATGCACATGTGCGGAACGTATTAAAATGACGATGTCGCATCGTCGGCTGTGACCCCTGGACATCCGTAACTGTTTCGGATTCTCTGAAACGCCAATAGATAATTTCACATCGGCTTCAGAAGACTTCCTAGTGTACTATTCACCTAAATTATATGTTCCGCGTAATTAGACTGACAGATTGACAAAGAGTGAGCTGTCACTTCAGCTGTCACTTGTCATGAGACTGTTCAACGTTCATCGAAATCATCTTAGCTAATTCTATAAAATTCGTACCGTGGTCCTTTACAACATCGCCTACCAGCGACCGTTTTAGGAACCCTGTTTGATCCTCGAATACCAAACAAACCCAACAAATACAACACCTAGGCGTATCAGAAAAAAAAATTCGCTCATGACGCGAATAGTTCACGTTCGCTCGTATCATTACCGCGAGATTCAACCTATTTGCATGAACGAAGACACAAAACAACATTCTTAATTGCGCGCATCATAAACGTTTAATGGAGTGCAACCGTTGGCTCCCTAATACATACATTCATGAAACGCTGCCTCATTCTTTCGATACCATCGATCTAAGGTGTTATTTTATACGAACGGAAACGTCACGACCGTCCTTTTCGTTTACATGTCATTACGAACCGAACGGGGAGCTCCGGCAGTTTATATAAAATGTACCCTCCGCGCCCAAATCTCGTTACAAAGTGACAAATAGTGCATGCGACAACCGACGACCGGAATATAAACCGGTTAGTTATCAATTACGAAACGATCCCCGCGTAATTGAGATGCCTCTTCAATATTTAATTTAAAATTGGCACTAATCCCGCAAAGACAAGGGACAAGTCCGAGTGTAAAGGGACGAGGCAATTTTCGGGGCGCCCCTCGATAGGGGCGATGCGTTAGACGCGTCGCCTGCGGCCCCGTTCGCTGCGCTAGTTTAATCAATCGGAAAATTAAAAAAAATATTTTTAACCAAACATCGTGCGACTTTCGAAGAATATATGGTATTGATTGCGCTCTATATCGGATTGTATATCTCGAGCTTAACAAGGCGATAAACCAGCGCTGAACCTTAAAGTGATTAATAAGGAGAAAAAAAAAACCCGGGATCCCGACAACGTGTTTTAAGCTTC